GGGGTAAACATAACCTACATATACCCCCACTGAACTATTGCGCAAGTGCAATATACACCCATACAAACCTAATTCCTCTCTTAGAAGCCGGAAATTCAATACACCTCGGCCTCCAATTGACGCCTTGTCGTTCTCCAGGCCTCTATTACGCGCCCGGTGTCGAATACTGTGATACTATGATTAATAATGACCGTTTATTACTGAAAATGTACAGTTTATATGACTGTAGAAATTGGGATAAGAGTTGCTACTGTACCAGCATTAAACAGAATATACGCCTGGTCTCAATACTTTACCGGCCTCCAACAGACGCCGGGTCAACGGCTCGCTCGAAATTAATTGACGCCCGCGTGCCTAACAGAGGAAATATGGTAAGCGTCAAGACTGTCGCTTAGAAGATGTGCTGTTTTTGTTTAATTTATTGTCATGCTGCGTGTGTGTGAATGATTCTGTTTGACGTTATTAATATGTGACCATGAAATGGTGGTCGCTGTGAAACACCATGCGGGGTTATTCTTTCCGACACACACACATACATTTACCTGCGTTCCAATGTACACACGTCCCTTAAGTGTTCCTATGTAAACACAAGCGCCTAAGTGTGTTCCCAACGCGAAACCTCTCTTCAGTTGAACTAAAAGTATTTGTCACCTGTTTGTCGGGAATTCCTTTGACAGAAAATGAGTACGTTATCCCAAAAGGTCATTGGCGGTGTTTCTTCTAGGACTAGTCAATTATCTATGTGTTCATCTTTTTATTACGGGTTAAAACACATAGTCAGCAACATGGCAAGGCGACAAGCATAATGCCTTTACATGTGTACTTTTATTTAATAATAATAATAATAATAATAATATAAAAAATAAATAATGATAATAATAATAAAAATAATTGATTTGTAAAGCGCCTAATATCCATCGACAGTTGCTCACTGGCGCTGTGACAAAGTTAAAAAGTAATGTCTATGTACATATGCCAACAATCAGGAGGTCTATTGAAAAGCTGAAGTGAAGAAGTGGGTTTTGAGGAGAGACTTAAACGTTTCCTTAGAAGCAGAGTTTCTCAGATTCAAAGGCAAAGAGTTCCATAACTATTTGAAAGAAAACCGAGGTTTGTTAAAAGGCAATCAATATTCCTTCAAATGACATCGAATCATACCAGTGGTTTAATACGGGAATAACATAGCCAATCAGAGAACGCCCTATGTTACGTGGCATGCGCGTGCAGTTTCGTTTTTTGCGGCTTGTGTAATGCTCCTGCTGTGGCAAATATATCCATTCTTGTGTTTTTGTTCTGTATTGGAGTCATTCATCTCACACTGAACCACGAAGCTCTGAAATAGTTTATTTTTCTTTGCGTAAAGCTTTTCATATACATATATTGACCAGGCACGCCTCATCGACCAACCAGTATTTGTTTTTAGTATGAAGGCCAAAGGCCCATATTCAAATAACAATTTAAAATTATGGTAGTGGCAATATACATACTTTGAAACATTGATTGCAGTTTAGATTGAGAGAACTGTCATGGCTGCCCCGTCCGTTTGTAGTCCGTTTGCTGAGTCACATTTGCGTTCCATTAGTAAATATTTTATGGTCACGGTAAAGTCGTACTGACAACCGAGGTAACCACCTGGGCCCACTTGCACAAAGCGATCTTAGCGCTAAGATGATCGTAACTCTCATACTTTAACACAGGCTTACAAGAGTCTTAGCGCTAAGATCGCTTTGTGCAAGTGGGCCCAGGGTTGACAAGACCCAACCTCAGTTAACAGCGTTAATCAAGGGGAACCTTAGGGCAGCACCCAAACTAAAACGCAGAAAATGCAACCGCGGTTTTAGTTTAGGCTGCCAGGATAGGAGAAACACAACAGCCATTCCTGTAACACACAGCTATGAACTGTTAACAACACAATGTTTCATTGCTTGACAAGGCTGTAATTGTACCTTATTTCTAATTAACGCATGTAAAACGCATAAAAAGAAAATAACGCATAGAACATCAAACGAGATGCGATATAATCATCAAAGTTGCATTATTGATTCTAAATTATTTATATCAACATTCGGAAGTTAAATTTCCCTGATGCATATCAGTATACATATATGTTATCAAGTTAAACTTCTTTATTAACTCAAACCGCCGACCGGTGGTATATGAGCGACATAACAGCATACATATATACAAAAATACAATGTGATCAAATGGCAACAGTGCTTTATTTTAGTGCAGAAAGTAATATTTTTACAAATTTAGACAGTTTTTTAAGATTGTAAGTTGTCATATTTGACATCAAATGCTTAAAGGAAATAATGTTTGACCAGTTTAGATATCTATTATCAATTAATGTTTTTCTTTGCTGGTCAATACCTGGTTACTTGATTATCTCCCCAAACCCCTACATCCCATTTCCCCTACAACCCAGTTCCCCTACAATTAGTTAAAACAACACGCGGCATTTACCTGTCTGGCATTATGAACTCACCTAAAGGAGAGAATAAGGTCTGGAGTAGAGGTAGTAGAAATGAAAGGGGTAGAGCTTTAGGGGATTAGGGGACTTAAAGGAAAGTTTAAAAAAATTAAATTAATGTATGTGTAATGAAAGACGCCTGTATGATGAGAAGACAATTTTTAGAAATTACAAAAATAACAATAGGAAGAAACAATTATTACACTGAGAAACTGAGATGAGACGATTTACAGTTGAGATGAAAAATGAACATTTTGTTATAATGTATTATGAATTTTGAAAAATGAACATTTTATTATAATGTATTATGAATTTTGAAAAATGAACATTTTATTATAATGTATTATGAATTTTGAATAATATCCTAATCGTAATTAAATATTTATCTCAATCTATTCGAGTTTCTTGGGTTGTTCCATTGTATGAAATAGGTAACAGACTAGGGATTAGCAGTGCCATGGACCGTGAACTTTGATGTCTTAAGCTGTAGGGGAAATGGGATGTTGGGGTTTTGGGAGGTTACCGGTTACTTACAATGCTCATATTCATGACAGAATCAATAAATGAATAAGCTTCAATGATGACGTCGCTTGAAGGCTGCTATCCAGAGTACCACGCTCCAGGTGTTCAGTAGGTATGGGCAACTCAGGTCAACCGAAGTATGTGCATGAGTGAGTGAGTGAGTTGGGTTTAACGCCGCTTTTTTACAGTACTACAGTCATACCGCGGCTTGTCAGCTTAATGTGGGAGGAAAACCCGAAGTGATGCAGGTCTCAGACGTTTACCACTTTGGTGAAACCCTCGAGCACGGATATGTGCTGACAAAACTAGAAATATAAGCGGGGCGAACCAGGATTCGAACCCACAATCATAGGTTTCTGGCGTGCCCAAGGGACGCAACTCTGCACAGCGAATCGCGGCGCCTTAGATGACTGGGCCACCGTGTCCCCCAACCGAAGTATGACGTCAAACAGTCAACATGAGCTAACATAAGCTCACGTTCACCTGACACATCCGGGATTTTTTTTAATCGAACTCAAGCACCACGATAAGGTACGATGTTGCATGTGCCCAGGATCGCTGTGGGGATTCCGGAGTGTAGTAGCTCCTTTATGTCCTCTGTTTGTCTTCCCGTGAAGATCCGGGGTAGAATAGATCTTCAGGAACCCATGCTTGCCGTAAAAGGCGACTATGCTTGTCATAAGAGGCGACGTACGGGATCGGGTGGTCAGGCTCGCTGATTTGGTTGATGCATGCAGTGGATTTGTTACAGAAAACATTTTTCATTGTGAAAGTTAACTTGAATAAAAAATGAGAAATGTCATTTGCCCCCCTCCCCCCTGTCAAAAAAAAGTTATCTACGGCCTTGGCATGTCATCGCTTCCAATTGCATGGATCGATGTTCATGGTGTAAATCACTGGATTGTCTACAGACCGACGTCATACAGCGGGAATATTGCTGAGTGCGGCTCAAAACAACAAACCAACCAAACAACCTGTGGTTGTCCCAAGAGTAGGCTAATGAGGATCACGTGGGTACAATATGTGACCTGGCTGATTGTGCGTCATCGATACCGAGGCTGTCAACCACTCGTTTGCCTATCCCAGGTTCAATTATTTACAGGCCTCCGGGATATAGCTGGAATGGTACTGATTGCGGCGTGAAACATTATTCACTCACTATGGCTTCTCTGTTGAACGTCAATATAATTAAGAAATAAACGACTCGTGGTCGTTGTTATTTCTTATATGAGATATCAACATTTTGTACAGCCTCTTCAAGGATGATGATAAAATAATTAATGTACAAGCGTTAAAAATATTTACCCGTAATTTAATATATAATAATGACCCCCTGAATAGAATCAGACCTCGGCAATGTCGGACAAGTCCATTTTAACATTTTTTATCAAGTTGCAAGCGGAAGTTCGAATCTGAAATGTTTTATCGTGAAATAAACCACACTTCGTTCTTTATTGTTCTTTGCGATTTATAGCGTAACTATCTCATATATATAAATATAAGGCATGATTTTCGTTCGAGAGGAGTGATTTTTGTTTTGATTGTTTTTGTTTGTTTTTTGTTTTATTTGTTTGTTTGTTTTGGGGGTGGGGGTCGTTTTAAATCACATGCCATTTATCATCCTCGGTTAACCAGTGTATTATAAATCTGCTCTATTTTGAAAAATACCTATTTGCTGCCATTGCTTCGTTTTGTGCCCGATTCCAAAAGCACAGGGATACAATTAACCGTTAGAGAGAGGAAAAGATAGGGGTGGTTACATCACCTTCGAAACGTGATGTCGAATGGCTTCGGGGTATGATAGAATGGAGATATAATACACTGGATAATCAATCATAATCAATTATTAATCCCGGCTTACGAATGACATCTGTTCAGATGTGAACATATACAGAAATATGTATTACTGTCAGTGTTACTCCATGTACATATATATGTGTGTATGTGTTTCGACCCAGGGATCGCTGACAAGCTCTTAGACTGCATGCAATTCAAGAAAATATCGACATTTTTTATCACTACATTTTTTATTTGCTAAAAAAAAGAGATACACAATACTGATCGCAAACGCCAATATTCAATAATGCAAACAAATCAAGACTAAACGTACATGTAGGAGAATAAATGTAATACAATCAGGTAGGAAAGGAGTCAACTGTATGATTTTAATGAATTATGACAAGATTCTATCGTGGTCAGGTTAACAAGGTGTCATGACCGCATTGTATACGATTCGACCTTTTTTTTATTAAAAATAATAAGTCTAGCATCATAATCATAGAATCATTCCAGGAATACAAACGTTGATTGTTAATTATTTAAATAAGTTATATAGACTCACTGAAAAAACATCTATCATCTAACGGCTATGGGTATTCATTCAGGCAAGTTGTCCTTCATATTGCATGCATTCAATGCGCACGTTTGGACTATTCCGTCATTTTGTTTCAACTGAATTTAAGAATACAATGAGTATGGAAAGCGGCTGATTTATTTCAGTTGCGACTAGTGAAATAAGAAAAGGAAATAACAAGGAGATATAAACACCATGGCGTCGTCATCTGGACACCAGAGTTGAGAGGGCACGGGACTCCATATCCGGGCTGACCTGCGCACTCCGCGGCTTTTGTTGTGACGTTGTACACGCTATACAGGAGGTACTTCCGGTACGGGTCCGGCGTGTATCTCAGTAGTCGGATTCCAACAGGAGTCAGGGAATTGTCTTGGATGAAATCCAGCGTCTGGAAGTGGCATCTAGAAAACAGTTAACCAACTTTTATATACCCATACAGAGTGAACTACAGATAACGTGTTAATTGCGGACTAGCCGTCGTCATATAACTGGAAAAACTATGAGTTAAACAAGAAATAAACGTGAGACCCCGGGGCCATTTCTCCCTATCACTATTATGTTTGTTTGTGGTTAAACGTCGCACTAAGCAATATTCCAGCTTAATGATGGCGGCTATAGTCTGTCTTAAAGTCCTGGAATCATATTATTTTCCTTCTCGCCAGCCCTTCCTGTAATGATATAGCCCTAAATGAAGCAAGTCTAGATTTTACACAGGTTCTGAATCTCCTACCTCACTGGGGCTCCTTTTCAACTTCAATGTAGTTGCAGGTTTCTGTGAGATATATTTTCAGAGTCTAAGCGTTAGTGTGGACAGCTGTTTGTAAATAATCGAGTGTGGGCCAGACAAACGATTGATTGATGATATGAGCAATCAGCCTTTCACACCATTAGGGTACGATGACGCGCAATCAACCAAGTCACCCAGTCTGACAACATTTCACAAGACGATCGGAGCGCGACGATTGTCGTAAGTCTACGTTAAAATATAGGAGTTGCGCGTTACGATCGATTTGTGAATGGGGTCCCTGACCATTTATAGTCGCGACACGCATATACGTCACTTGGTACCGCTTCTGACGTGGACACCCCCGCGGTTCACTGAGAGGTAAACCTATCGGTTTATTACCTGTCAGCCATGACCGATGAACAGTCGTCTGCCGTGTAGCCAGTCACTGCAGACGCGTTCACAAATGTCGTCTGCTCAAACAAAATGACCAGATACACTGCGTCCTCAGTTGGGGCCACAGGTGTAAAGTACGGGTAAACCTCTACACCGGAAGTGACGTTTGTGCCATGGATATTGACCACGCCCCAGTGAATGGAGGCGTTGTGGTTGGTGGAGTTGATGTCGCCGGTAGCGTCTAGTAGAACCAGAGAGTACATCTTGTCTGAAATAAATAAATATTTTCCTGGTTTTATAAATTTCAAGACTTCCAATGTTATGTCTTCTGAGAAAGACTTTATTCCATCTTAAAAAACAACAACATACTTTTGTCGTGAGAGAAAAAAATGTGGTCTTTTCCTGTACTTACTTGGACGGCATAGCGCACCAAGACTGTTGTAAAAATGTTGGAGTGATGGTCTTCATTAATGGATGAAATCCTTGACTACCTATGTATAATAACGTACAGGGAGTGTAAGGACGTCAACATGTTAATGCATAGACTGGCAGAAGTATCTGTTTCTATACTAACGGGGAAAGGGTAACCGTGCTTCAATAACAATCTATTCTGAAAATAAACAATGCATCTTTTAATTCACATGAAGACATCACCTCGACTTTAAGGTCGTGATTCATAATTTGCACGGCGCACAATTTAGATGTTTGCCGGTTTGTTGGAACCTGATACTCTCATACGTGTTTTTTAAATTTGAACAGCACACAATGATTCTTTTGCTATCATGTGCTCATTATAACACTTTTGTATCTGTAAATAAAGCTCACGCAATGTCACGGTTTGCTGAAAATCAATGTCCTCGTGACGTGGGTAGGCTGCAAACAGGAATGGCGCAACACGCAGTTGCCAGACATTGTAATGTTCATCGAGACACAATATCATCTCTTTGGAGACAACATGTCAACACTAATGATGTGACACAGGCCGGCCCATAAAGACATCACGTTTAAACGTGAACCACATTCGGTTGGTGCATCTACGGAATCGATACAAAACAGCTCGGACAATTCAGAGACCAATTAATGGTCTTGCTTGGTTCAGATGAACCAGCTCCACGGGACGTGTAGGGGTCGAAAGGCGTCTACGAGAACGTTTTGCGACGCTTGAGTTACACAACTAGTCACTGTTAATAGCAATTTGAATGGCGTTCGCTACCGGGACGACATCGTTCGAGATCATGTTCTACCCTTTGTGCAAATGTAGGGACGTAACGTCACTGCAGCAGGATAGTACCCGCCCACACGTTGCACGTGTTGTAACAGATAGCGTAACATTGATTTCCTGCCATGGCAGGCTGTTTCTCCAGACCTCTCTCCCATAACACATGTCTAGGTTTAGAAGGAACGACGCTTACGACAGGACCAGAACCGTAACGCTAGCTCAGTTGCTCCAATCTTTGGCTGACATTTTTGAATAACATCCTCCACGCAGTTTTCAATCATCAGGGGCCCGTTTCATAAAGAGATCGTAGCACTAAGACGGTCGTAAGTCTTTGTTAAAGTATAGGAGTTACGGTAGTCGTAGCGCTACGATCGCTTTATGAAACGGACCCCCGGTGTCTTCAGTGCGCCGCCACTGCCTCGCCTGTGTCAAGGCAAATGGTAGTGACACATGTACACCACTTTATATGAGTGAGTGAGTTGGGTTTAACGCCGCTTTTAACATTATTCCAGTTATATCACGGCGTGACAGCTTAATGTGGGAGAAAAGCCCGAAGTGATGCAGGTCTCAGACGGTTACCACTTCGGTGAAACCCACGAGCACGGGTATGGTGCTGACAAACCTAGAAACACAATCGGGGTGAACCGGGATTCGATCCCACAATCATATGTTTCTGGCAAGTCCAAGGGACGCAACTCTGCACAGCGAATCGCGGCGCCTTTAGACGACTGGGCCACCCGTGAAAACGAAGTCTTTTGCTTCAACCGTTGAAGTGAACGCGGTGAAAATAAAGTGTGCATGTGCCCAGTTTCAATAATATATACATTGTCACCAAGTTGTTATACTTTAATTTTCTGTATATATGTGAATTCCATCTGTGGTGTCCACCGTCGTAATATTGTTGAAATAGTGCTTAAAATGGCGTAAGACCGTACTCTGTCACTGTATATCAAGACCCGTAAAGGTCCGGGTTAGGACAGGTCTTCAGGAACCCATGCTTGCATTCGTGACCAACTCGTGTTATTCCGGGACAAGCCGAATAGCGACTCGTGCCCCGCTCATGGCCATTTTCGCGACCGGGTTCCGTCTTAACGCAAACGGGCATACCTAAAACAATTGTCAACTCGTTGCGTAATGGTTCACTTACATTTCCCCATATATTATCTATATTTCAAATGCAATTTAATCCACATCAGGACGTGCGAAATTATACAATATGATTGAACACATTTAACTGCGTCTTTGGTATATTTTTAGATGCAAGACATATGTAAAATCAAAAATTATTTCTGAGGGATTCTTTGACGAAGAACTTGAAATCATGCGCGCATTCTGATTGGTTTGTCGTATTTTCGCACACAACATTCATCGATATGGGGACGAGTCTTACGGAAAGGGGCGAGCGGTGACGAATGCCCATGCTTGCTGTAAAGGGCGACTATGCTTGTCGTAAGAGGCAATTAACAGGATCGGGTGGTGTATTAAGTTTTGTATCCGACATCAAACGTTTGACCTGGTTCCCAAATGAGTGAAAGGATAGCACTCCATTTCCGTTTCATAGTCGAACCAATGTCTGGTCCCACTTTTAAGTTTCCCACTTACTTGCCAAGGTCTGCGTGGTGGTGGTGGGGTTCTCCACGGTGCGGAGCGTGACGGAGGGGGTGCGGCGGTACGTGACGGAGCCATGGATACCGTAGCTGCTGTAGTCGAGGGTTGTGTTTACAGACCTACAAAGGGCAACGTTAATCCTTCAAAAAATGCTAAGTGCTAATTGGTTTACCGGGCTACCTGTTGGGCAAGGCAACCGTTGAAATTGGCGTTAGCAAGTGCGTTTAATAATTACGCCTTGATTGAACTTTAGTCAACTGACTTTACCGCATTTCTGACAACCAAGGTTAATTAAAGTTAAACTCGAGTTCAACAGTGTCAATGATGGATAACATAGGCCAGAATCCGAAGAACAATACCGTAAATGCACCAACAAAATTCCGTCAAAGGACATTAAGACAACGCGGAATATATCACAGATTTACAATGAACATAAAGTGAATGAATGCGTTGGGTTTAACGCCGCTTCTAACAGTATCCCAGTCATATCACGGCGTGTCAGCTTAATGTGGCAGGAAAGCCCGAAGTGATGCAGGTCTCAGACGTTTACCACTTTGTTGAAACCCACGAGTATAGGTATGGTGCTGACAAACAACCTTGAAACGTAATCGGGGAGAACCGGGATTCGAACCCACGATAATTGGTTTCTGTTGTGCCCAACGGACGCAACTCTACGCAGCGAATTTCGTTTTATCCTAATCGTCCGTTTGTTTGAAGTGAGGTGAGGTGAAGTGAAATGGGGTTTAACGTCGCGTCCAAGAATATTGCATTTATATAGCGACGTGCATGCACGTTTATGTGTGTGTGTGTGGCTGCTTGTACTAGTCCGGACTGATGCCGATTTATAGTGCTAGCACACTGAGATACCGTGCCGCAGTTTAACATGAATACCCCACTCAGACACAGTATACTGACTCCGAGCCGACCAGTCCTTGATTTAGCCCCTTAATGCCGAGCGCCAGACAGGGAAACAACAAGTACCATCTTTTAACGTCTTTTGGTAAGACGCGACCGGGAATCGAACCCCGGACCTCCGCTCTCCGGGCGGACGCCCTACCATTAGACCACGGAGGCAGTCCCGTTTGTTTGAGGCAAGGCTATATTGATATATTGTATAAGTAAAAAAACTGGAGTCGACCGGGAGGTGAAAAACATGATAAAAAGACTACCCTATAGGGCACATGCAACAAAAACGACAAGAATACACCTACTGTTGGTGGTGTTTTGCGCAGCAGGAAGTATACGTTATAGCGGGGGCGGTAAAGTGAAGGTCCAGAGAGACTCTCAGGTGAAGTGGGGACGTCAGGTACGTCAGTCCACCTCGCTGGCCGATGTAATTGTCCAGCCCTGATGATTGTAAACATACATAAATATAAAGATTGTGCATTCTTATGTAAGGAATGGTAAAGTATCTTTTCACAGAACATCCCGTTATTATCTTTCATTCCTCTACCGGTAAGGTGAGGTAGTCTCGTGGTAACAGCGTCACCTATGGCTCAGGTTCGATTTCACACTTTGGTACAATACTGGAATATTGCTAAACGCGGCGTAAAACTATACTCATTCACTCTATTGTACCCGAACACAAAGTACAGGTATTACTGTCGGAATCTGAATCCATTTTGGGAACTTAACAATCTTTTATTTATCTTCTGGCGGGCGTCCAAATAGATTAATTGATGCCAAAAGAGGCCCTTCATGTGTCTGTGCTAAAATACGGCACCCGTGAAGATCCGGGGTATTAGAGGTCTTCAGCAATCCATGCTTGCCGTAAAAGGCGACTATGCTTGTCGTAAGAGGCGACGTACGGGATCGGGTGGTCAGGCTCGCTAACTTAGTTGATGCATGTCATCGTATCTCAATTGCTCGGATCGATGCTCATGATGTCAATCACTGGATTGTCTGATCCAGACTCGATTATTTACAGACCGCCGTCATATCGCTGGAATATTGCTGAGTGCGGCGTTAAACAACAAATATCTATAACCTAAAACATGGCACTGACACTACATACTCATACAGTTATTATATAAAAAAAACATTGATATTAAATTAATGTGTAAGGCTTTAATATTTGCTAAAAAAACAAAAAACTAGTATTATAATTGTGTATTTGTTTTAGTGCCGTCAACATCACTGCAACACCGTGGGCATTCCATACTAACGGGTGGTCAGGTTCGGTGATTTGGTTGGACCGTTCCTCGTGATATCAGCCATTATTTTTCCTCGGTCAGGGTCTATTATTTACAGTCTGTCATCATAAAATTGGACTATTGCTGAGTCCAGCGACAAACAACAAAACAAACACCATCCACGAATTGAGGAGATATGCCACGATGAAGACCTGTTCTACCCCGGATCTTCACGGGTCCAATCCTTTTATGTGAGTGAGCTGCAAAATAACAGTACTGGTCACATACACTGATGTCCAGCTGTGGATGGTTTCCCAAAACAATCTTAGCGCCGTCTGTATCATATCTGTTAAAGAGGGGCGAGGCCCCGGCTAAATTGCAAATATAATTCAAGCCATTTAAACCCAACTTTTTCAATTTTACAAATATACACAACCAATTTCAATTTAACGAATACCCCTAATAACACAGACACAATGTCTCATTTTTACAAATGTCACCAATGACAACCTTTGGATCCAGATTGGAAACGTGCACTGGTTAGTGAAATCAACATTGAGTCTCGCCTTTAAACTTCGGGAGTTATGACAGTGCTAAGATCCCTTTGTGAAACCGTGCTCTACCCTGATAATTAGTATACTCACACAGGCCGTAGTAGACGGGGCAGCGGTTGAGGAGGCCGTACGTCATGCTGGCCACGGTTGCATACTCGTCTGTCGTCACACGCATGATATTTACACCATAGGGCCCTGCAGTGCAAAAACAGGTCACCCTTTGTACTACCCCGAAAGATCAAGTACCCAGTATTATAAGAGCGAGTGAGTGAAAATGTAACGTCACATCGGCAGTATTTCAGCCATATCGCGATGAGAAGTTATACATTTATACTACTAAATAAAAAGCTGTCAACGATGGACAGCACAATAAGTAGGATATCATAGAAAAGAATGGAGATATACACCTGAAAATGGGTATCTATTCTCTGATTCCGGTTAAAATAAGTACCTAGGATTATCAGAACAGAATGTTGATATAATACCGCTGATGATGGTTGTCTCCTTTATGGTTCCGGTTGAAATAAGTACCCAGGATTATCAGAACAGAATGGGGATATAATACATTTGATAATGGGACCTTCTTGATTTCAGTTAAAACTTGGTATCCAGGGGCTATTTAAACGTCAATTCCTCGGGAATAAAGATTGAAGAATAAAGTTTTCCAAATTCTTCCACATTGTAGACTCGATGGGTACGTAACGCGCAAACGGCTCGCCCCACCAGTACCTGACTACACCAAGTAACATTACCTAGAAGACTGTATCGACTCATTAGTTCATCCAGGTACACGCTTCTCGAGTCGTTCTCCATCGCAGAGTGGATGTAGTCTTTGACATCATCAACTTGAAGCACCCCCTGTTGTTCAAAGACCGCCCATACATACGGACCCTCCCGAGAAAGTAGATTGTCAGGGCCTGCATACTCAACCACAGTCTGAGGGTATGAAAAACGATAATCAGTACTGGTCCCAGTTAACAAAGTGATCTTAGCGCTTAAGTGATCGCAACTCCCATACTTGAACATAGGCTTATACGACAGTCGTATCGCTTAGATCACTTATTGGAGTGAGTGAGTGAGTGAGTTGGGTTTAACGCCGCTTTTAACAGTATTCCAGTTAAATCGCTGCGTGTCAGCTTAATGTGAGAGGAAAGCTCGAAATGATGCAGGTCTGAGACGTTTACCACTTCGGTGAAACCCACGAGCACAGGTATGGTGCTAACATACCTAGAAATATAATCGGGGCGAACAGGGATTCGAACCCACAATCATAGGTTTCTGGTGTGCCCAAGGGACGCAACTCTGCACAGCGAATCGCGGCGCCTTCGACGACTGGGCCGGGTCATGGCAGGATTCCCTGATGCAAAGGTCACCAAGCTCGGTGATGAGTCAGGGTGACTACTTTTCTTGTATGACTGCCGTGGTCTAGGTAGAGCGTCCACCCAGGGAGCGGAAGGTCCGGGGTTCGATTCCCGGCCGCGTCATACCAAAAGACGTTAAAAGATGGTACTTGTTGTTACCCTGTCTGGCGCTCGGCATTAAGGGGCTAAGGATTCGTCGGCTCTGAGTCAGTATACTGTGTCAGAGTGGGGTATTCATATTAAACTGCGGCACGGTATCTCAGTGTGCTTGCACTATAAATCGGCATCAGTCCGGACTAGTACAAGCAGCCACACACACACGTGCATGCAAGTCGCTACATAAGTGCAATAATCTTGGACGCGACGTTAAACCCTATTTCACCTTACCTCACCTCACCTCACCTCTTTTCTCGTATTTGTGGTACACGCGTGATAGTCAGACTCGGTGACTTGGTTGACAAATGCCATCGTACCCCGGTGCCCTGGGTCGTTGCTCATATTATCAATCACTAGATTGTTTACAGGGCGTTGTCACATAGCCTGAATATTTCTGAGTGTCGGCGTTAAGCAACCAACAAACATATATTACAGTAGCGTTGAGAACACTAGTCAAATAACACTGACTTCAAAACATGACAACCTGTTCCTTGGTTGGTTGGTTGGTTGTTTTAACGCCGCACTCAGCAATATTCCAGCTATATGACGGCGGTCTGTAAATAATCGAATGTGGACCAGACAATCCAGTGATTGATTTGATGAGCATCGATCCACGCAATTGGGATCGATGACATGCATCAACCAAGTCAGCGAGCCTGACCACCCGATCCCGTTAGTCGCCTCTTACGACAAGCATTGTCGCCTTTTACGGCAAGCATGGATTGCTGTAGACCTATTCTACCCCGGATCTTCACGGGTCCTGTTTCTTGGAGTCACGTCTGATAAGACAGCGAATATGCATTGCTTGGTAGGTTTGCACAAAACTATAAATTGTCTGGTTATCAACACTGTCTTTAGACATTTTGGTTATAAAAAAGTGATGATGCTACATATGGTATAACAAGTGTCCTCACCTCGCCGTCGTGCACGCTGCCGCCATGGACGTTGACGTACAGCGCGTGCATAATGAACATGCTGGCGTCATACAGAATAACGGTGTATTTGATGCCATGTTCTGATGGCCATGTGACTTCCGGCTGCTCGCGCAAGTCAAAGGGTTTGTATAAGCTGGTATTCAGTGGGTCAATGGAGAATACCTGCGGCGTTGTGAGTGGGGCGGTGACCTTGACCCCACAGCCGTCATACATACCTAAAGATCAGAAATACCGGTTTAATGTCATTTCCACGTCATAAGGCAAAATTAAAAAAATAGTATGAACACCAGCATAATTATAACCCTTTTGTTCAAAGGATATTAAAACGAAAACAATGAAATACTGTCCGCCAGAAGTTAGACTCTCCCTATAGACTTCTATGACAGGCTATATTTTGATTATTATATGAATTAACTTCGTTGAGAGGCAGGGGCAGTGGGGTAGCCCAGTGGTTAAAGCCTTAGCTCGTGACGCCGAAGGCCCGGGTTCGATTCCCTACATGGGTACAATGTATGAATCCCATTTCTCGTGTCCCCCGCCGTGATATTGCTGGAACATTGCTAAACACGGCGTTAAATCATATAGAAGTTTGAGAACAAAGAAAGGATAAGATATTGGGATGAACAACTGCACATGTAATAAAGAAAATGTTCATCCATATATATCTTATCCTTATTCACAAGGTGACACCTAAAGTCACGTGACACATTGTGACGCGGTACTGCACGTGTTGCGCCTAGTGCGACGCGCAATACCACCACTCTCACAGCAGTGGTACTTAGCACACGTTGTTCCCTTTATCAGGCGTCAGTATTACACGACGATGCTACTCATACTCACGCTCCGTGCCGTCATCTGCAACAAATTAGACCAGCAAGTTAATTAGATGCACGATAAACAATAGCATGGCAGGTACTTGGACAATGCGTGACAAACCTAATGACTACATTAGTCGCCGAACACAAGATCCAGTCAAACGAGAAGGACCCCAGTCAGGTTCTCATGGTATTCTCCTAAAATAACTACAGGCCAAAATCATTACAGCCTGAAACAACGAAGTTATTGGTCCAGTGGGCAGCTAATCCCCTGTCTGTTCCCTTTATTCTGTAGTGGACTAGTCTTTTACAAGACCAAATACATAATCACTAAACTAAACAGAATGATTTCTATTTTCACAGGATAAAATGTTTAACATATCTTTTAATATTTTGCAAAATGCCTGTTATTTTGATAGTTCATTTAAAAATTATACAGAGTTAGAGCAGATATCCATTTAAATGTCCATTGAAAATCTACAAAAACAACTGGCCAAAACCTCTTATATTTTACAACGAAGGAGAAACATGTTTTATCACTGGTGTTATTATATTACTTGTATATAGGTCGTATATTATCTTTTACTACAGTCTCTCATAATTCCATAAGGAATGGCCTATGTACTTTAATCCAAATATTGCTGCTGTGCGTCAAACAGCATTCACGCATTTTCTCACGCGCCGGGTTCTCTGTGCAATTGAGGGGCATCGGTAGCCAAGACGTCTGAGGCGCCGCATTTCGCTATGCAGAGTTGCGTCCCTTGGGCGCGTCAGAAACCTATGACCGTGGGTTCGAATCCCGGTTCGCCCCAAATATGTTTCTAGATTTGTAAGCATCATACCATCAAAGTGGTAAACGCCTGAGACCTGCATAACGTGGGGCTTTCCTAAGACATTGAGCTGACACGCCCTGATACAACTTGAATACTATGTAAAGCAGCGTAAACGCCAACTCAGTCAGTCAGTCTGTACAATACTATAGGTTAGATTGCCGGAGAGAGAAATGACGTATTGGTATAAATGGCTCGTCGTACTCACCGGGCAACTGGATAGTGTAGGTGACGTTGACGATGAAGCTCATGTAGGCGGGGTCGAGAGAGTACTGTCCCGTCATCCGACTGAGAAGGGAGTCGGTGCGGTCGCTGTGGCGGTTGATGCACTCATACCGGCCGTCTTGACGCTGGGGACAGTTCGTCGTATACGACGTTCCAAACCAGAACGCTGACTGATCCAACAGAACGCTGCGCACGGCGTTCAAACACGTGACGTCATAAGATGCGCTGCACGCTGTGTCCGAGTATGTACCTGGCAGAATATATTATATCACATATTACAAAACAGGAAGTATTCAACACCATCTGTACACTCTTCAAAAAAAGAAACGCACAGGTAGTATGTAGTTCACTGAACCTGACCACACAAAACATCCGGTATAGAAATTGGATATATGTTATTGGAAAATGTTCGTGGCCTGATATTCGACAAACGGTGCGTAAAAACGCAGCCATTGTCGATTTGCAATGTCTTAAACGGCATTGTTTTCACACTTGTTCAAAAATGTTATGGAGGATAACAGTAAAACAAAATGCTCGTGCAAGTTATGGCATTCGTAACTCGTGGTAGTGGCTATAAAAAGGCAAGCATTAGCCAATAATGTGTCATTCAATTGTCAACATTTTTCAAGTTCGAAAATGCCGAGACTCAGCGCTGCCGATCAGAACAACGCCACAGGACGTATCCAAAGAGGGGAATCGCAGTCTTCTGTTGCACGCCACTTCAACGTCCACCACAGCACCATTTACCGCCTTTGGGGCCGATACACACAGTTCAATTGCACTGCAGTCCGTCCGAGAACCGGCCGACCAAGAGTTACCACCCCTGCACCCCTTCCACCTACGTCATCGCAATGCCACAGCTACGGAGACTGCAGGACGCATCCCTAGTTTCAGCGCAACCTTGAAGCCTTATGTGACATGACAATGAACAGATTTCAATGCCTTTGTACAACGACAACATGGTTACTATCGAGCTCCAAAATGTCATATTTGTATTTATGATACTGAATTAATTATATCGACTTTTACGAAAAATCTAAGTGTGCGTTTCATTTTTTGAAGAGTGTATATATGGCGCTACGGTTTGATAGGGATACTGCTCTCATTTCATTATAAACTGCCAGGCAAAATAAAGTATACACACATTGTTGATGGTGGCAGAAAATGAAACAAACAAGGAATGTTTACTAGTATTCGATGTACTTGTAAGGATATGCCAGTTATGTTTTTGACGTTATGTTTGAAGTGTTTCAGCGGCTGTCTTCAGCCTGGGGTCGTTTTGATAACGTTTGTAATTTTGGGGTCAAATCCAATTCCATCGTATACTTTGTTTTGCCCTGCAGTTTACATCGAAGTGATTCCGGGAAATCACGGTACCTGTCAACTGCTGATTGGTATATAGCGGAAGGTGCGTCTATCTTATATTATAGACATCCACTTATTTCAATCTGTGTAAAGGTATGATCTTATCATACTTTCATATCCATTATGATAAGAGCAAAACTGCCACAGCTTGACTCTCCTTCTGAATTAATCGCAGTGCTACGTTGCAACGCCATCACGTAAAATTTCTAAAGCTGCACTTACGTCAAATCTAGCAACGTATTTAAATGTGTATTGCATCTGATAAAGAATTACAGTGACTGACGTATAATCGTTATGGATCGAAGAAGAACCAGCAAACATTTTAATGTGAAACTCCGTTAGCACGGGCGGCGCCGTTCCTGGTAACACCGCCCGAATTAAAGTAGTATGGTAGAAGGGAAAACGACCTTGGTATACTTGTAGACATCCCCAGCGTTGCTGGTTTCAACAACAACGACAGCGACAGCATCGATAATGATCATGATAATTTGCATTATTCTTAGAAATCTTTTATTTTCATGGTTTCCTATACATTCATTATTCCAATAAAAGGGGTTTCAGAAGATCATCTAGATTTCCTCCTCCAATAAAGGGGGTGACAAAAGTTCATCTAGATTTCCCCCTCCAATAAAGGGGTTTCAGAAGATCATCTAGAATTCCTCCTCCACTAAAGGGGTTTCAGAAGATCATCTAGATTTCCTCCTCCAATAAAGGGGGTGACAAAAGTTCATCTAGATTTCCTCCTCCAATAAAGGGGTTTCAGAAGATCATCTAGAATACCTCCTCCAATAAAGGGGTTTCAGAAGATCATCTAGATTTCCTCCTCCAATAAAGGGTGTTTCAGAAGATCATCTAGAATTCCTCCTCCAATAAAGGGGTTTCAGAAGATCATCTAGAATTCCTCCTCCAATAAAGGGTGTTCCAGAAGATCATCTAGAATTCCTCCTCCAATAAAAGGGGTTCCAGAAGATCATCTAGAATTCCTCCTCCAATAAAGGGGGTTTTAAAAGTTCATATAGATTTCCTCCTCCAATAAAGGGGGTTTCAGAAGATCATCTAGATTTCCTCCTCCAATAAAGGGGATTGCAAAAGACCATCTAGATTTCCTCCTTCAATAATGACCCCTTTTATGGCCGCTGCACAAATGCGATAAATTTGAAACATTCTTAATAAGGTGACCAAAGTTTTACGTTGTAAATCGCAGACGACGTAATTGCTTCATGAGCCAATCAACAAGCCCCTGTCAATAATTAACAGACAGTAAACAGTCAGTCGGGGGTCGCGGGGGAATCTTTGAGTGGGTTATACACGCCTTTCATGTATATATCACTATGTAATCCACGGAATGAAGGTACGTATTTCATTAGAAGATAACGTACACCTGGAGTAGAGTACAAGTGGAATATTGACAAATTAAAGAATTGATATGTTTTGTTCATTAACTCCCATGCAAAAGAAAGAATACGCTTGAAAATTGGATTTGACCACCAAAACGAAACAAGGCTGAACGCAGTCGCCAAAATACTGAAAACCTTAGGTCTAAAACACAACTATGACACCCGTATTAAATGCAAAAAACATTTTCTATGTGTATACTTTCTTTAACCCACATTTTTTTCTTTAAAAAACCTTGATTTCACCTTTACTCAGATCATGCCAATGTCTGTTATTAAGGTTATGTTAATTATTGTCTTCAATTTCAACAGAACAAGTGATCTTTTATTTGAAAAAAATGATGTAGGTTACATGTTCATACCTAGCCTAAGTGAAATTTAGTTGCATACCAATATCCGTTTTAAGCACAGGGGTTTGTAGCTCTCCCATATTATAATACTGATAATAAAGTGCATATTTATACTGCGCCAACCGCACACTAAAGCGTGCTCAAAGTGTTACATTATTGTCCCGGTCAATGGATCAGTGTGCACTCAATTTTCATTCTCAGCTCCCTGAGGAGTATTCGATTTAAATAGTAATTTCGAGCGACATTAAGACATAATGAAGTTAGTATCATGAGTGAGTGAGTGAGTGAGTATGGTTTAGCAATATTCCAGCAACATCACGGAGGGGGACACCAGAAATTGGCTTCACACATTGTACCCATGTCGGGAATCGAACCCGGGTCTTCGGCGTGACGAGCGAACGCTTAAACCACCAGGCTGCCCGACCGCAACCGAGAGGTAAGTATAAGAAAAGCCACAAGAACAGCATTGATGTTGAACTAAATACATGACGCATATACGTAATATATTTGCAAACGTAGATGTTTATGGATGAAGTTGAACATTAAGGACGAGGTAGGATGAGGGCTAATTTGGCCCACTGGATGCCTCAAGTTATATACAGCCGCAGACAACTTTGAAAGACTGGTATGAAACTTATCAGACATGTTTAAATCGATTACATCAAGCCTTTTTTTCGTTCTTGCACTTGCAAGTTTTAGACTTTTTTATATGATACATATGTATAGCTAGAGTGAATTTTTTCAAACTTCAAAAGAACATCAAACAGTGATCAGGTCTGTGACCTAACATGATCTTTACAATATGTTTATACTGTTTTTATCTAAGTCTTTTTATGAAAATGAACTTGCTTCAAAGGCTTTCTCTTGTTCAAAGATTACCATTAGCGTTTGCTGAAGGCCTTTAAAATCAGCCTCTTGAGCACAGTTTAGCTTAACTAGCATGCATTTCGTGTTATTATAAGTCCAAAAGTTTCATTGTTGAACTGTACAAAACCTACTTCTCAATCATATGAACACATCTGAAAACTTTAACAACAAGTTTTGCTCAGTTATTAAATTATCCAGATCTTGTGGGTCTTTTCTTGCCTCGACCATAACAGAAGATATTTTTCTTGCAAAAAAAGTCAACGAATGACCACTCACCTGAAACTAGAAGAGATATGAGGGATATTTTCATCAGGGCTGCCATGTTCCTCACTCCTTCACTGCTGGGGCAGTACAACACATGCAGACAGGGTATCGACCTTATATATCCCGGGGTGCACTGGGGCGTTGTCAGGCGAGCTCTCGTGCATCCATCACCACTCGCCTCTTTCCGTAACTTGATTCGGAGCAACACGAGTCATAATGAGGCTATGTCGTGATGAAGCAATACGGGTGAATTCTCATGCGATCATGTAGGTTGCTGCCTTTGTTTTATCATTACCTAAACTGATGGTCAGTGACCCCATCTCACTGGTTGGTGTACGATATGGGATTTCATTGTATCAGTCTGTCATCGGAATATATTTCTTGTCAAATGCCTGGTTAAAATTAGAATTACCTGATGAATGAATTCCTTAGGTTATGGTTGCGACTTCATAAGTACACACTGTATATACTACGGTGGCCCATAAGGGACATGGAGTTTGTTTACTGTTATCGTAACCTTTTACAAATTAACACGATTTGCCATACAAATATGTGATAAATCATGTATAAAGTAGATATATAGTAGATTTTGTTTTTGACATGTTCGCTTCACTTTTCAGGGATTCAATATCTTCTTTATACATGATTTATCACATATTTGTATCACAAATCGTGTTAATTTGCAAAAGGTTACGATAACAGTAAGTTAAATATCAACATATTGAAAAACAGACTCCATGTCCCTTATGGGCCACCGTATTTTCGCTTTTGTTTTTGACCTTTTCATTTTAGTTTTTGACCTTTTCGTTTTTGTTTTGGACATTTCCATTTTAGTTTTTGACTTTTTCGCTTCACATTTCAGCGATTCAGTAGCTACTTTAAAAGTACATTTTCCATGTTTTCGGTTGTTTTTATGCATGATTTATCACATATTTGAATGATAAATTGTGTTTATTTGCAAAAGGTTACGATAAAAGTAAGTGAAATATCAAAATATCGAAAAACAGACTCCATGTCCCTTATTGCTCACCGTAATATACCTTTTTTTGTGTTTGATGTTAACGCCGCAATGTTCCAACTGTATGGCCACCGCCTGTTAATAATCATGTCTGAAGTAGACAATCCAGTGATCGATATTATGAACAACGATCCACGCCGCGGGGTACGATGTGCAGTCTGTTCTGAAGGCATGTCTTAGTTTTACTTATAAAACTGTTCGCCAAAACGCACCCTCTTACGACCAGCACAGGAAGCTGAATCCTCATGCTGTTCGTCTAAATCCCTTTAAATAAAGATCTGAATTTGTGTTTACATTTATTTGGATCCACTAATGCATACATTTGAAGTCGAGACCGTCTTAATAAAGTGTAAAATGTTAACGAGCTTGAATGTATACTGCTACAGAATGTACGCTTTAAATACTATTCACTAACTATGCATCGTTCCTATCTATACTGGCCGGGGTGCCGTTGTACAAAGCGATCTTAGCGTTGAGGCGATCGTAACCCCCCAAACCTTAACATAGACTTACGACTGTCATAGTGCTAAGGTTGTTTTGTACAACGGCACCCATTCGATAAACGTATTTGCATGCCACATCTTTACAGGATAAACAAATCTGTAATTAATCAAACGGCATTCTCCCAAATGTGTGTTAGTCAGTTTGCCATGTGAATTTTAGGCTTATTTAATTCTCTATTTTAACAGTAGACCCATAGATAAAGTTTGTTTTACGATTCTGCTCCCGAAAACGTCTATAACGTTATGATTAAAATAGAGGATTCATCCCGAGTGTTTTTTAATATGGGAAATATCAACCGAGTCTTAGTTAATCGGTATTTGCCGAGCCTTTGGCGAGGCAAATACCGATTAACGGGACGAGGTTGATATTGCCCATATTAAAAAACACGAGTGATGAATTCTATTTATCATTTTTACATTTTTGCTTCCCAATTAAGGAATAATTGCATTAAACATTAACATCAGCAACTTGTCGAAATCTTACGTATAGATCGTGCGTAGTGATACATGTTTTCCATAGCCGTGTAAACCAAAATAAACAACCTCTTAACTCCTTTATGACATATTCCTTCGCTCAGAAAAAAAGTTCCTCGGATTATTTTAAACAAAATACTTGAACAGACTTTTGCAGAATAATTGAAATAATGTTTCCAACATCAAAGGTATCCATGTTGTTTGTAAACACCTACTCACGTGCACCGGCGAAAAAAGTCCCACTTCCGGTTATCTAATTTGCATATCTAATTTGCATACTTATGTCATTTGGGTATGACATACATGTTTTTATTTCATAAGCTTATGTCATGGATAAATGCTTTAGTTAAATGATAAATTTTCATATCTTCTGTAGTAATCATGGATAACAGTTCATCGAATGTTTCAAATAATGTTTCACGAGAAACATGTGAATTGATAACTAGTACTTGATTGCATTAAGAAAACAGAGCACTTAAAACTGTAATACTAACATACAAAATGCGCATCTAAAGGTTACATATAAACACGACAATGCATTGTCTAACCATTATAGAAATATAATTGCATAAATCGAAATTTGAAATGTCTGGGTCAGCCCTTTTGTCTTGGAACTGTACACGAGTGGGTTTGTGAGTTTGGGTTGAACGCCGGTTTGAACAGTTTATTTTAATTATATCACGGCGTGTCAGATTTATGTGGGAGGAAACGAGAAGGTGTTTAGATGTGAACCACTTGGTGAAACACGATCAGTGGTATATTACTAAACAAGACGATTGAGAACCCAAACAGCGAAACAAATGTCCTCGCGATGTGCAGTCACGTGTCATTACGTCACCAAGGGTCAACACGCATGCCGTGTAGGACCCAAGGGGTCAAGCCTCTGTGTGTGTGTGGGGGGGGGGGGGGGGGGGGGGGGATGCCATGGCCAGGTGACAAAGGGTAATATGTGTGGGATGTGGAGATTGCGAAACATTTTAATAACCCAGACCGCATTACCATCTACAAGTAACAATGGACATTAAAACGGTGCTGTGGTAAGGTAAACATAACAACGGGGTATTCCAACAAGTGTCGTGGGGTGGGGGTGGCTGTGGGGCTGGGGGATGGGGTGGTGGTGGGGGTGGGGGTGGGGGATGGGAATAGGGGGTTGGTGTTTGATTATTAGGGAGTTGTTTGCTTTAAAGATTAACTTTTGTGCAACAATGAAATGGGATTTCGTTATCTGTACGGCGTGTGATATTCCCTGTGGAACTCCCGAACTCCCGAGTGAGGGGTCAGGCCGCCCTAAGTTTGTCATTAGGACCGACACAAACAGCGTCATACGGCTCTGTAGCTCACTAATGTTTCTGGAATATGATATTACATCAGACACAGATATTTGGTAAATAATGATACACAAACGAAATGAAACGTCAATTATACACAACAGACATCGCTGTATGGGCATCTGATCTCATGTTTACAAGGTAGCGGGGCATTGGTACATATTCAACAAAATTCTAATTTTGAAATACACAGCAAAACGGAGTGCATCATATTTCTCATACGAGTACAACATGCATACATTGCTTCTGTAACTGACGTTCAGATAAGGCGATAAAAACTGAGGAGCAAAGGAAATTATACCTCTCAGTTGACTGTATCATATGTTTAATTTTCAAGTATCCCCTCGTTATCCCGGACAACTCAGTTCTGTACACTATACCCTCGTTATCCCGGATAATTCAGTTCCGTACATTATAACCTCGTTATCCCGGACAACTCAGTTCTGTACACTATACCCTCGTTTTCCCGGACAACTCAGTTCTCTACATTATACCCTCGTTTTCCCGGACAGCTCAGTTCTGTACAATATACCCTCGTTATCCCGGACAGCTCAGCTCTGTACATTATACCCTCGTTTTCCCGGACAACTCAGTTCTCTACATTATACCCTGGTTATGCTGGACAACTGAGTTCTGTACATTATATCCTCGTTATATCCGGACAGCTCAGTTCTGTACATTATACCCTCGTTATCCCGGACAACTCAGTTATGTACAATATACCCTCGTTATCCCGGACAATTCAGTTCTGTACATTATACCCTCGATATCCCGGACAATTCAGTTCTGTACATTTTACCATCGTTATCCCGGACAACTCAGTTTTGTACATTATTCCCTCGTTATCCCGGACAACTAAGTTCTGTACAATATACCCTTGTTATCCCGGACAGCTCAGTTCTGTACGATATACCCTCGTTATCCCGGACAACTCAGTTCTGTACAATATACCCTCGTTATCCCGGAAAACTCAGTTCTGTACATTATACCCTCGCTATCCCGGACAACTCAATTCTGTACAATATACCCTCGTTATACCGGACAGCTCAGTGCTGTAAATTATACCCTCGTTTTCACGGACAGCTCAGTTCTGTACATTATACCCCTGTTATCCCAGATAACTCAGTTCTGTACAATATACCCTCGTTATCCCGACAGCTCAGTTCTGTACATTATGCCCTCGTTTCCCCGGACAACTCAGTTCTGTACAATATACCCTCGTTATCCCGACAACTCAGTTCTGTACATTATAACCTCGTTATCCCGGACAGTTCAGTTCTGTACATTATAACCTCGTTTTCCCGGACAACTCAGTTTTGTACATTATACCCTCGTTATCCCGGACAGTTCAGTTCTGTACATTATAACCTCGTTATCCCGGACAACTCAGTGCTGTACATAATAACCTCGTTATCCCGGACATAGACATAAGGAATTACAGCTGTTTTGTTAAATTTTATTACAAAAATCAATATTTGAAATACAAAATGACAAAAACAGCATCATGATCAACTGACCTTACTGAAATTAGAATAACAATGAAACAAGTAGCTCCTCTTCAAACACAGTCATGGAATACCTATTTCAAGATATATTTTGAATAAATAAATTCTAAACGTCAAAACATTTTATTTGAAGAAGTGTCTTATGAAAAAAGACGCCACTTTCTGTTTTTTAACCTTCTGTCATTTTATCCATCAACACAAAAATACTTAATAAACATAGAAATGTTATACTTGAATATAATGTTCTGGTGTACCGGAGTATGTGTGTATTAGAGTGAGTGAGTGTTTTTACGCCGCTTTTATTCCAGAAATATCTGGCCGAATGACTTCGGCGTGACGAGCGAATGATTTAATCATTGTTAGATATTCATCCATCATATAAGATTAATTGTTGAAAAGAAGAATAACTCGGGTAAGCGTCAAACAGAGACGTAATATAGATTCTGTATATGTTCTCTGGTTTAAGCAATCGAATGAGTTGTCATTCCGGAAGTTATCAGCAAGTCGAGGTGTCAAATGCGACTCTATCCGGTTTCTGAATCTTGTGCGCAGCGCTCTACACTCTGTCATCCTTGGTGATCGGTTGAATGACCCATGGTACCCGGATGTACACTGCGCGTTCTACCACAGCGCAACATGCCCCAAGGAAACAGGCCGACATGCATCATTATTTATTCCCGGTTAAAACAGTCAAACATACAATGTAAAAACTCTGTCATCCTTGGTAAACAGAAAAAAATGACACTTCCGGAAACATTTGAAAACAAGAAATTCACCCTCATCAAAGCGAGCACTGTAACCATAGGATTACATAACAGCGAAACGTTGTCTTTAGCCTGGCGGAGTGCTACGGTCGATTTGACAATATGTCCAGGCACGCTATATAGGCTTGTGATAACGTGATCATATGGATTCTGATTAACACAAAGCATCTTGTCAGTTGTTATTCGAAATGTGAAAGGGAGACTAGGATCAGGCCAATCGGAAGTCATATCAAGTTTGATACAAATCATTTCCAACCAAGGGCTAACTCAAACGTATGGTGAATTGCCATCTAGTAGGTACTAAGTACACAGAGACAAGGTGTCATGTTTTTATTCCGCACGAATTTCAACGTTTAGAAATAGGCAAGGGAGCCTGGTCCCTCCTTTAAATGCAAGCAGTCTTGTTAGTTAAAAGACGAATATAAAATCGCAGAATTTCAAAAAGCCTTTTGACAGACAACAGCCAGCAACGCCATGGCATAGATGGCGACCATGGAGGATGTCAGAGGAAGCCCAGTTCCTGTTGGGCACGGATTTCTGTAACCATCCATGGCTTCACATGCTTCTTTCTCGGATCTCATCCCGTTCTTCACTTCCTGGTATTTGCTGTAGTGGTCGGGTTCCACGTCCATCTGGCGGAGTCCACTCAGAACGAGTCTGTTGTCCGTGACATATTTATTCACATGGAACTTGCACCTAAACAGAAGAGGGTTTACTAGTGTGTTTGGAATTTTCACAACAATGCTTCTGGGTCGTAAATTCATCAACAGAAAGGCAGGTATTGAAGTTCTACATATGGAAAGAGAGCGGATATATGAGTGAGTGAGTATGGTTTTGCGCCGCTTTTAGCTATATTCAGGCAATTTCACGGCCGGGGACACCGGAAATGGGCTTCACACATTGTACCCACGTCGGGAATCGAACCCGGGTCTTCGGCGTGACGAGCGAAGGCTTTAACCACTAGGCTACCGACAGCCCCGAGTGGAGATATGAAACAGAGCGGGGATATAAAACAGAGTGGACATCTGCAACAGAGCGGAGATATGAAACAGAGTGGAGATATGAAACAGAGCGGGGATATGAAACAAAGTGGAGATATGAAACAGATCGAGGATATGAAATAGTGGAGATATGAAACAGATCGGGGATATGAAACAGTGGAGATATGAAACACTGGATATATGAAACAGCGGGGATATGAAACAAAGTGGAGATATGAAACAGATCGGGGATATAAACAGAGCGGGGATATGAAACAGTGGAGATATGAAACAGAGTGGAAATATGAAACAGAGCAGAGATATGAAATGGAACGGAGATATGAAACAGATATGTGTTTGGAATTTTACAACAAAGCTTCTGGGTCGTAAATTCATCAACAGAAAGGCAGGTATTGAAGTTCTACATAAGGAAACAGAGCGGATATATCAAACAGAGTTGGCATATGAAACAAAGTGGAGATATAAATGAGATCGGGGATATAAAACAAAGCGGAGATATCAAACAGATCGGGGATATGAAACAGAGTAGAGATATGAAACAGATCGGGGATATGAAACAAAGCGGAGATATGAAACAGATCGGGGATATGAAACAGAGAGGATACATGAAACAGATCGGGGATATGAAACAAAGCGGAGATATGAAACAGATCGGGGATATGAAACAAAGTGGAGATATGAAACAGATCGGGGTTATGAAACAGAGTGGACATATGAAACAAATTGGAGATATGAAACAGAACGGGGATATCTAACAAAGTGGAAATATGAAACAGATCGGGGATATGAAACAGAGCGGGGATATGAAACAGAGTGGAGATATTTAACAAAGTAGAGATATGAAACAGAGTGGATATATGAAACAGAACGGGGATATGAAACAGTAGAGATATGAAAATTAGTTGAGATTATGTAGCCTGAATAGACTACAGCGCTCACTTACTGTAGACACACTGTATTTATCAAATTCATTATGTAAGGGGGGTAATCGGATAGTAGTCAAAACATGATGCAAGATGACTGACTGACTGAGTATGGTTTTACGCCGCTGTTAGCAATATCCCAGCAATATCACGGCGGGGGACACCAGAAATGGGCTTCACACATTTTATCCATGTCGGGAATCGAACCCGGGTCTTCGGCGTGACGAGCGAACGCTTTAACCACTAGGCTACCCGACCGCCCCGATGCAAGATGAAAATCAGGGAAAGAATTGTAGCCATTATTGTTCATTTTTTCTTTTAAACATCCCTCTGTTGGTGAATATTTTGTAAAAATTATTTTATTGCAAATTTAATTTGTTTGAGATTTTAATATTGACATGATAATTTGTTGCCGCCGTATTGACGTCAGGTGAAGTTTTCTTGTAGGGTATTATATTCATCATGTACATGGTATTATAATGAAATGGAGACAGCTACTGTCTAGGTGTCTAACATGTCAATATGTCCGATATTTACCGGGTACGTAATTTCGTAAATATAGAATTGAATTCAAGGCTATGAACGAAAAAAATACGATCTTAAGATGAATATTAATTAATTCCTTGTAATCGAACATTACGTTCTTCATACGTTCTTCATAAAAAGGCAAACACAACTATCTCGACAATTTAAAAAAGAACGCCAAATCGGCGTTATTTTAGCCAAATAGCGACGAAATCTCCACAGTAGCGTCTCGTACCTAGTGTTCCGAGGGCATCCAGAACCGAGCAGGCCTGTGATGTTCTTCACTTGGTCGTTTCTGTTCGCTTGCTTGTACAGAAGGGCCAGATACATCCCCTTTGTTGCACTTGGCATCGGGGGCATGTATTCGACGACGACGTCACCGGAAGCGACGTCATCGGCGTTGATGTTGACAACGAGCCAATGTACGTCAGTGTTGGGGGTTGATGTATTCAACTCCTTTGTCGGGTTGACCAGCATCAAGGTGAAGAACTGACCTGTTGGGCGAGAATAGCAAATATGAAATAACTCCAGCTACATGACGGCGGTCTGTAAATAACCGAATGTGGCCAGTGATTGAAATTATGAGCAACGATCCACGCTCTCTCGGTTTGTTGACCACCCAATCCATTAAGTCGACTATTACGAACAGCAAAGGTTGGTGAGGGCCTCTTCGAACCCGGAATCCTAAATGGTGTGTTGTCTTAGAAACGTTGGATTTAAATTACCTTACTTAAATTACTTTAAGTACGAGAATCTGAACTTTACTAAGAATGTGTTATTCCAAACATAACATTTGTTACATCTGACCACTTTCTAAAATGACATTGTGTGTTTATACCTTACACTCTTTTATGAACGAAACTGAAGTATATAATCCACGTGGGATCTAGCAATAGCTGAGTGTCATTGCACCCATACACATGTTGGTTGAGAAGCCAGACAGGACATTTACTACCTTGCAGCGTAGTACTGGCCGGGGCGAAGAGGTTTCTTGCCACAAGGTGAACCATGGGCTTTGCTCTCACTTTGGCGGCCATGATCTCCCCCGTGGACTTATAATCGACATGAACGTTGGCGGCGCTGAATGAGACAATATTTATCAGTGATTTAGAAGATGATGATGACATACAACAACAACAACAACAACAACAATAATAATAATAATAATAATAATAATAATAATAATAATAAATACTTAATTTATCAATAATTTATGTCAAGGAAAACAAAAGAAACGGATTGTTACAAGTTTGTATAGTTAACTGTAAATCAATCTCACCCAGTCTTCATTTCAGAACAGCAGAAGGGGAAGGACATGTCCGGGGTCATAAAGTGCAGGTCAATAGAGATCCCGGCCTCAGCAGACGACAGGTTGAAGGTCAGACCGCCATGGCTGTCCACGTGGTCTTGGAGTCCTGGAAGAAGAAGAAAATATTTCAGAACGGAATTCTTCCTACGCTTGTTATGATATGAGGCGTGTTCAGTACCTTTCTGTAAAGGCGTGAGTGTGTGAGCTGGTTTTTACCATTCTTTTAGTGTTCCAACCATAGCCATCGTGGAATCTAAGAATGAGCTGCACTCAAGGTGTCACATATTATGACCTGTCAACTAGAAACATAATCAGGACGTTTCTGGGATTCTAACCCACGAGCATAGGTTTCTGGCAGCCATCGAGTCGCGGCACCTTAGACGACCGGCCCACCAATGCCCCTTGGGTCACAAAACCATGCATAAACCGCCGGGTAACAGAAATTATACACTTGAAAATTGGATTTGACCAACAAATTATAAACATTATCAAAACGTTTTCTGCTACCCTGGGCGGAAGCCCATTTATGTAACAGGTGCGTCTTTCTAAAAACAATAAAAGAAAAAAAAAAAAAAAAAAACATTATCAAAACGTTACCAGACTGACAAAGTTGCCCAGACACTGCAATGGTACCCGTATCAATTACTTCACCATCGAATAACCAATTCTGGTCTGTTTCACGTTTTGCCACTATCAAATATGGGTGTATACCTCCTCCCCTGCCATGAGATCGGTGCATGGGTAAATTGTAAATAATAAAGCTTGCAAATGTCAACTTTCAACTTTCATTCCAACCGCGTTAGAGAAAACCGAGGTGTCAAAACAACAGAGATATCCCCTAATTAAACTAGTGGTTAGAGTGAGTGAGTGAGTATGGTTTTACGCCGCTTTTAGCAATATTCCAGCAATATCCCGGCGGGGGACACACTAGTGGTTAGAGGTTTGCCGGCATGTGATGTAGATGGCTCACGTTTTTGGTGGTAGTAGGGACACCTGTTTGTAACACGCCTGTCTCTCATCGTCACAGCGGAGTAGTCGTCGCCATAGGAGCGCACGATGTCGAAGCTGACGGGACCTGAAAAGTAACATGAAGCTGATAAAAATAGGGGGGTTAAAGAGTTGGCAATGAAACAGACAGGGACGCAGTGGGGTGGGGGTTGGGGGTGGGGGTTGGTGGTTGCAGGGAAGCATTATTGGAGGGGGCGTGGTAGGCGGGGGGTTGCAGGGAAGCATTATTGGATTAGGGCGTGCTTGGTGTGGGGGTTGCAGGGAAGCATTTTTGATTATTGGAGGGGGGGTGGTGGTGGGGTGGTGGTGCAGGTCAGCATTATTGGAGGGGGCGTGGTGGGTGGGTGGGTGCAGGTAAGCATGAGAAGAGGATAAGGGCAGGGTATATGGTCTCTGGTTAGTGTAAGGAAAGCAATCATCCACACACGTGAATACGTTAAACAAATTGAGGGGATCTATACAATATGGATCTTCGCGGCCTTTGAGAAAGTCCTAGTTACACATTATATATCTTCTTTTATAGAGTCACTGTCTACAGTTTAGTTGATTGATTTAAACCATTTTGAAAAAAACACCTCATGTCCACGCTGTCATTTGGACTGTTTGTAGAAGACACATGTGAGTAGTGCAACGGTATTCAAACATTGAGTTTACCTTGAAGACCATATGTCTGTATGAACTCGTGCATAAACAGGGGATTCATAAACGAATTGGTTTCGTTGATGTATTGTTTCACTTCTTCGACTTGGATGTCCTTTGTTTGCTTGAAGACCACCCAGACATAGATGTTTGGCCGATTCAGGGTGTTCAGGGGACCGCTGTGGGGTTTGACAGCCTGGTTCAACAGAGATGACGATGGAGCAATTAAAGCATTTATTTACAGCATATGTAATATTAGAGTCTTCGAACAATACTCAGATCAATGCCATCGTCTGCTTCCATTCTCATACCAAAACCAGCATCTTCACAATGCTAACACAACGGCCAACGATTTTCCCCATGCTCACATCATGGACAACAGCTTTACCCGTGCTCACAACCCGACCAACGACTTTATCCATGCTCACACCACGATCAGCGACTTTATCCATGCTCAAACCACGATCAGCGACTTTACCCATGCTTACACACCACGATCAGCGACTTTACCCATGGTCACACCACGGACAACGACTCTACCCATTCTCACACCATGGACAACGACTTTACCCATGCTCACACCACGACCAACAAGTTTACCCATGCTCACACCATGGACAACGACTTTATCCATGCTCAAACCACGATCAGCGACTTTACCCATGCTTACACACCACATTCAGCGACTTTACCATTGGTCACACCACGGACAACGACTTTACCCATGCTCACACCACGACCAACAAGTTTACCCATGCTCACACCATGGACAACAGCTTTACCCATGCTCACACCACATTCAGCGACTTTACCCATGCTCACACCACGATCAGCGACTTTACCCATGCTTACACACCACATTCAGCGACTTTACCATTGGTCACACCACGGACAACGACTTTACCCATGCTCACACCACGACCAACAAGTTTACCCATGCTCACACCACGACCAACGACTTTACCCATGCTCACATCATGGACAACAGCTTTACCCGTGCTCACACCACGACCAACAAGTTTACCCATGCTCACACCATGGACAACGACTTTACCCATGCTCACACCACGACCAACAAGTTTACCCATGCTCACACCATGGACAACGACTTTACCCATGCTCTCACCACGATCAGCGACTTAATCCATGCTCTCACCACGACCAACAAGTTTATCCATGCTCTCACCACGACCAACGACTTTACCCATGCTCTCACCACGACCAACAAGTTTACCCATGCTCACACCACGACCAACAAGTTTACCCATGCTCTCCCCATGGACAACGACTTTACCCATGCTCTCACCACGGCTAACAAGTTTACCCATGCTCACACCACGACCAACAAGTTTACCCATGCTCTCCCCATGGACAACGACTTTACCCATGCTCACACCACGACCAACAAGTTTACCCATGCTCACACCACGACCAACAAGTTAACCCATGCTCACACCACGACCAACGACTTTACCCATGCTCACACCACGACCAACGACTTTACCCATGCTCTCACCACGACCAACAAGTTTACCCATGCTCACACCATGGACAACGACTTTACCCATGCTCACACCACGACCAACAAGTTTACCCATGCTCACACCACGACCAACGACTCTACCCATGCTCACACCACGACCAACGACTTTACCCATGCTCTCACCACGACCAACAAGTTTACCCATGCTCACACCATGGACAACGACTTTACCCATGCTCTCACCACGACCAACAAGTTTACCCATGCTCACACCATGGACAACGACTTTACCCATGCTCACATCATGGACAACAGCTTTACCCATGCTCACACCACGACCAACGACTTTATCCATGCTCACACCACGATCAACGACTTTATCCATGCTCAAACCACGATCAGCGACTTTACCCATGCTTACACACCACATTCAGCGACTTTACCATTGGTCACACCACGGACAACGACTTTACCCATGCTCACACCACGACCAACAAGTTTACCCATGCTCACACCACGATCAACGACTTTATCCATACTCAAACCACGATCAGCGACTTTACCCATGCTTACACACCACATTCAGCGACTTTACCATTGGTCACACCACGGACAACGACTTTACCCATGCTCACACCACGACCAACAAGTTTACCCATGCTCACACCATGGACAACGACTTTACCCATGCTCACATCATGGACAACAGCTTTACCCGTGCTCACACCACGACCAACAAGTTTACCCATGCTCACACCACGACCAACGACTCTACCCATGCTCACACCACGACCAACAAGTTTACCCATGCTCACACCATGGACAACGACTTTACCCATGCTCACATCATGGACAACGACTTTACCCATGCTCACATCATGGACAACAGCTTTACCCGTGCTCACAACCCGACCAACGACTTTATCCATGCTCACACCACGACCAACGACTTTACCCATGCTCTCACCACGACCAACAAGTTTACCCATGCTCACACCATGGACAACGACTTTACCCATGCTCTCACCACGACCAACAAGTTTACCCATGCTCACACCATGGACAACGACTTTACCCATGCTCACATCATGGACAACAGCTTTACCCGTGCTCACAACCCGACCAACGACTTTATCCATGCTCACACCACGACCAACGACTTTACCCATGCTCTCACCACGACCAACAAGTTTACCCATGCTCACACCATGGACAACGACTTTACCCATGCTCACACCACGACCAACAAGTTTACCCATGCTCACACCATGGACAACGACTTTACCCATGCTCTCACCACGACCAACAAGTTTACCCATGCTCACACCATGGACAACGACTTTACCCATGCTCACACCACGACCAACAAGTTTACCCATGCTCACACCATGGACAACGACTTTACCCATGCTCTCACCACGACCAACAAGTTTACCCATGCTCACACCACGACCAACGACTTTACCCATGCTCACACCACGACCAACAAGTTTACCCATGCTCACACCATGGACAACGACTTTACCCATGCTCACATCATGGACAACAGCTTTACCCATGCTCACACCACGACCAACGACTTTACCCATGCTCACACCACGACCAACAAGTTTACCCATGCTCACACCATGGACAACGACTTTACCCATGCTCACATCATGGACAACAGCTTTACCCGTGCTCACAACCCGACCAACGACTTAATCCATGCTCACACCACGACCAACGACTTTACCCATGCTCTCACCACGACCAACAAGTTTACCCATGCTCACACCATGGACAACGACTTTACCCATGCTCACACCACGACCAACAAGTTTACCCATGCTCACACCACGACCAACGACTCTACCCATGCTCACACCACGACCAACGACTTTACCCATGCTCTCACCACGACCAACAAGTTTACCCATGCTCACACCATGGACAACGACTTTACCCATGCTCACACCACGACCAACAAGTTTACCCATGCTCACACCACGACCAACGACTTTACCCATGCTCTCACCACGACCAACAAGTTTACCCATGCTCACACCATGGACAACGACTTTACCCATGCTCACACCACGACCAACAAGTTTACCCATGCTCACACCACGACCAACGACTTTACCCATGCTCTCACCACGACCAACAAGTTTACCCATGCTCACACCACGACCAACGACTTTACCCATGCTCACACCACGACCAACGACTTTACCCATGCTCACACCACGACCAACGACTTTACCCATGCTCTCACCACGACCAACAAGTTTACCCATGCTCACACCATGGACAACGACTTTACCCATGCTCACACCACGACCAACAAGTTTACCCATGCTCACACCACGACCAACGACTTTACCCATGCTCTCACCACGACCAACAAGTTTACCCATGCTCACACCATGGACAACGACTTTACCCATGCTCACACCACGACCAACAAGTTTACCCATGCTCACACCACGACCAACGACTTTACCCATGCTCTCACCACGACCAACAAGTTTACCCATGCTCACACCATGGACAACGACTTTACCCATGCTCTTACCACGACCAACAAGTTTACCCATGCTCACACCACGACCAACGACTTTACCCATGCTCTCACCACGACCAACAAGTTTACCCATGCTCACACCATGGACAACGACTTTACCCATGCTCTCACCACGACCAACAAGTTTACCCATGCTCACACCACGACCAACGACTTTACCCATGCTCTCACCACGACCAACAAGTTTACCCATGCTCACACCATGGACAACGACTTTATCCATGCTCACACAACGATCAGCGAATGAATCCATGCTCACACACCACGATCAGCGACATTACCCATGCTCACACCATGGACAACGACTCTACCCATGCCCACACCATGGACAACGACTTTACCCATGCTCACACCACGACCAACAAGTTTTCCGATGCTCACACCACGACCAACGACTTTACCCATGCTCTCACCACGACCAACAAGTTTACCCATGCTCACACCATGGACAACGACTTTACCCATGCTCACACCACGACCAACAAGTTTACCCATGCTCATACCACGACCAACGACTTTACCCATGCTCTCACCACGACCAACAAGTTTACCCATGCTCACACCATGGACAACGACTTTACCCATGCTCACACCACGACCAACAAGTTTACCCATGCTCACACCACGACCAACGACTTTACCCATGCTCACACCACGACCAACGACTTTACCCATGCTCTCACCACGACCAACAAGTTTACCCATGCTCACACCATGGACAACGACTTTACCCATGCTCACACCACGACCAACAAGTTTACCCATGCTCACACCACGACCAACGACTTTACCCATGCTCTCACCACGACCAACAAGTTTACCCATGCTCACACCATGGACAACGACTTTACCCATGCTCACACCACGACCAACAAGTTTACCCATGGTCACACCACGACCAACGACTTTACCCATGCTCTCACCACGACCAACAAGTTTACCCATGCTCACACCATGGACAACGACTTTACCCATGCTCTTACCACGACCAACAAGTTTACCCATGGTCACACCACGACCAACGACTTTACCCATGCTCTCACCACGACCAACAAGTTTACCCATGCTCACACCATGGACAACGACTTTACCCATGCTCTCACCACGACCAACAAGTTTACCCATGCTCACACCACGACCAACGACTTTACCCATGCTCTCACCACGACCAACAAGTTTACCCATGCTCACACCATGGACAACGACTTTATCCATGCTCACACAACGATCAGCGAATGAATCCATGCTCACACACCACGATCAGCGACATTACCCATGCTCACACCATGGACAACGACTCTACCCATGCTCACACCATGGACAACGACTTTACCCATGCTCACACACCACGACCAACAAGTTTACCCATGCTCACACCATGGACAACGACTTTACCCATGCTCACACCATGGATAACAGCTTTACCCATGCTCACACCACGATCAGCGACTTAATCCATGCTCACACCACGGGCAACGACTTAATCCATGCTCACACCACGGGCAACGACTTAATCCATGCTCACACCAGGGGCAACGACTTTACCCATGCTCACACCACGATCAGCGACTTAATCCATGCTCACACACCACGATCAGCGACATTACCCATGGTCACACCACGGGCAACGACTTAATCCATGCTCACACCATGGACAACGACTTTACCCATACTCACACCATGGAAACGACTTTACCCATGCTCACACCACGACCAACTACTTTAACCATGCTCACATAACGACCAGCGACTTTACCAATGCTCACAGCACGGACAAAGATTTTACCCATATTCACACCATGGACAGCGACTTTACCCATGCTCACCCCACGGAAAACAACATTACCCATGCTCACATCAGAGACAACGACTTTACCAATACTCACACCACGGACAACGACTTTCCCCATGCTCACGCCATGCACAACGACTTTACCCATGCTCACGCCATGGACAACGGCTCCCCCCATACTCAAGCCATGGACAACGACTTTCCCCATGCTCACGCCAGAGACAACGACTTTCCCCATGCTTACGCCAGAGACAACGACTTTACCCATGCCCACACCAGAGACAACGACTTTACCCATGCTCACACCACGGACAACGACTTTCCCCATGCTCACACCACGACCAACTACTTTACCTATGCTCACGCCATGGACAACGACTTTACCCATGCTCACACCACGGACAACGACTTTACCCATGCTCTCACCACGACCAACAAGTTTACCCATGCTCACACCATGGACAACGACTTTACCCATGCTCACACCACGACCAACAAGTTTACCCATGCTCACACCATGGACAACGACTTTACCCATGCTCACACCACGACCAACAAGTTTACCCATGCTCACACCACGACCAACGACTTTACCCATGCTCACACCACGACCAACGACTTTACCCATGCTCTCACCACGACCAACAAGTTTACCCATGCTCACACCATGGACAACGACTTTACCCATGCTCACACCACGACCAACAACTTTACCCATGCTCACACCACGACCAACGACTTTACCCATGATCTCACCACGACCAACAAGTTTACCCATGCTCACACCATGGACAACGACTTTACCCATGCTCACACCACGACCAACAAGTTTACCCATGCTCACACCACGACCAACGACTTTACCCATGCTCTCACCACGACCAACAAGTTTACCCATGCTCACACCATGGACAACGACTTTACCCATGCTCTTACCACGACCAACAAGTTTACCCATGCTCACACCACGACCAACGACTTTACCCATGCTCTCACCACGACCAACAAGTTTACCCATGCTCACACCATGGACAACCTCTTTACCCATGCTCTCACCACGACCAACAAGTTTACCCATGCTCACACCACGACCAACGACTTTACCCATGCTCTCACCACGACCAACAAGTTTACCCATGCTCACACCATGGACAACGACTTTATCCATGCTCACACAACGATCAGCGAATGAATCCATGCTCACACACCACGATCAGCGACATTACCCATGCTCACACCATGGACAACGACTCTACCCATGCTCACACAACGATCAGCGAATGAATCCATGCTCACACACCACGATCAGCGACATTACCCATGCTCACACCATGGACAACGACTCTACCAATGCTCACACCATGGACAACGACTTTACCCATGCTCACACACCACGACCAACAAGTTTACCCATGCTCACACCATGGACAACGACTTTACCCATGCTCACACCATGGATAACAGCTTTACCCATGCTCACACCACGATCAGCGACTTAATCCATGCTCACACCACGGGCAACGACTTAATCCATGCTCACACCAGGGGCAACGACTTTACCCATGCTCACACCACGATCAGCGACTTAATCCATGCTCACACACCACGATCAGCGACATTACCCATGGTCACACCACGGGCAACGACTTAATCCATGCTCACACCATGGACAACGACTTTACCCATACTCACACCATGGAAACGACTTTACCCATGCTCACACCACGACCAACTACTTTAACCATGCTCACATAACGACCAGCGACTTTACCAATGCTCACAGCACGGACAAAGATTTTACCCATGCTCACACCATGGACAGCGACTTTACCCATGCTCACCCCACGGAAAACAACATTACCCATGCTCACATCAGAGACAACGACTTTACCAATACTCACACCGCGGACAACGACTTTCCCCATGCTCACGCCATGCACAACGACTTTACCCATGCTCACGCCATGGACAACGGCTCCCCCCATACTCAAGCCATGGACAACGACTTTCCCCATGCTCATGCCAGAGACAACGACTTTCCCCATGCTTACGCCAGAGACAACGACTTTACCCATGCCCACACCAGAGACAACGACTTTACCCATGCTCACACCACGGACAACGACTTTCCCCATGCTCACACCACGACCAACTACTTTACCCATGCTCACGCCATGGACAACGACTTTACCCATGCTCACACCACGGACAACGACTTTACCCATGCTCACACCACGACCAACTACTTTACCTATGCTCACGCCATGGACAACGACTTTACCCATGCTCACACCAGAGACAACGACTTTAGCCATGCTCACACCACGACCAACTACTTTACCTATGCTCACGCCATGGACAACGACTTTACCAATGCTCACACCAGAGACAACGACTTTAGCCATGCTCACGCCATGGACAACGACTTTACCCATGCCCACACCACGGACAACGACCTTATTGTTGAGTGGGTGGGTTTAGTTTAACACAGCATTGAACAGTATTTCATGTTTTTCACAGCGTGTCATGGTACTATGGCCGTTGTATATAAATCGCTCCATGAGCTTCATCAATGAGGAAGTGAGTTTGGTTTATCACCGTCGTTGAACAGTATTTCATGTATATGACGGCGTGATCAATGAACCCCAAGTACGTATCTTCCTACCTCGCCCATGGTTATGTTTCCACCGTCGGCGTTGACGTAGATGCCGTGGATAATGTAATTGCCAGTGTCGTAGTACACTACGGTGTATTTGACGCCGGCTTCCGCTGACCACGAGACGTCCGGCATGTCCCTGTACTCAACTGACGTCCTTATTTGAGGGTTGAGAGGGTCAATTTTGAAGGAAGTGGACCTGTAAGTCTGTTTAATCTCTGCCCCGCATCCTTTGTATATGCCTAGGACGACAGAAGGGTGGGTGTGATAATGTCATGTGTCGTGAACATGATTTGACGACGATTTTAGCAACATTTTGTTTGTTTGCTTGTTTGTTGTTTAACGCCACACTCAGCAATATTTCAGCTTTTTGGCGGCGGTCTGTAAATAATCGAGTTTGGACAATCGAGTGATAGATATCTTGATAATTGATCCAAGCAATTGGGATACGATGACACGCATCAACCAAGTCAGCGAGCCTGACCACTGTATCCCAACTGAACAGATCGATGTTGATTGCCATTTTGTCAATCTCTCGATGATTTACAGACCGCCGTCATAAAGCTGAAATATTGCTGAGTGCGGTGTTGAACAATGAACAATCAATCATTACTGAATTAATGAAAATATATGTTTGAAACTCTTAAGGTGTTTGAACCCAAACTGCCAAGGTGAAGGTTGCGTCAGGTGTCTACTTACGTTCCAGCGGTCGGTAGTAGGTGATGTTCATGATGGAGGTTATCGAGTCCGTCGTGACGTTACTTCCGGTGAACATTCGGCTCATAATGGAGTCACTCATGTTTGGTCGAAGATTGGTACACTTTTGGGTAAAATCTGGACCATTTGGACACATCTCCATATAATTAGTGCCAAACCAAAACAAGGTGTTATCATTCAGGGCGGCCTTGGCAGCGGTCATACATGTCTCATTGTTGAAGTTGTTCTGGCAAAGAGTCCAGTGACAGCTCACTAGAGTAAGGGTTGAGATTGAGACATTAAATAGTATTATAGGAAAACATTATTTTATTATACGACTTGATTTCAAAATGTTTTGCATTTACTTAAAAACTAGCGCGTAGCGGATTTACGCAAAGTGCACATATCGGTTTTTGTTTCATGGTTTGTTTGTTTAACGCCGCACTCAGCAGTATTCCAGCTACATGACGGCGGTTTGTAAATTATCGAGTCTGGTCCAGACAACCCAGTGAATAACAGCATGAGCATCGATCCACGCAATTGGGATACGATGGTATGCATCATCCAAGTCAGCAATCCTGGCTACCTGATCCCGTTGGTCGCCTCTTACGACAAGCATGGGCTGCTGAGGACATATTCTAACCCGGGTCTTCACCGGTGACATATGTTATATAAGTTTATAACTCCATAAATGCAAAACACATTGAAGTCAGTTCGTGTAAATAGACTGCTTACTTAATCATGAACACACTCAAAAGGTGTAGGCAATAATACGAACTAAACAAAATCGTTCAGCGCAATAAGCAACACATTCTATTATCAACCAGTCAAGAAACAGTAGTCCGTTTGTGGGCGTGGCCCAAGTGTTTTTCGGTTTATATTTCGCAAAACAAATTGGACCGTGTACCTTATATTCTATACTACGTGACAAATTCCTGACGAGGCCGCTCTCCGAGTTTTCTTTAGAGTAGAATTTTTTTAATTTTTTTTTTATATATTTTATTTCTTCTTTATTTATTAGTTACATGGACTTGTGGGTTAGCCAATCATATGCCGAGGAATCACTTGCAGTTTATTTATATACTACATGCAGCTGTGATGTGACAATCCGATCATGCATGACATAGTGTGGTTAGTATTTTATTAATCAACAAAAATACTGAAAAGGAGATGTAAAAAAATGAAAAGGTTTACGACAGATGGACGATCGGACGACGTACGAGGGGCAAGACATAACAATAAGAACTGAAGGGGTGCTCTTCCGATCCGGAATCCCTGTGGGGGGAATACGAGAAGGGGGCTTTTCATGCTGAACACATGTAAGACGGCATGGAGACAAAAGCCTCCTCACGTGATAACCTTATACAGAGGAAAAGGGGGAACCAAATACTCTATAAAGAGGGAAGGCGGAAATCCTTTATATAATGGCTATGGGGACATGGCTTGATTTGCTCTGCTCTATTCAAATATTAAACGGATTAGGGCGAGAGAGGGGTGGAGGGGGCAAGTATAGCTAAAAGGTATGCGTGGAATTTGGTTAGGAGGATAATAAATAATAAATAACAAAAATGATTTTGGTTGTGACAGATTGGCGACGAAATACAAATATCCAAACGGCTGTATTATAAAGCATGAATGACAGCACATTCTCTTTCTGTTTAACTTCAGGATGAAACACGACTCCGACGGTTTGGCTGAGAATGTAAACACGATGGGTTTGGAAAACCCCGTGGACCAGACCAAACCCGAGAGAAGTGTTGTATCCGACTTTTAAACCTAAAACCTAAAGAAAAATCCAAAACAACATTATCAACAATTTTATATTTCCAACACTTTCGACTTTGGGCTTTCAAAACATGTAAAACTGGTTTTCCCTCTTCTACAAGAAGAAGGCCTCGTAAAACCTTTAGGATTACGTCATTGAAGGTTTATAATTACAAAGGCTAGTTAGCCGTATCCCTGTCGCGCATCCCACTTCTCTTCTAGGGTATCTGATCCCATTATTCTCCATTTTCTACTCGCCATTTGTCACGTAGCATACCTCGACCATTGCTAAATACTGACATGTTTCATGCCGGACCCAATACCCCATTATATCATTTCCTTTCCAGCGCGTGAGCACGAGCGCACCTGACCGGCCTGCATTGCACCGATTTTAACGTCCTTTTATGTCAAGAGCAACGGCGTGCGACGTGTGACAGTCATGTCAGGCTCAAGGACAAGATCTGACAAAGCATCTGTATTTGCATTATGTATTCAGCAGTACTGCGTTTGTGGGCTCGACATTTTTCGCGGCTTATCAGGATGGTGATGTTGTATCAGGCGTTTGGGGTGAATTGACCAAATAGCCGTCAAGCTTTAGGGGTTCCTTTTTTACCTTTTACCTATTAGGTTTTGCCCAATAACGACGAAAAGGGAATCTTTAGAATTGACAAAAAAAGAGAGAGTCAAAGACCCCTTTAAAAGTTGATACTTCATATATACGTAAGTTCCGAATGACTGCCTGGCTATTTGCATTTATGCTTTTGTTTTAATATTTCTCAAATTATGAATTTTAAAATAAAATGGATGAAATCATCAACCAGAACCACAAGTTACTCAATAAGTTAAAAACACAAATGAATGCAGAATGGTGACACAATACATCACAAATGACAGACCAATTAGTGTCACTGTTACCTATCAGTAATCCTGCCTTCTTCTAACTTTCTTACATACTTACTTACTTTGGAGATTTAACGTGCGCTTTCCGACTGATGCGTATTTCGCACACGGGCCCGGCCAGGCCGTTTAATGTGTTTCCGAAAGGGGCGAAAGTGGTCTGTGCAACCTAAGAGGGGGCTTTAGGGGTTGCTTATATAGAATTTGGGAATTTTGAGATTTGGAATAGATGCCGATGGGGTTGGGGAGGAGAACTAAGGGAGCTGGGTATGGTGGATGTTTGTTTGTTTATGTGATTTTGATTTGGTAGATTATTGTGTTTTTAGATGCGTTTTATTAGTTCCGTTTTGATTAAGAATACGCCTAAGGCCTTGAAGTTTTCTAGTTTATTTCGTGGGCTTAGTATTGCTTCTAGAGAGAGCCTTGTTTAGATTGAGGGTGGTTTGTAATGCGGTTCGATGTATTAGGTAGAGTGTGCAGTGGATGAGTGGGTGTTCTGGGGTTTCTAGTTGTTTGCAGTGGGGGCAGTTGCCTGTGGTGTGTCTTTTAAGTTGTTTTAGGTGGTTATTTAGGTTCGTGTGTCCTGTTTGGAGTTTTGTAATTAATCTGTCAATTTTTTTAGAGGGGCGAAGGATTTTAGGTTTGGCTAGTGGTTTTCTGAGCACTTTTTTGACTTGGCTATTTGAGTTTTGATATTGATTATGCCATTTTTTGGTTATTTTTTGTTTGTTTACACTTTTAATTTCTGATTGCACACTTTCATTAAAATCCTTCTTATATAGTTTGCATTCTAACTCACAGTAATGACACTGAGTTGAGTCAATTATCGTATTTGATAATCGGTCGCAATCCCTTCCGGTCAACTTTCCGGCCAACTCAGATTAACTAGCTTCGGAGAGAAGCTGTCTATTGTTTGGTAATCGAGGGGTCATCTCAACACGGCAACTCGCAAAAATATCTCGTCGCAGTATTGTCTTTGGTGTGGTATTCGCAATATTTTAACGGCGCAGAAATAAAGCTGTTTACAGTATATAAAAAATGTTACAGTGCTGTAGCTTAAGGGGATGCAGAAGGACGGTGTATTTTCAAGCTTCCGGAAGAAAATGATTTTCTCATAAATACAATTCAACTTTTGCTGACGAGCACACCTTTGACTGAAGGTGACTGTTTAGGGCCTTAGCAAATGTTATGATTATGTTCACACCCAAGAAGAAAATGTCACTTGATTTCTCCATCTTCGTTTATCGTTATTTGTTGCGCAATAACATGGTCAAAACATGCTCTCCAAATCGCTATTTCACACATTAAGCCACGACATAGAGGAATGTGAGAATGAAAGTTTTGAAGTTTTCTTATGGGTGGGGCTCGCATTCTTGGCTTAGTGGATAGAGCGTCTGTCAAGTGAGGTCGATGGTTCGAAAAGACGATAAAAGATGGCTATGTCTGAGTGGGCTACCCATGATACACTGCGGCAAGGTATCTCAGTGGGCGAGCACGATAACCCCCCCCCACACACACACACACACACACACACATGCACGTCGTTGTATAAGTGTAATAATCTTGAACGTGATGTTGAACTCCATTTCACCTCACCTGCTTTGAGACTTCATCTAATTGTACGTGTATACTGTAGACATTTCTCGGCGCGCATAGCTGCAAGATTGTTCATGCGGCGTGAGCCATGCCTATTCACCCGTTCACTTTCTTAGGCGACCTTTTTGCCAGCTAAACCTGCAGAACATTTACTTAACAATTTGAAAAGCCTTACTGAAAAGTTCATGCCTGTGGTTAAATACGGGAACTATCTACATAAACATGACCATATTACGCTTTTGAAAAATGGTTACATGATGCGAAAAACAATCTTACGTAACCTTGAAAACAACAATGAACTAAAACCATACAATGATATTCATGTAAATATAGTATACAGTGGAATATAAAACATACAGACTATGAGCACCTAAAAGGGTGGCGTTATGGGTTACCTTGTGACAGTGAAGCTAGACAGGAGACGAGCAAGACGATGCTGGTACACGAGGACGCCATGCTTTCTGCAACTCACCTCGGGTGGTGAAATATATAGGACACCGGCTTTACTGGTCACCATACAAAGTTTTCTCAGGGCGTTATGGGGTGAAGGGGTCGTGTCAAAATTTATATAGCCAATATATGTAGATTTACATTCCTCTGTATTCATGTAATAACTTGATAACTAATGTTGAGCGTTATCGTTGCCTTGTATCGGGTGTATCTAGAAGACTCCTTTACCGGAGCCGTATGCTTTCATAGAAACAATCCTTTTAATTCGTTTTGAAAGTGGATAGCGTATCCCTTTTACTATGGCAGTGTGTATTCGGGGTTATTTATTTGCACGAGCCGTTTTTTTAAAGTTACAGATTTAAAATATATTTTCTAAAATGATCTTTCACTCATTGAACTGATGACCACTATATAACAAGTGAGTGAGATAATGTTTTTAGACCGCAGTTAGGAATATCCGAGTTATATAAGGTCCATTTTTTTATATAACAGAGTCTGGGAAAGGCAAACAAGTGGTGTATATATTAACATGAGAATAACTGACACAGTTTTACAAATATTTTATTAAGACATATTAAGGATTGGATGTAGTGAGAAATTATGAAAAAAGGGAAAATTACAAATTAACGGACCACGTTTCAGTATCTTAAACCTGCCAAGGGTTAAATTGATAACGCGCTACGGACATAACCCAGGACATGTATCTCTTGTTGTGCCGCTCAAAATGACCCCAAGGCAAACACATGTAAGGCGTTAAAACCTTTATCTGCATTTATGGCTATGTCATTCATCCATACTTGTGAAATCACACGGACCACGTATACATCCGTGGCATACTGGTTAGCTATTCTTCTTCAAAGAAAACTGTACTTGTAATCTCCTTTATCATCAATACCTCGGGCAAACTAAATGAAATCATAATTATGCCGCGATAGCGTCACTACAGTTTACCATAATACACCTTTATCGTCATATTCATCATACAATAAGTGAGTGATTTGGGTTTAACGCTGCTTTTAACAGTATTCCAATTATATCGCGGCGTGTCAGCCTAATGTGGGAGGAAAGCCCGAAGTGATGCAGGTTTCAGACGTTTACCACTTCGGCGAAACCAACGAGCATGGGTATGGTGCTGACAAACCTAGAAACATAATCGGGGCGAACCGGGATTCTAACCCACACTCATAGGTTTCTGGCGTGGGACGCAACTCTGCACAGCGAATCGCGGCGCCTTAGACGACTGGGCCACCCGTGCCCCCTTTTTCTCTCAGGAATGAATGAATGTGCAAAATATTGGTTCAATTGTCCCTTGTTTCACGGAGCCTCGACTGTTTGAAATCTCCAACCTTCTTTACAGTGCCTCATGCTAAAATTAACCCAGCAGGCAGATCTAATTATGTAGAGATGTATATATGTAATACAAAGGGATTTATGTGTACTGTATTTTTCAACCGTTCACATTCTTGTGTTTCCTACTGTTCTGTCCATGTATAGTCCAAGTTGTAAATTAACGGTGTAAATATCTGGGAGAAAGTTCGAAGTTGGAGAACATGCACCTAATTCCAGTCCGTTTTTGTGAACAAAAACCGTTTAACAATAATCTAAACATAATCTTCACAGGCACTTGCATGACACATATACCACCAGGACTTACAACGAACTCGGTGCAATATTAAAATGAAATACACCAATCTAAGTTAATGGTGTTTTGGAAATATGACGTTTGAGACAACAACAGTCTCCGAAGCACAGTTGGCAGAATGAAGGACTACAAAGCAAGATGTTGCAGGTTCGTATCTCGCCGAGGTCGTCAAGTTGATGTGTTCATCTGACTGACTGACTGAGTATGGTTTTACGCCGCTTTTAGCAATATTCCAGCAATATCACGGCGGGGGACACCAGAAATGGGCTTCACACATTGTACCCATGTCGGGAATCGAACCCGGGTCTTCGGCGTGACGAGCGAACGCTTTAACCACTAGGCTACCCGACCGCCCCTGATGTGTTCATGATTGTGTAGTTACCATATGACTAATATTTTTCTGTCATATTGGAAACGGAAGATTACAATGAAAGTACATCTGATCACTGTGATAGACCCTTCATTTTTTTCAAGTTAACCCACATACTTTTGTATCCCCATTAAACGCAAAAAACATAGAAAACGCCCCGTTTCAAATAAATTACAATGAATTTTAAAAAAATATGTTTGATAACCTGACACCCCTCAACACCCTCAGCCACTACTTCAGCCAGTACTTATAACAGTCATTGGTTTTGTTGTTGTGTACCGCCTTACGGCCATGCGACTACAAAAACACACAGCTCCAAATTCTGCAAAATCTACAGTTGTGTGCAATTTCATCCTTGAAGTATCTAAGCTGACCTCAAGTCCCCTTTGAACTCTAACAGAACACAACATTTCAACGACATGGTACCAAGTCCATGCGTTTTGTTCTAGATCTGGACTGAGGGTTTCATCCCAAATAACACCGGATATTCACATCTCATGCAGAATAACCCTTGCCCGAAAGATGAATGGACCTAACAAACCAAAAAGGATCAAACAACTAAGCAGTTTCTTTCTTTCAGGAAGTTCCTCTTAGTCATCTTGGTATCCTGGGTTAAGGACACGAAAGAAAATCTAAACTCATCTGATTCTGCATTCCACGGTGAGCCCAGTGCGTTTGCAGATGCAATTTACTCATTTGAATGTTAATCGCTGTCTTTCCTTCTTTGGTATTTTCTTGGGAGTGACTGAGCATGCAGTTTTTAACAATATTCCATCAATATCACGACAGAGGATACCAGAAATGGTCTTCACACATTGTACCCATGTGAGGAATCTAACCCTGGTGTTCGGCGTGACGGGCGAACGCTTTAACCATTTGGTTATCCCCCCGCCCCGTATTTCTTGGATAACTTGCATGGAATAGGAAACCCACGTATACATACCTACTGTACTTCACGGCTAGCCGCGCAGCTGCCTTTGCAGCTCTATAGTTTTGACATTTGTTTGAACGGAATCCATATTGTCTTCCATACAGATTGACTTTTCCATTGTTGCTGCAGACAAAGTTCAAAGGATTTGGCATATTCTTGAGCGATATACTCAGTCAAGAAGGGTGAACAATTTAGTTTAAATACGACCTCTGAATTTAAAAAACAGTTGGCTTTTTGTTTTGATCCATCGATCTCTAAAGAAATACTGATTACAGCAATGTCGATTTACAGCCTTTGACCCCACACTCCAGAACTCTATCCCAGATGACCAATGTCAAGGCAACGAAATTATAAACCTAACTGTTGTTGTGCCCTATCCCAACGTTTAGGTAGACCTAGAGATTGGGACTCTTCAAAACTGCAAGTGTCATGATCTGTTTCATGACAAACATGACATTGGATTGTCCTACTTCTGTTCTGTGTATTTGCAAACGTTCCTTTCTTAGAACTGTCTCTCCTGGCTGTTGTCGTTGATCTGTCAGGTATGCCATATTTATATTACCTTCCACTGACGTTTCATGTTTACCTCTGAAGCTGTTGTTTGGAACTGTCTCTTGCAGAGCCCATTCCTTCATGGTCTCAACAGACTCCTGACGTTGGTGCTCAAAACACCATCTTTGAAACTGAGCTCATGGGCTCATTCATTCTCTTAACCAGTAGTGAATACACCCACTCCCTAGTTCCTCTATCTTATCCGATTGCCTTAGACTGACCACAGCCACATCAAACGTGTCCACATCACCATATCCTCATCATTCCCAACAGTATTGGCTAGAAATTATGTATTTCTACCAGTTCCAATGTTATCTGGCGTCTCTTGCCGCCACATTTCCTGTCCACTCTCTCCAATGCTACATCACTGACTTAAGGCAGCGACCTAATATAACAACTAATTGTACTGCTTCTCCAGACAGGTACTGCTTCAATTCCAGTCTTCAAATTATGCAGCATCACCAAAAAAAATTCTGGAATGGAAACACTATTCAAATGTTTCCACATCTCCTCACCTAAATTGTGCTTCCCCATGACTTGCCTGAAGTGGTGTAATACCCTTTCTATCCATATTTGATCTTTGATCAACTGCCAACATTGTACGAAGTGTGTTTGTAACCTTGGTTATTGCTTTGTTCAGTGCCACCAGTGTCTAAGCTTGCATCATTCTTTTCACCAGGGAAATTCGCATCAGAGTGAAATAACCTTGACATTCCAGACTGAATGCTCTTTGCCTCTGAAAAAGTGGTTTGTTTTTAAGAAACGCTTCCGCCTCATATAGGGCAAGTTCAATTTCATCTTTGGCAATTCCAATTTCCTTGCTGGTAATCTTAACTTTCTATAAGTCACAACCACGCCGTAAGCCCATAGTAATACAAGGTACTATGGCCCCCACAACTTACCTGATCAATTACACCTGGAATGCCCACTGGTGGCATACTCTCCGTAGAAACATAAACAAACTTTACTGGATAATTGAGAGTTATCAAATCTTCAGATTTTTTCATATTGTTCTCGAAGGATGAATAAAACACACTGGCTCAACACAGATAAATAATGCCTCCAGTTTATTTTTAACAAAACCATTATCATTAACAGTACATTTATACCGTGAAATTTCATTGACTCAACATTTTCTAATTTGATATGTAATACGATGCATTATGACATGTCATGATTATGTAAATGCATACTTTTCTAGAAAATATGCATCATTCAATAACATGTATCATATTTCATACATTGTCATCTTATTCTCAAAAATACTGTCCAACCATTTTAACACTAGAAATACATGAATAAACAGTAAAGGACATGTCCTTGAGTTGTGTCCCAAGGGCATGACCAAAGCAATCAAATGTCACAATGGATCCATATCAATCCATTATGTTACACTTCCATATTTCCTTCATATTCATCTGGAGTAAGGGACTGGTCATTTATTATTGTATAATGTTGAGCTGGGGTGTAGGGTGGGAGATTGTTATTTGGACTGTATCATATTTTGCTAATTCCCTCATCTTATGTTACAGTTTTTCATGACCTACCCCACCCACTAAATACATTAACATTTATCATGCCATCCCCCCCTCCCTCCAATTGCTATAACAAATGACCCATCCATAAATAATGTTCAAATTTATTAATTTTTATTTGAGTGAGTGAGTAAGTGAGTATGGTTTTACGCCACTTTCAGCAATATTCTAGTAATATCACAGCGGGGGACACCAGAAATAAGCTTCACACATTGTACCCATGTCGGGAATCCAACCTGGGTCTTCGGCTTTAACCACTAGGTTACCCGACCGCCCCATTTTTTATTAGAAAAAACCTGTGTCATTTTTTCATGACCACCCCTCCAATAACAGGGCACTTCCATCGGAGGTCGAATCAGAACTTTCTAATCAGCCAATAAGTGTTACGATTTCGAAATTTCTATGTACGAGGGAGCAAAACATGCAGACCAGTGTATCTGATTTCTGTATCTCCAACATGAAGTTCCGAATGCCGATAAAAAAGGCCACACCTTTATATTGCTTTCACATTTTATATACCCTGTTATATTTGAGCGCCTGACATCAACACCCAAGGGGGAGTACCACTGGAGATAACTTGTGTTCCATGTTGGTTTTCATTTGTACAAATCAAAATTACCCAAAAGGCAAAGTGAAGAAATGAAGCTGGATTGTTTTATGAAGCTGAAATCTGATTGGCTCAGACAGAGAAGTATCATATTTGAGTAAAAATCTGATATTAATAAGATTGAGAAAAACTAGAAACCATAACACACACCGTAGAACCAACAAGATTTTATCAGAATCTATGCCTTCTTTACTTTATTTGTCCTTTTTCGTTTGTTGTCAAAATCCTCCAGTATGCCATCAATAATCTCATACTTGATGCCCCACATAGGACTGACAATGACGTCATCAAGATCCTCGCCTCCATGGAGGAATACGTCAATGTTGTGACAGTTCTTCCCCAGTCTGTGGTCTGTCACTCTGTCCTGTGGGAAGTTATAGGTGCGGATCTTCTCGGACCGTCCACCGGTACCGATCTGCAGCCTCCTGGTAGCATCGGTCTCTGCCATTTGGGCTGTCAACTCCTCCTGGTATATTCTGGAACAGACATGGGTGTTTCACTTTTCTAAACAGAGTCAAACAAACCTTGCCATCTTAATACAGCTGGAATATTGCTGAAGGTGACAAAACACAACGTTGATGAGTGAGTGAGTGAGTGAGTATGGTTTTACGCCGCTTTTAGCAATATTCCAGCAATATCACGGCGGTAGACACCAGAAATGGGCTTCACACATTGTACCCATGTCGGGAATCGAACCCGGGTCTTCGGCGTGACGAGCGAACGCTTTAACCACTAGGCTACCCGACCGCCCCCAACGTTGATGAACCCCTAGAAAAAAAAGAAGAAAGATTAGTCCAGAGGACTATGTAAGTTAGTGAGTGAGTGAGTGAGTGAGTGAGTTGGGTTTAACGCCACTTTTAACAGTATTCCAGTTATATCGCGGCGTGTCAGCTTCATGTGGGAGAAAAGCCCGAAGTGATGCAGGTCCCAGAAGTTTACCACTTCGGTGAAACCCATGAGCACGGGTATGGTGCTAACAAACCTAGAAACATAATTGGGGCGAACCGGGATTCGAACCCACAATCATAGGTTTCTGGCGTGCCCAAGGGACGCTTTAGACGAATGGGCCATCCGTGCCCCCAGAGGACTATGTAAATTTAAGTCCAGAGTCTTGGATTTGTCCTGCTTGAACAAGACAAAAATGTTTACAATGCTTACATTTTTTGTCAGTTTTATGTTGTTCCAACTTGAGCGGAAGTGCATTATTGAGAACTAGTTCAGATTTGTTGCCCTTAAATGCTACTTGTCAAAATGAGAACTTTATTTGCCCTTTGTCTTTGTCTTGCGTGAATTTTGAAGGATGTTGATGTGCTTCGATATTGCTGACAAGCAGGTTAAAACCACATCCCATTTTCTGCAACACATTCACTGACCTTGACCTAATGAGCTGCACTTTTAATACTGTGAACAGTAAATATTCTGTACCAGGTAAGCTATATAAAAGAATACAGTCGTATCATAGTTTTTGTGACCGCCTCCGTGGTCTAGTGGTAGAACGTCTAACCGGAGAGTGAAAGGTCCGGGGTTCGATCCCCGGCTGCGTCATACCAAAAGACGTTAAAAGATGGTACTTGTTGTTACCCTGTCTGGCGCTCGGCATTAAAGGGCTAAAACAAGGACTTGTCGACTCGGAGTCAGTATACTGTGTCTGAGTGGGGTATTCATGTTAAACTGCGGCATGGTATCTCAGTGGGCTAGCACTACAAATCTGCATCAGTCCGGGCTAGTACAAGCAGCCACACACACACACATGTGCATGCATGTCGCTATGTAAGTGCAATAATCTTGGGTGCAACATTTAACCCAATTCCACCTCATCTCACCTCATAGTTTTTGCAGATGACATGCAGCTTCCCCAGGCAAGGGAGTTAACTGACTATATACGTCCAGTTTCCACACTTGCTGAACAAGGCTGGAATTTCTTGGCTCGATCATAATTAGGTTAGGGTTAGGTTAGGGTTAGGACCGACACAAACAGCGTCATACGGCTCTGTAGCTCACTAATGTTTCTGGAATATGATATTACATCAGACACAGATATTTGGTAAATAATGATACCCAAACAAAATGAAACGTCAATTATACACAACAGACATCGCTGTATGGGCATCTGATCTCATGTTTACAAGGTAGCGGGGCATTGGTACATATTCAACAAAATTCAAATTTTGAAATACACAGCAAAACGGAGTGCATCATATTTCTCATACGAGTACAACATGCATACATTGCTTCCATTACTGACGTTCAGATAAGGCGATAAAAACTGAGGAGCAAAGGAAATTATACCTCTCAGTTGACTGTATCATATGTTTGATTTTCAAGTATCCCCTCGTTATCCCGGACAACTCAGTTCTGTACACTATACCCTCGTTATTCAGGATAATTCAGTTCCGTTCATTATAACCTCGTTATTCCGGACAACTCAGTTCTGTACACTATACCCTCGTTATCCCGGATAATTCAGTTCCGTACATTATACCCTCGTTATCCCGGACAACTCAGTTCTGTACATTATACCCCCGTTATCCCGGATAACTCAGTTATGTACATTATACCCCCGTTATCCCGGATAACTCAGTTATGTACATTATAACCTCGTTATCCCGGACAACTCAGTTCTGTTCATTATACCCTCTTTATCCCGGACAACTCAGTTCTGTACATTATACCCTCTTTATCCCGGACAACGCAGTTCTATACATTATACCCTCGTTATCCCGGACAACTCAGTTCTGTACATTATACCCTCGTTATCCCGGACAACTCAGTTCTGTACATTATAACCTCGTTATCCCGGACAACTCAGTTCTCTACCTTATAACCTCGTTATCCCGGACAACTCAGTTCTGTACATTATACCCTCTTTATCCCGGACAACTCAGTTCTGTACATTATACCCTCGTTATCCCGGACAGCTAAGTTCTGTACATTATACCCTCGTTATCCCGGACAACTCAGTTCTGTACATTATACCCTCGTTATCCCGGACAGCTAAGTTCTGTACATTATACCCTCGTTATCCCGGACAACACAGTTCTGTACATTATACACTCGTTATCCCGGACAACTCAGTTCTGTACACTATACCCTCGTTATTCCGGACAGCTCAGTTCTGTACACTATACCCTCGTTATCCCGGACAACTCAGTTCCGTACATTATACCCTCGTTTTCCAGGACAGCTCAGAGAATTTGTCTGAGATCATATTTTGCCGACGTCCCCTTCATTTTATCTAACGTTTTTCCATGCTACTAACCCACCCCTAATAGACATAAGGAAATACGGCTGTTTTGTTCAATTTTATTACAAAAATCAACATTGGAAATATAAAATGACAAATACAGCACCATGATCAACTGACCTTACTGAAATTAGAATAACAATGAAACAAGTAGCTCCTCTTCAAACTCAGTCATGGAATACCTATTTCAAGATATATTTTGAATCAATAAATTCTAAAAGCCAAAACATTTTATTTGAAGAAATGTCTTATGAAAAAAGACGCCACTTTCTGTTTTTTAACCTTCTGTCATTTTATCCATCAAAACAAAAATACTTAATAAACATAGAAATGTGAGGTTTAGTATTAATAACGTGATACTTGAATATAATGTTCCGGTGTACCGGAGTATGTGTGTATTAGAGTGAGTGAGTGTTTTTACGCCGCTTTTAGCAATATTCCAGAAATATCTGGCCGAATGACTTCGGCGTGACGAGCGAATGATTTAATCATTGTTAGATATTCATCCATCATATAAGATTAATTGTTGAAAAGAAGAATAACTCGGGTAAGCGTCAAACAGAGACGTAATATAGATTCTGTATATGTCCTCTGGTTTAAGCAATCGAATGAGTTGTCATTCCGGAAGTTATCAGCAAGTCGAGGTGTCAAATGCGACTCTATCCGGTTTCTGAATCTTGTGCGCAGCGCTCTACACTCTGCCATCCTTGGTGATCGGTTGAATGACCCATGGTACCCGGATGTACACTGCGCGTTCTACCACAGCGCAACATGCCCCAAGGAAACAGGCCGACATGCATCATTATTTGTTCCCGGTTAAAACAGTCAAACATACAATGTAAAATCTCTGTCACCCTTGGTAAACAGAAAAAAACATTTGAAAACAAGAAATTCACCCTCTTCAAAGCGAGCACTGTAACTATAGGATTACGTAACAGCGAAACGTTGTCTTTAGCCTGGCGGAGTGCTACGGTCGATTTGACAATATGTCCAGGCACGCTATATAGGCTTGTGATAACGTGATCATATGGATTCTGATTAACACAAAGCATCTTGTCAGTTGTTATTCGAAATGTGAAAGGGAGACTAGGATCAGGCCAATCGGAAGTCATATCAAGTTTCATACAAATCATTTCCAACCAAGGGCTAACTCAAATTTATGGTAAATTGCCATCTAGTAGGTACTAAGTACACAGAGACAAGGTGTCATGTTTTTCTTCCGCACGAATTTCAACGTTTAGAAATAGGCAAGGGAGCCTGGTCCGTCCTTTAAATGCAAGCAGTCTTGTTAGTTAAAAGACGAATATAAAATCGCAGAATTTCAAAAAGCCTTTTGACAGACAACAGCCAGCAACGTCATGGCATAGATGGCGACCATGGAGGATGTCAGAGGAAGCCCAGTTCCTGTTGGGCACGGATTTCTGTAACCATCCATGGCTTCACATGCTTCTTTCTCGGATCTCATCCCGTTCTTCACTTCCTGGTATTTGCTGTAGTGGTCGGGTTTCACGTCCATCTGGCGGAGTCCACTCAGAACGAGTCTGTTGTCCATGACATATTTATTCACATGGAACTTGCACCTAAACAGAAGAGGGTTTAATACTGTGTTTGGAATTTTCACATCAAATCTTCTGGGTCGTAATTTCATCAACAGAAAGGCAGGTATTGAAGTTCTACATATGGAAAGAGAGCGGATATTTTAAACAGATCGGGGATATGAAACAGATCGGGGATATGAAACAAAGCGGGGATATGAAACAGAGCGGGGATATTAAACAGAGTGGAAATATGAAACAGAGCGGGGATATGAAACAGAGCAGAGATATGAAATGGAGCGGAGATATGAAACAGAGCAGAGATATGAAACAGATATGTGTTTGGAATTTTCACATCAAATCTTCTGGGTCGTAAATTCATCAACAGAAAGGCAGGTATTGAAGTTCTACATATGGAAAGAGAGCGGATATATGACACCGGAAATGGGCTTCACACATTGTACCCACGTCGGGAATCTAACCCGGGTCTTCGGCGTGACGAGCGAAGGCTTTAACGACTAGGCTACCCGACAGCCCCGAGTGGAGATATGAAACAGAGCGGGGATATAAAACAAAGAGGAGATATGAAACAGAACGGGGATATGAAACAGAGTGGACATCTGAAACAGAGCGGAGATATGAAACAGAGTGGAGATATGAAACAGAGTGGGGATATGAAACAAAGTGGAGATATGAAACAGATCGAGGATATGAAACAGTGGAGATATGAAACAGAGTGGAGATATGAAACAGAGCGGGGATATAAAACAAAGAGGAGATATGAAACAGAACGGGGATATGAAACAGAGTGGACATCTGAAACAGAGAGGAGATATGAAACAGAGTGGAGATATGAAACAGAGTGGGGATATGAAACAAAGTGGAGATATGAAACAGATCGAGGATATGAAACAGTGGAGATATCAAACAGAGTGGAGATATGAAACAGAGCGGGGATATGAAACCAAGTGGAGATATGAAACAGATCGGGGATATGAAACAGAGCGGGGATATGAAACAGAGCGGGGATATGAAACAGAGTGGACATATGAAACAGAGTGGGGAGGTGAAACAGAGCGGGGATATGAAACAGTGGAGATATGAAACAGAGTAGAGAGATGAAACAAAGTGGAGACATGAAACAGATCGGGATATGAAATAGAGTGGAGATATGAAACTAATTTTAGATATGAAACAGAGCGGCAATATGAAACAGAGCAGAGATATGAAACAAAGTGGGGTTATTAAACAGAACCGGGATATGAAACAGAACGGGGATATTAAAGAAACTGGAGATATGAAAAAGAGTGGAGATATGAAACAAAGTGGAGATATGAAACAGAGCGGGGATATAAAACAGAGCAGAGATATGAAACAGAGCGGAGATATGAAAGAGAGCGGGGATATGAAACAAAGTGGGGTTATTAAACAGAACCGGGATATGAAACAGAACGGGGATATTAAAGAAACTGGAGATATGAAAAAGAGTGGAGATATGAAACAAAGTGGAGATATGAAACAGAGCGGGGATATAAAACAGAGCAGAGATATGAAACAGAGCGGAGATATGAAAGAGAGCGGGGATATGAAACAGTAGAGATATGAAAATTAGTTGAGATTATGTAGCCTGATTAGGCTACAGCGCTCACTTACTGTAGACACACTGTATTTATCAAATTCATTATGTAAGGGAGGTAATCGCAAAACATGATGCAAGATGAAAATCAGGGAAACAATTGTAGCCATTATTGTTCATTTTGTTTTCAACATCCCTCTGTTGATGAATATTTTGTGAAAATTATTTTATTACAAATTTAATTTGTTTAAGATTTTAATATGGACATGATAATTTGTTGCCGCCGTATTGATGACTGGTGACGTTTTCTTGTGGGGTATTATATTCATCATGTACATGGTATTATAATGAAATGGAGACAGGTCCTTTCTAGGTGTCTAACATGTCAATATGTCCGATATTTACCGGGTATGTAATTTCGTAAATATAGAATTGAATGCAAGACTATCAACGATAAAATTCGATCTTAAGCTGAATATTTATAAATTCCTTGTAATCGAACATTACGTTCTTCATAAAAAGGCAAACACAACTATCTCGACAAATATAAAAAAGAACGTCAATTAGGCGTTATTTTAGCCAAATAGCGACGAAATCTCCACAGTAGCGTCTCGTACTTAGTGTTCCGAGGGCATCCAGAACCGAGCAGGCCTGTGATGTTCTTCACTTGGTCGTTTCTGTTCGCTTGCTTGTACAGAAGGGCCAGATACATCCCCTTTGTTGCACTTGGCATCGGGGGCATGTATTCGACGACGACGTCACCGGAAGCGACGGCATCGCCGTTGATGTTGACAACGAGCCAATGTACGTCAGTGTTATGGGTTGATATATTCAACTCCTTTGTCGGGTTTACCAGCATCAAGGTGAAGAACTGACCTGTTGGGCGAGAATAGCAAATATGAAATCAACTCCAGCTACATGACGGCGGTCTGTAAATAACCGAATGTGGCCAGTGATTGAAATTATGAGCAACGATCCACGCTCTCTCGGTTTGTTGACCACCCAATCCTTTAAGTCGACTATTACGAACAGCAAAGGTTGGTGAGGGCCTCTTCGAACCCGGAATCCTAAATGGCGTGCTGTCTTAGAAACGTTGGATTTAAATTACCTTACTTAAATTACTTTAAGTACGAGAATCTGAACTTTATTAAGAAAGTGTTATCCCAAACATACCATTTGTTACATCTGACCACTTTCTAAAATGACATTGTGTGTTTATACCTTACACTCTTTTATAAATGAAACTGAAGTATATAATCCACGTGGGATCTAGCAATAGCTGAGTGTCATTGCACCCATACACATGTTGGTTGAGAAGCCAGACAGGACATTTACTACCTTGCAGGGCAGTGGCGGAGAGGTTTCTTGCCACAAGGTGAACCATGGGCTTTGCTCTCACTTTGGCGGCCATGATCTCCCCCGTGGACTTATAATCGACATGAACGTTGGCGGCGCTGAATGAGACAATATTTATAAGTGATTAAGAAGATGATGATGACATATAAATAAATAATGAATATATAACAACATCATCATCATCATCATCATCATAATTATAATAATAATATTAATAATAATAATATTATTATCATTATTAATAATAATAATAATTATTATAATAATTATAATAATTTACTTTATCAGTGATTAAAAAGATGATGATGACACATAAATAAATACTGAATATATAATTAATAATAATAATAATAATAATCATCATCATCATCATCATCATCATGATAATATCAACAACAATGATTGTCACAATAAAATGATATCAACAACAATGATTATCCCAATAATACATTTAATCAGCAACTTATCTCTGTGTGCTGTTTATTCTGAAAATCATATGGTCTTTTACATTAATTAACTTCTTCTTATATTAAATCAGTGTGAGGGTTATGATGATAATGGTGAGTTCGGTTCAACGTTGCTGTGAACAGTGTCAGTGTATTCCAGTGTCAACGGCGTGTCGGTTTAATGTGGGAGGAAAACCCGAAGTGATGCAGGTTTCAGACGTTTACCACGAGCTTGATATGGTGCTGTCAAATCTAGGAACATTATCGGGGCGCACCGGGAATCGTACCAACAATGACAGGTTTCTTGCGTGCCTAATGATGATTATGATGATGATGATGATGATGATGATTAACAAGCCTCTCTTCAATAATACCAATCGCAGTGAGGGAGTGAGTGGATTTGGCCATACGTCACTTTTAGCATAATGTTAGAAACTAAGAATCAGCTTCACATATTCTACACGTGTCAAGGAAAACAAAAGAAACGGATTGTTACAAGTTTGTATGGTGAACTGTAAATCAATCTCACCCAGTCTTCATTTTAGAACAGCAGAAGGGGAAAGACATGTCCGGGGTCATAAAGTGCAGGTCAATAGAGATCCCGGCCTCAGCAGACGACAGGTTGAAGGTCAGACCGCCATAGCTGACCACGAGGTCTTGGAGCCCTGGAATAAGAAAATATTTCAGAACGGAATTCTTCCTACGCTTGTTATGATATGAGGCGTGCTAAGTACCTTTCTGTAAAGGCGTGAGTGTGTGAGTTGGGTTTTACCATTCTTTTAGCAGTGTTCCAACCATAGCCTTCGTGGAATCTAAGAATGAGCTGCACTCAAGGTGTCACATATCATGACCTGTCAACTAGATGTGTGAGATCTTAGATGTTTACAGCTTATGTGAAACCAGTGAGCGCGGTTATGGTGCTAGCAAACCCAGAAACATAATCAGGACGTTTCTGGGATTCTAACCCACGAACATAGGTTTCTGGCAGCCATCGAATCGCGGCACCTTAGACGACCGGCCCACCAATGCCCCTTGGGTCACAAAACCATGCATAAACTGCCGGGCAACAGACATTATACACTTGAAAATTGGATTTGACCAACAAATCATAAACATTATCAAAACGTTACCAGACTGACAAAGTTGCCCAGACGCTGCAATGATACCCTATCAATTACTTCAACATCGAATAACCAATTCTGGTCTGTTTCACGTTTTGCCACTATCAAACATGGGTGTATACCTCCTCCCCTGCCATGAGATCGGTGCATGGGTAAATTGTAAATGATAAAGCTTGCAAATGTCAACTTTCAACTTTCATTCCAACCGCGTTATAGAAAACAGAGGTGTCAAAACAACAGAGATATCCCCTAATTAAACTAGTGGTTAGAGGTTTGCCGGCATGTGATGTAGATGGCTCACGTTTTTGGTGGAAGTAGGGGCACCTGTTTGTATCCCCCATGTCTCTCATCGTCACAGCGGCGTAGTCGTCGCCATAGGCGCGCACGATGTCGAAGCTGACGGGACCTAAAAAGTAACATGAAGCTGGTAAAAATAGGGGGTTTAGAGAGTTGGCAATGAAACAGACAGGGAAGCAGTGGGGTGGGGGTTGGTGGGGTGGGGGTTGGGGTTGGGGGTTGGGGGTTGCAGGGAAGCATTATTGGAGGGGGCGTGGTAGGTGGGGGGTTGCATGGAAGCATTATTGGAGGGGGCGTGGTAGGTGGGGGGTTGCAGGGAAGCATTATTGGATTAGGGCGTGATAGGTGGGGGGTTGCATGGAAGCATTATTGATTGGTAAGCATGAGAAGAGGATAAGGGCAGGGTATGAGGTCTCTGGGTAGTGTAAGGAAAGCAATCATCCACACACGTGAATACGTTAAATAAATTGAGGGGATCTATACAGTATGGATCTTCGCGGCCTTTGAGAAAGTCCTAGTTACACATTATATATCTTCTTTTATAGAGTCACTGTCTACAGTTTAGTTGATTGAGTTAAACCATTTGGAAAAAAACCTCATGTCCACGTTGTCATTTGGACTGTTGGTACAAGACACATGTGAGTAGTGCAACGGTATTCAAACATTGAGTTTACCTTGAAGACCATATGTCTGTATGAACTCGTGCATAAACAGGGGCTTCATAAGCGAACTGGTTGTATTGATGTATTGTTTCACTTCTTCGACTTGGATGTCCTTTGTTTGCTTGAAGACCACCCAGATATAGATGTTTAGCCGATTCAGGGTGTTCAGGGGACCGCTGTGGGGTTTGACAGCCTGGTTCAACAGAGATGACGAAGGGGCAATTAAAGCATTTATTTACAGCATATGTAATATTAGAGTCTTCGAACAATACTCAGATCAAGGCCATCGTCTGCATCCATTCTCATACCAAAACCAGCATCTTCACAATGCTAACACCACGGCCAACGACTTTACCCATGCCCACAGCACGGCCAACGATTTTCCCCATGCTCACATCATGGACAACAGCTTTACCCGTGCTCACACCACGACCAGCGACTTTATCCATGCTAAACCACGATCAGCGACTTTACCCATGTTCACACCACGACCAACGACTTTATCCATGCTCACACCACGATCAGCGACTTTACCCATGGTCACACACCACGATCAACGACTTTACCCATGCTCACACACCACGATCAGCGACTTTACCAATGCTCACACCACGACCAACGACTTTACCCATGCTCACACCACGATCAGCGACTTTACCCATGCTCACACCACGACCAACTACTTTAACCATGCTCACACCACGATCAGCGACTTTACCAATGCTCACACCATGGAAAACAACTTTACCCATGCTCACACCATGGACAACGACTTTCCCCATGCTCACGCCATGGACTACGACTTTACCCATGCTCCCGCCATGGACAACGACTCTACCCATGCTCAAGCAATGGACAGCGACTTTCCCCATGCTCACACCATGGAAAACAACTTTACCTATGCTCACGCCAGAGACAACGACTTTACCCATGCTCACACCACGGACAACGACTTTCTCCATGCTCACACCATGGAAAACGACTTTACCAATGCTCACGCCAGAGACAACGACTTTCCCCATGCTCACACCACGGACAACGACTTTAGCCATGCTCACACCACGGACAACGACTTTCCCTATGCCCACACCACGGACAACGACTTTATTGTTGAGTGGGTGGGTTTAGTTTAACACAACATTGAACAGTATTTCATGTTTATCACAGCGTGTCATGGTACTATGGCCGTTGTATATAAATCGCTCCATGAGCTTCATCAATAAGGAAGTGAGTTTGGTTTATCACCGTCGTTGAACAGTATTTCATGTATATGACGGCGTGATCAATGAACCCAAAGTACGTATCTTCCTACCTCGCCCATGGTTATGTTTCCACCGTCGGCGTTGACGTAGATGCCGTGGACAATGAAAAAGCCTGGGTCGTAGTACACTACGGTGTATTTGACGCCGGCCTCCGCTGACCACGAGACGTCCGGCATGTCCCTGTAATCAACTGACGTCCTGTAGTGAGGGTTGAGAGGGTCAATTTTGAAGGAAGTGGACCTGGAAGTCTGTTTAATCTCTGCCCCGCATCCTGTGTATATGCCTAGGACGACAGAAGGGTGGGTGTGATAATGACATGTGTCGTGAACATGATTTGACGACGACTTTAGCAACATTTTGTTTGTTTGCTTGTTTGTTGTTTTACGCCACACTCAGCAATATTTCAGCTTTTTGACGGCGGTCTGTAAATAATCGAGTTTGGACAATCCAGTGATAGATATCTTGAGAATTGATCCAAGCAATTGGGATACGATGACATGCATCAACCAAGTCAGCGAGCCTGACCACTGTATCCCAACTGAACAGATCGATGTTGATGGCCATTTTGTCAATCTCTCGATTATTTACAGACCGCCGTCATAAAGCTGAAATGTTGCTGAGTGCGGTGTTAAACAAAAAACAATCAAACATTACTGAATTTATTAAAAAAATATGTTTTAAACTCTTGAGGTATTAGAACCCAAATTGCCAAGGTGAAGGTTGCGTCAGGTGTCTACTTACGTTCCAGCGGTCGGGGGTAGGTGATGTTCATGATGGAGGTTATCGAGTCCGTCGTGACGTTACTTCCGGTGAACATTCGGCTCATAATGGAGTCATTCATGTTTGGTCGAAGATTGATACACTTTTGGGTAGAATCTGGACCATTTGGACACATCTCCTTATATTTAGTGCCAAACCAAAACAAGGTGTTATTATTCAGGGCGGCCTTGACAGTGGTCATACATGTCTCATTGTTGAAGTTGTTCTGGCAAACAGTCCAGTGACAGCTCACTAGAGTAAGGGTTGAGATTGAGAAATTAAATACTATTATAGGAAAACAATATTTTATTATACGACTTGATTTCAAAATGTTTTGCATTCACTCAAAAACTAGCGCGTAGCGGATTTACGCAAAGTGCACATATCGGTTTTTGTTTCATGGTTTGTTTGTTTAACGCCGCACTCAGCAGTATTCCAGCTACATGACGGCGGTTTGTAAATTATTGAGTCTGGTCCAGACAACCCAGTGAATAACAGCATGAGCATCAATCCACGCAATTGGGATACGATGGTATGCATCATCCAAGTCAGCAATCCTGGCTACCTGATCCCGTTGGTCGCCTCTTACGACAAGCATGGGTTGCTGAGGACATATTCTAACCCGGGTCTTCACCGGTGACATATGTTATATAAGTTTATAACTCCATAAATGCAAAACACATTGAAGTCAGTTCGTGTTAATAGACTGCTTACTTAATCATGAACACACTCAAAAGGTGAAGGCAATAATACGAACTAAACAAAATCGTTCAGCGCAATATGCAACACATTTGATTATCAACCAGTCAAGAAACAGTAGTCCGTTTGTGGGCGTGGCCCAAGTGTTTTTCGGTTTATGTTTCTCAAAACAAATTCTATACTACGTAACAAATTCCTGACGAGGCCGCTCTGCGAGTTTTTATTTGAGGAGAATATTAATTACATGGACCTGTGGGTTTAGCCAATCGAATGCCGAGGAATCACTTGCAGTTTATTTATATACTACATGCAGCTGTGATGTGACAATCCATTCATGCATGGCATAGTGTGGTTAGTACTTTATTAATCATAAAAATACTGAAAAGGAAATGTAAAAAATGAAAAGGTTTACGACAGATGGACGATCGGACGACGTACGAGGGGCAAGACATAACAATAATGCTGAAGGGGTGCTCTTCCGATCCGGAATCCCTGTGGGTGGAATACGAGAAGGGGCAAGACATAACAATAAGAACTGAAGGGGTGCTCTTCCGATCCGGAATCCCTGTGGGGGGAATACGAGAAGGGGGCTTTTCATGCTGAACACATGTAAGACGGCATGGAGACAAAAGCCTCATCACGTGATAACATTATACAGAGGAAAAGGGGGAACCAAATACTCTATAAAGAGGGAAGGCGGAAATCCTTTATATAATGGCTATGGGGACATGGCTTGATTTGCTCTGCTCTATTCAAATATTAAAAGGATTAGGGCGAGAGAGGGGTGGAGGGGGCAAGTATAGCTAAAAGGTATGCGTGGAATTTGGTTAGGAGGATAATGCATAATTCATAACAAAAATGATTTTGATTGTGTCAGATTGGCGACGAAATACAAAAATCCAAAAGGCTGTATTATAAAGCATGAATGACAGCACATTCTCTTTCTGTTTAACTTCAGGATGAAACACGACTCCGACGGTTTGGCTGAGAATGTAAACACGATGGGTTTGGAAAACCCCGTGGACCAGACCAAACCCGAGAGAAGTGTTGTATCCGACTTTTAAACCTAAAACCTAAAGAAAAATCCAAAACAACATTTTCAACAGTTTTATATTTCCAACATAGGTGAGCCTTGAGAATGGACGTACTATATGTACTGCTGGCGAATATGCACCTCAAGAAGAGATTTATCAGTGCCTCAAAATGTATACGAAGTTCGACCCAACTGAAATACAAGTAACATTTATTGCTGGATTTTCCATCCTTCCTCATCCGGGTCTTCAGCAACCAATGCTTGCCGTAAAAGGCGACTATGCTTGTCGTAAGAAGTGACTAATAGGATCGGGTTGTCAGACTCGCTGACTTTGATTATGCATTTAATCGTATCCCAATTGCGTGATTACTGAGCGCGGCGTTAAACAACAAAGAAACAAAATATCCTTCCTCACATGACCTTGAGCTAGCATTGTAGTGGGAGCTGTTCCGTAGCCAAAACAAATCTGACGAGCGACTTTCAAAACATGTAAAACCGGTTTTCTCTCTTCTTCGAGAAGAAGGCCTTGTTAAACCTTTAAGATTACGTCACTTAAGGTTTATAATTACAAAGGCTAGTATCCCTGTCGCGCATCCCACTTCTCTTCTAGGGTATCTGATCCCACTATTCTCCATTTTCTACTCGCCATTTGTCACGTAGCATACCTCGACCATTGCTAAATACTGACATGTTTCATGCCGGACCCAATACCCCACTATATCATTTCCTTTCCAGCGCGTGAGCACGAGCGTACCTGACCGGCCTGCATTGCACCGATTTTAACGTCCTTTTATGTCAAGAGCCACGGCGTGCGACGTGTGACAGTCATGTCAGGCTCAAGGACAAGATCTGACAAAGCATCTGTATTTGCATTATGTATTCAGCAGTACTGCGTTTGTGGGCTCGACATTTTTCGCGGCTTATCAGGATGGTGATGTTGTATCAGGCGTTAGGGGTGAACTGACCAAATAGCCGTCAAGCTTTAGGGGTGCCTTTTTTACTTTTAACTATTAGGTTTTGCCCAATAACGACGAAAAGGGAATCTTTAGAATTGACAAAAAAGAGAGTCAAAGACCCCTTTAAAAGTTGATACTTCATATATACGTAAGTTCCAAATGACTGCCCGGCTATTTGCATTTATGCTTTTGTTTTGATGTTTCTCAAATTATGAAGTATAAAATAAAATGGAATATATATATAAAATGTTACAGTGCTGTAGCTAAAGGGGATGCAGAAGGACGGTGTATTTTCAAGCTTCCGGAAGAAAATGAACTTCTCATAAATACAATTCAACTTTTGCTGACGAGCACACCTTTGACTGAAGGTGACTGTTTAGGGCCTTAGCAAATGTTATGATTATGTTCACACCCAAGAAGAAAATGTCACTTGATTTCTCCATCGTCGTTTATCGTTATTTGTTGCGCAATAACATGGTCAAAACATGCTCTCCAAATCGCTATTTCACACATTAAGCCACAACATAGAGGAATGTGAGAATGAAAGTTTTGAAGTATTCTTATGGGTGGGGCTCGCATTCTTGGCCTAGTGGGTAGAGCGTCTGTCAAGTGAGGTCGATGGTTGGAAAAGAAAAGACGATAAAAGATGGCTATGTCTGAGTGAGCTACCCATGATACACTGCGGAGTGAGTGAGTTGGGTTTAACGCCGCTTTTAACAGTATTCCAGTCATATCGCGGCGTGTCAGCTTAATGTGGGAGGAAAGCCCGAAGTGATGCAGGTCTCAGACGTTTACCACTTCGGTGAAACCCACGAGCACGGGTATGGTGCTGACAAACCTATAAACATAATCGGGGCGAACCGGGATTCGAACCCACAGTCATAGGTTTCTGGCGTGCCAAGGGACGCAACTCTGCACAGCGAATCGCGGCGCCTTAGATGACTGGGCCACCCGTGCCCCCCACCTACTTTGAGACTTCATGTAATTGTACGTGTTTACTATAGACATTTCTCGGCGCGCATAGCTGCAAGATTGTTCATGCAGCGTTGAGCCATACCTATTCATTCGTTCACTTTCTTAGACGACATTTGTCAGCTAAACCTGCAAAACATTTACTTAACAATTTGAAAATCCTTACTGAAAAGTTCATGCTTGTGGTTAAATACGGGAACTATCTACATAAACATGACCATATTACGCTTTTGAAAAATTTACGCGAAAAACAATCTTACGTAACCTTGAAAACAACAATGAACCAAAACCATTAAATGATATCCATGTAAAAATAGTATACAGTGGAATATATAACATACATACTATGAGCACCTAAAAGGGTGACGTTATGGGTTACCTTGTGACAGTGAAGCTAGACAGGAAAAATTTACGCGAAAAACAATCTTACGTAACCTTGAAAACAACAATGAACCAAAACCATTAAATGATATTCATGTAAAAATAGTATACAGTGGAATATATAACATACAGACTATGAGCACCTAAAAGGGTGGCGTTATGGGTTACCTTGTGACAGTGAAGCTAGACAGGAGACGAGCAAGACGATGCTGGTACACGAGGACGCCATGCTTTCTGCAACTCACCTCGGGTGGAGAAATATATATGACAATCGCTTCACTGGTCACCATACAAAGTTTTCTAAGGATGTTTGGGGGGTGAAGGGGTCGTGTCAAAATTTATATAGCCAATATATGTAGATTTACATCCCCTGTATTCATGTAATAACTTGATAACTAATGTTGAGCGTTATCGTTGCCTTGTATCGGGTGTATCTGGAAGACTTATTTTCTGGAGCCGTATGCTTTCATAGAAACAATCCTTTTAATTCGTATTGAAAGTGGATAGCGTATCCCTTTTACTATGGCAGTGTGTATTCGGGGTTATTTATTTGCACGAGCCGGTTTTTTTAAATTACAGATTTAAAATATATTTTCTAAAACGATCTTTCATTCATTGAACTGATGACCACTAAATAACAAGTGTGTGAGATAATATTTTTAGACCGCAGTTAGGAATATTCGAGTTATATAAGGTCCATTTCTTTTATATATCAGAGTCTTGGAAAGGCAAACAAGTGGTGTATATATTAACATGAGAATAACTGACACAGTTTTAGTCCATGGGCCAGAGAAAATTTGACTACCAAACAGAGGGACAAATAACCAATATGATTTTCAGCTAGCTTGATGTCTCAACTGTATGATTTCATGTGATGGACATTTCAGATGCCCAGCTAAATACGATTTTGGCGTCCATTTTCCAAGATGGTGGCCATTTTTTCCCTTTTTCTACAGATTTCAGAAATAAGCTTATAACACAGAATGTATTTATTTCAGACAACTTTTATTTACTAATATTGTTTCAGCACTACATTGAACACATTTTGTTATGCTTTTTGTATATCATTGAGTTATAATTGTTGTGTTAATGTTGAAATTATAAAAAGAAATTACCCTTTTTTTAAATCACATGTACTGACATGTTGTCTTTTCAATGCAGCGTTGTTGAGTAATAATTCACACCTTATGATAGCTAAAAATTGCCTAATGTATTTAATGTATTATATAAAATACCTTTTTGAAGTTAAAACACGATAGTGCATAAACATAAGCAGCCATATTTCAATATAGTGCACTTTTTCACAGATATTTTATAAATTAAGAAAGTCGTACATATTGCCACCAAAATTTGTTTTTATATTTCCTAACCAAATTTCCAAGAATCTAAAGTGTATAAAGTTAAAATGTACACATTGTGATATTACATTTATATGTGTCAACATCAAAAGTACACATACAAAAGAAATTCCACGTGCTCTTCTGCAATTAAATGGATCTCAAAGAAACATAGATCCATGTCCGGTACTAACTTAACGTTATATTTTCAAATAAAAAATAACATTTGCAGACAAATATAACTTGTTCATAATTCAAAAGTCACCACTGTCCTACTTCACAAATCTTCTACTCTTAAAAATCAGCATCTAGTAATATCTACTCACCAAACAGGAGACTGTTTGCTTGAGTTTCATGCCGTTCACATTAGCATTGTAACGCAATTTAGCATAAAATGGCCAGTACTTGTAACAGTTTCAAGAAAATATCTATAAATAATAGACATTTCAACAATGAGGATGTCTTTTTCCGTCCCAAGACCTGCAATGTGATACACATCAAACTGTCAAATTCAGTCATCATGATCACTTGGAGTGTTCTACATCTTGATGTATCTCTTCATCATCGTCATCCATGTTGGAGCAGTGTGACAACGTGCAGGCAGAGGTATATTTAAGACCATTAAATATGCATGTGCACTCACGTTGTCGACAAGAGATCTGGTAAGTCTGGTGAATTCTCAAGACTCCTCCTCCAAACTGCTGAGTGGTAATTGGCACGGAGGGTGTGCTGGAAATGCGCATCTTCACATGGTGGGAGCTGTCCAGATTCATCATCCCCGGAGGACTGGATGATCTTAAACACTTCAGGAGAAAGATGCCACTCAGTACCAAGATCTCCCAACCTTTGTGAAAGTTTCATCTCTTAGAGCCCTCAGCTTGCCATGACCAGCCAATGCACACAGAGAGTCACATCCAGTCCATGCATATAGCCCCACTAATGCTGTGCAAGCTTTACTTCTTAAAGCTTCAATAAGTTTTGTTATGTCCACAAGCCTCAAACGAGCTTTTGTACCTCGTCTGATAATGATTCTGCTGTTGATCTTTGTGCTGAGAGCAAGACAGATAACAAGCACATTTGTGTCATCTGTGACAAGGACCAGGTCTTGATATTCTTCTGAGGCATGCTTAGCATGCACCTGTAAACAAGTATCAGCGTGTTCATGGCCTGACTCCAGATGTGTTACACTTTGCCATCCCTCACTAGATGACTGAATGCACATATTTCCATGTGTATCAAACATTGTTTTGTTACCGAGATTTTCAAGTCGTCTTAGTTCTTTCCAACTCTGTGCCAGAAATCTAGGTTGTTCTTACTCTCGGTATATGCGGTTCATGTAGTTGTCTCAATGCAGCTGCTCTTTGTTCAGCAGGGAGATAGTAGCGTGACCTGGTCCCTGGCTTGAGACTGAACCCTTGTGTTCCACCAGCAGTTTTGGTTGTCTTTGTTTACAGTTTCTTCTGTGGTCTGATCAACTGCAATTCTGCCAAAGGGATTCGTTTTCCTCAGTTGAACAGAGAAACCCTTGTTGCGAAAGTGCTCATACATCCATGGACATGTCTCCTTTAACTGAGTTATCTGAGCAAAGTACATAGGAAGAAACCACACATAGTTGGTTTTGTTCATTGCAAAGCACCAAGGTATGACATTTCTGATGCAAGCAAGATGAAGATGCCAGTCTCCTTCTCCATCAGCACGAAGAAGGCCAAGCAGAATATCCACCATGTCAATGTAAGTCATCCAAAAGGCTGAGGGTTGACCTCTTTCATGGTGCAAGACATTTAGGTAACAGTTGAACATTTCTGAAATGTCCTTGTACGATTCATACCTCAATCCATCATCACGTGATTTATGACAAATGGTCTGATGGAGCTCACCTATTTGGATCTTCGCATCACTCAGCTTTGCTAGGCTTTCAGGATGATGGATCTCAAGCCATTCCACAAATCCATTTCATGCTAGCCTCAGAGGGCTTCATATACCAACTTGTGCAATAGGACTGCTCGATTATACTGTTTTCCCTCCAGTACCTTACTGATAGACCCTTCAGCAATGACTCGGGATTCTACTGCAAGATCACGAAGTCCTGTATCACCAAACCTGTTTCCAATTGCTAACATGAAATTGCAAATAGTGTTAAAGTTTCCAAACATCAATACATTGCCTTTAAACTTGTCAGGGGTTTTCCAAACGATATCTGTAGCTTTTGAATACAGTGCCTGATAGAAATCAACAGCAATATTCTTAAGCTGTAGAGATGATTGTACAGCAAGAGATTGATGCAGAATTTCTTGCACAGTTTCTGTTGCTGGAGCATTAATTGTGGGCAAGTAACCAACTGTATCAGCGAATACCTCCATGTCATCTCTTGTCAGCATGTTATATCTTGTCCAAGAACTTAATGTCTGATTTGTTGGATCTGGCAAGAATCCAGAGTAAGTTTTGCTGGTGTTTACCTGCTTTTGCGACTCCAATTACAAATTAACGGACCACGTTTCAGTATCTTAAACCTGCCAAGGGTTAAATTGATAACGCGCTACGGACATAACCCAGGACATGTATCTCTTGTTGTGCCGCTCAAAATGACCCCAAGGCAAACACATGTAAGGCGTTAAAACCTTTATCTGCATTTATGGCTATGTCATTCATCCATACTTGTGAAATCACACGGACCACGTATACATCCGTGGCATACTGGTTAGCTATTCTTCTTCAAAGAAAACTGTACTTGTAAGCTCCTTTATCATCAATGCCTCAGGCAAACTAAATGAAATCATAATTATGCCGCGATAGCGTCACTACAGTTTACCATAATACACCTTTATCGTCATTTTCATCGTACAATAAGTGAGTGATTTGGGTTTAACGCTGCTTTTAACAGTATTCCAGTTATATCGCGGCGTGTCAACTTAATGTGGGAGGAAAGCCCGAAGTGATGCAGGTTTCAGACATTTACCACTTCGGCGAAACCAACGAGCATGGGTATGGTGCTGACAAACCTAGAAACATAATCGGGGCGAACCGGGATTCGAACCCACAATCATAGGTTTCTGGCGCGCCCAAGGAACGCAACTCTGCACCGCGAATTGCGGCGCCTTAGACGACTGGGCCACCCGTGCCCCCTCATAAAATATGATTATCGATAGTAGCTAGTAAAGGTATAAATATGGACAACAGTCAGTCACACACTGTGACTGGCTAAGAAACTCACTGTTTATTCACTCAAAGTCACGTTTGCTATCTTATACTAGTACTATGTGAGTGTTAATGTTATGTTAGTTAGTTAGTTTGAAGTTTAACGCCGCACTCAGCAATACTCCAGCCATATGACAGCGGTCTGTAAATATTCGAGTCTGAACCAGACAATCCAGTGATTGACATCATGACCATGCTCTACGCAACTGGGACCACATGCATTAACCAAGACGAGCCTGACCACCCGATCCCGTCAGTCGTCTCTCACAAGCATAGTCGCCTTTAACGGCAAGCATAGGTTGTTCAAGACCTGTTCTCTAGGATCTTCACTGGTCTGTTAGTGTTAACTATATGCCATTACATTTGGCAATACCTGCAGGTTTGGAGGTAATTGGAACATTGAGATATTCTCGTGTATTTTTGATGTGAATAGTTTGTCAATCTTTTATTATGTTGTTTACACTTGTATTGTGACTAACATAGTATGTATCTTGTGTCCACGTGCAAACTTGACTTTTATCGTCAGTTAACGCCCTTGCCCTGAGAAGAGGTGAGGTGAAATGGGGTTTAACGTCGCGTCCAAGATTATTGCACTTATATAGCGACGTGCATGTACGTGTGTGTGTTTGTGTGGCTGCTTGTACTAGTCCGGACTGGTGCCGATTTATAGTGCGAGCTCACTGAGATACCATGCCGCAGTTTAACATGAAAAACCCACCCAGACACAGTATACTGACTCCGAGACGACCAGTCCGTGTTTTAGCTCCTTAATGCCGAGCGCCAGACAGGGTAACAACAAGTACCACCTTTTAACGTCTTTTGGTATGACGCGGTAGGGATCGAACCCCGGCCCTTCCGCTCTCCGGGCGGACGCTCTACCACTAGACCACGGAGGCGGTCTGCCCTGAGGAGGGTGAATATCCAGTCGGGTTGAGTGCGCCAGTTGTATATATGAGCACTATTCAATCATATATGTAAAGTGTTGTATGTTGTATAATAAGGATCCTGCTAGGTATAATTCAATATGTATCAACCATTGCCAATTCTTCTACATCAGGGGCGGTCGGGTAGCCTAGTGGTTAAAGAGTTCGCTCGTCACGCCGAAGACCCGGGTTCGATTCCCGACATGGGTACAATGTGTGAAGCCCATTTCTGGTGTCCCCCGCCGTGATATTGCTGGAATATTGCTAAAAGCGGCGTAAAACCATACTCACTCACCTTCTACATCACGTCTTCGTACAGATGTGTACACTCACTGTAAACATGTGTTTAGAATGTCAACACATATAAGAAATGTTTAGGTTTGGGTTTAAATCCTAAACAAAAGACGCATTTGGTGTGTTATATCTAAACACGTTCAGGGTCTAAACACATGCAATGAACTATCGTCTTACATACTAAACATCACCTAAACACAACATCCCCATAACCTAAACATGTTACCATACTATTGAATCGAACTAGAGGCCGATATTTTCATTAGTTGTGTTGGGAAACTATTTGAAAGAATTGCTTTTAAACACTTGTATAATTACGTTTATAGGAACAACGTTTCGTATAAGAATCCGTCCGGCTTCCAAGCCGGTGTGGCAGGATCAAATCCCTCTCCTTAAATTTCAGCCTTGTGTTATTCTGTCCTAGGATAAATCACACCAGAGTAACCTGATCCACGGACACAGTCACGAGTGAAATTACCACTCCTCTCTCAGTATCAAAAGACTCCTTCAGGATACAATCCCTTTGTATCAAATAACTCACCACTGATGGTATGCAAAATACGCATTCCATTTGGCAATGCGTTGATGCATGATGGGTATTAATTGTTTTTGCCATTGCTTTATGTTACTCTTAGATGCAAGATGCTTTCATCAAATTGTAGATGTACAATAAACCGCTTACAAATCAAACCATAACATGGCAGGACTACAAGAAAATTGACGAAAATTGACGAACATTAGTATTGAATGAGATATAAGAAGATTCAAATTAGAAACGAGGGATGTTGTTATGAATAATCAACAGGTAATAGGTAGATACTAAATATTGGAATTGAATGAATTTCCTGAAACAAGAAATAATGAGAAAAAGAAATAAAAATGAAACGTCTAGGCATTAGTTAGAATCATGGAATTTATCAGGAACAATTCTTTGGTGAATTAGTTGTTAATGAATTTATTAAAGTTTACTAGAGTCAGATCTCTACTCCAGTTTTAATCTAATTATTTAATTATGTTACCTGTGTATATAGGGTTTGTTTCATCAGCTTGGGTCAATACCATGGCGGGTTTAAGGCTAGTGGAATATGTAACATCGCAGCAAGGCACACAATAGGTTATTTTCTAAGGTTACATGTACAACAAGAGAACCACTCGACAGACGTGTCAACACTGTAAACAAAGAATATTCAGAGACATCCAGTTTAATTCAGTGCTACTTCCAGTGCTAATAAAGAATGTTTATATATTTGTAACATATATATGTCTTTGTGTGCATATACTTCACATAAATAAACTACAAGTTCACTTTTCTACAGTATCTTATGTACAGTAAACTACGTTTATAACGAACACGCTTTTAACAGTATTCCAGTTATATCATGTCAGCTTAATGTGGGAGGAAAGCCCGAAGTGATGCAGGTCTCAGACGTTTACCACTTCGGTGAAACCCACAAGCACGGGTATGGTGCTGACAAACCTAGAAACACACTGATAAATTGATAACACAGATAATGCCTCCAGTTTATTTTTAACAAAACCATTATCATTTACAGTACATTTATACCGTGAAATTTCATTGACTCAACATTTTCTAATTTGATATGTAATACGATGCATTATGACATGTCATGATTATGTAAATGCATACTTTTCTAGAAAATATGCATCATTCAATAACATGTATCATATTTCATACATTGTCATCTTATTCCCTCATCTTATGTTACAGTTTTTCATGACCTACCCCACCCACTAAATACATTAACATTTATCATGCCATCCCCCCCTCCCTCCAATTGCTATAACAAATGACCCATCCATAAATAATGTTCAAATTTATTAATTTTTATTTGAGTGAGTGAGTAAGTGAGTATGGTTTTACGCCACTTTCAGCAATATTCTAGTAATATCACAGCGGGGGACACCAGAAATAAGCTTCACACATTGTACCCATGTCGGGAATCCAACCTGGGTCTTCGGCTTTAACCACTAGGTTACCCGACCGCCCCATTTTTTATTAGAAAAAACCTGCGTCATTTTTTCATGACCACCCCTCCAATAACAGGGCACTTCCATCGGAGGTCGAATCAGAACTTTCTAATCAGCCAATAAGTGTTACGATTTCGAAATTTCTATGTACGAGGGAGCAAAACATGCAGACTAGTGTATCTGATTTCTGTATCTCGAACATGAAGTTCCGAAAACCGATAAAAAAGGCCACACCTTTATATTGCTTTCACATTTTATATACCCTGTTATATTTGAGCGCCTGACATCAACACCCAAGGGGGAGTACCACTGGAGACAACTTGTGTTCTCATTTGTACAAATCAAAATTACTGAAATGGCAGGGTGAAGAAATGAAGCTGGATTGTTTTATGAAGCTGAAATCTGATTGGCTCAGACAGAGAGGTATCATATTTGAGTAAAGATCATATATTAATAAGATTGAGAATAACTAAAAACCATTACACACCATAACACACCAACAAGACTTTATCAGAATCTACGTCTTCTTTACTTTATGTGTCTTTTTTCGTTTGTTGTCAAAATCCTCCAGTATGCCATCAACAATCTCATACTTGATGCCCCACATAAGACTGACAATGACGTCATCAAGATCCTCGCCTCCGTGGAGGAAGACGTCGATGTTGTGACAGTTCTTCCCCAGTCTGTGGTCTGTCACTCTGTCCTGTGGGAAGTTATAGGTGCGGATCTTCTCGGACCGTCCACCGGTACCGATCTGCAGCCTCCTGGTAGCATCAGTCTCTGCCATTTGGGCTGTCAACTCCTCCTGGTATATTCTGGAACAGACATGGGTGTTTCACTTTTCTAAACAGAGTCAAACAAACCTTGCCACCTTCATACAGCTGGAATATTGCTGAAGGTGACAAAACACAATGTTGATGAACCCCTAGAAAAAAAAGAAGATTAGTCCAGTTATATCGCGGCGTGTCAGCTTCATGTGGGAAGAAAAGCCCGAAGTGATGCAGGTCCCAGAAGTTTACCATGCTGACGAACCTAGAAACATAATTGGGGCGAACCGGGATTCGAACCCACAATCATTGGTTTCTGGCGTGCCCAAGGGATGCAACTCTACACAGCAAATCGTGGGGCTTTAGACCACAGGGCCACCCGTGCCCCCAGAGGACTATGTAAACTTAAGTCCAGAGTCTTGGACTTGTCCTGCTTTAACAAGACAAAAATGCTTACAATGCTTACATTTTTTGTCAGTTTTATGTTGTAGCGACTTGTAGCGAAAGTGCATTATTAAGAACTAGTTCAGATTTGTTGCCCTTAAATGCTACTTGTCAAAATGAGAACTTTATTTACCCTAAGCACAATTGAGTCGTCTTTGTCTAGCGTGAATTTTGAAGGCTGTTGATGTGCTTCGATTTTGCTGACAAGCAGGTTAAAACCACATCCCATTTTCTGCAACACATTCACTGACCTTGACCTAATGAGCTGCAATGCAATCTCTCGGTTTCGAATCTGCGACCTCTCAGACTGACATTCAGCGACGGTTTCTGAAGGAACAAGGACATTCCTGGAAGAGGCTTGATGCTGGTGTTGGGTATTTGCAGTATCTTCGTTTAACAGAAGCACACAGAGTTGCAGGTGCAGTTGAGACAATATACAATTTACTCAAGGAACAAGAATGGTAACTGATACTTCAAAAGTTCATCACATTTTTCGCCAAAATCTATATATACATTGATACATTGCTACCTATAAAATGTATACTCCCCAAAGGTCTGAGAAAAAAACAGTTTGGATTGGACTATGCATAGACTCGTTAGTCCAGCCAAATTATAACTCCATTATTCCAGCCTAATTTGGCAAGGGTGGAACGAAGACTTTTAAAGTCAGTTAACTCCCTTGCCTTGGGAAGATGGGTGACATTATAAACAAAGTTAAGTTGTTGCAGGTTACACTTCATGGCATGACATCAATGAACACAGGGCCCACTTGCACAAAACGATCTTAGCGCTAAGACCATTGTAAGCCTATGTTAAAGTATGGGAGTTAAGATCATCTTAGCACTAAGATCGCTTTGTGTAAGTGGGCCCAGGAACTGTAAGTAGCTGTGTAGGTATTGCAGGGTGGCATGTTAGCCTTGTGGTTGAAGTGTTTGCTCATCACATTAAGGGACAGGGTTTGATTCCCCACATGTGCAAAAAGTGTGAAGCCTATTTCTGGTGTCCCCCACAATGATATTGCTTGAATATTGCTAAAATTGGTATTGTCAAATGACAATACTTGACAAAAGGTACTGCACTGAAATAATGACACTGCATTTAACAACTCATCAATAATTTTACAGTTGAATATGTGAGTGAGTCGGGTTTAACCCCGTTTGAACAGTATCCTAGTTACATCACAGCTCAATGTGGGAGGAACCTGAAGTGAAGCAGGTCTCAGATGCTTACCACTTTTGTGAAAATCATGAGCACAGTTACGGTGCTGACAAACCTAGAAACATAATCAAGGCGAATAGGGACGGGAACCCACAATCATAGGTTTCTGGCGTGCCCAAGGGATGTAACTCTGAGCAGCAAATTGCGGTGCCTTAAATGCCTGGGGCCACCACTTACTGGTGGGAGTGTGAGTGATGCGGACAGCGCTGTCAGTGTTGTTGACATGCTGGCCTCCGCTCCCACTGGCACGGAACGTCTCCACTTGAAGGTCCTTCGCATGGATCACAACATCAATCTGGACCAGAAATAAACAGCTTCTAAGTTTAAGCTCTATTTTTCAGACATTACATAGAAGTAGAAACATATATGTACCTCAATATTGCGTCTCTCTAATCTCATACTTGTGAATTGCCTAGCACAGGTGAACTGTTCAGAGCACAGGTGAACTGCACAGAGCACAGGTGAACTGAACAGAGCACAGGTGAACCGCACAGAGCACAGGTGAACTGTTCAGAGCACAGGTGAACTGTTCAGAGCACAGCTGAACTGTTCAGAGCACAGCTGAACTGCACAGAGCACAGCTGAACTGCACAGAGCACAGCTGAACTGCACAGAGCACAGCTAAACTGTACAGAGCACAGCTGAACTGCACAGAGCACAGGTTACCAGTCTTTTAAGTAGGAAATGAGAGAAGATCGCGGAGAGAAGTTGGATGGGTGACCACGTTCAGCAGCTTCAGTCCTGAGAGTTTCTCAGGCTTCAGGCCTGCCATATACTGAAGCACATATTACATTTGGTGTCTCCTTAGGCGAGTTACTTTGTAAGGATAAGATATATGGATGAACAACTTCTTTATTACAATTAGGAGCGACGATTCAGTGTAGGTTCTAACACCGTTATCAAGCATATGATGTACAGAGTATGGTTGACTAGACTATGTACAGGATAGGAGGCAGTGTTTATACAGAAGAGTAGATATCAGATGTTGTTACACTGCTGGAGTGGAGGAGCCTGTTATGTACACCGAAGGGTAAAACATATTAGCCAGTGAAGCCTGTAATATAAACAGAAGGGTGAAGCTAGTAATATAAACAACAAAAGGATTAGGACTGATTGGGGCCTTTCATGAGTTGATGGTACGCCGGTGGTATGCAGTAGCCTTGTTACTTTGTTCGAAATATGCCTCTGTTCACCCAGCAGTAAAAATGGGTACCCTGTAGGATGAGAAGGTAATGTGACTGCCCCCCTTCTAGCATCTGACAAGTCAGCTTGGGTTGTATACTCCCCGGGGAGCTGAGAATGAAGATCAAGTGCACACTGATCCGTTGACTGGGGTAAAAAAGTTAGCGCTTTGAGCATGCACAAGTGCATGAGGCTAGCACTATAAAAGTACTCACATTTTTATTATTATTATTATTATAAATAACCATGACTGACTAACTTTGATAGGAACTTAATACAGACTGAATTCTTAATCATCAGCCAGGATGCAGGAATATAAATATATCGAAAGATGCTAGAGTTTGTAAATATGAGGGAGTTGCACTCTACAAATCATGAGTAGATTCCCTAATACCTCATCAGGTTGTGGCAATATGGCGACTGTCATGGTACTGGTGTGGACTCGGCCAGACTTCTCGGTCCGCGGGACTCTCTGCACCCGATGCACACCGCCCTCAAACTTGAGGTACTTGAATACGTCTGTCCCCTCAATGGCCGCGGATGCTCGTCTCAAACCCCCTGAAAACAACACGTGAAAGGAAAAACAATGTTGGGAGTTTCAACTAAATCAAGAAATAAAAGTTTCCATAATCATAAAAAAATATCTGCTTTATGTCCATTGTACAATTCTGACTGAGTCATATTTGGAAATGTCCTCTGCATGTCTAACATGAGTGAGTGAGTATGGTTTTACGCCGCTTTTAACAATATTCCAGCAATATCACGGCGGGGGACACCAGAAATGGACTTCAACCATTGTACCCATGTCCGGAAATGAACCTGGGGCTTCAGCGTGACAAGCAAACGCAAAACCACTAGGCTACCCGACTGCCCCTGTCTAACATGAAAACCTTTTGAAACAATTACTAAGGTCATACAGGTCGTAACCTGATCTAACAACCTTCGAGCAAGAGACGTATGATGCTCTTTCAAATGTTTGCAGCCGAACAAGCTCTTACTATTGTACCTCAAAAGCCGTGAGATGTAGACACCAAATACTGGAAAGCACTATTAAGATTTTCTTTCTGCTCAAATTTTTTATCACAAAACCCTTTTGATAATATGTGAAGAAAAAGTATTATTACCCTGAAGAAGAATATATATAGACATGAGAATGGCTGATCATGCTGAAGTCCTACCTATTTCACTGCGTTCATAGTCAATTATTTGGAAGAACCAGCCCTTGTATTGTGCATAGTTCTCGTACATGCTGAACACCTGGCCTGTGAACAACATGGCTTCCTGACCCCCGACACCGGCCGACACCTCAAGAATGATGTCATTCTTGTCCACCTTAGACTCCCCAGCCAACATCAACACAAGCTGCAACAGGAAGGGAGATAACTCCATGAATACCTATAGTGAGTGAGTGAGTATATCAATATCACGGCGGGGAAAACCAGAAATGGGCTTCACACATTGTACCCATGTCGGGAAGCGAACCCGGGTCTTCGGCGTGACAAGCGAATGCTTTAACCACTAGGCTACCCGACCGCCCCGAATACCTATAGGGGGAGTGTTTGGGGTAGTGGTTGGTCCAGCTTGATAGTCAGCACTGCCACTACTGTAAGCACAGCTCCAATAGCTGAGAATATACGTAAAATATGCTTGGTTGGTTTCTTGTTTAACACCGCACTCAGCAATATTCCAGCTACATGACGGCAGTCTGTAAATAATCGAGTCTCGACCAGACAATCCAGTGATTCATATCATGAGCATCGACCCACGCAATTGGGATCGATGACATGTATCAACCAAGTCAGCCAGCCTGACCAGCCTGACCAACCAATCCTGTCTTACGACAAGCATACTCGCCTTTAACGGCAAGCATGGGTTGCTGAAGACCTAGTCTACCCCGGATCTTCATGGGTCACGTAAAATATGCAAAGGTCATCATCATTACCCATTAATTTTGAGTTTCTCGCATACAAATATGTATAAAATATTTCCACTGACTGCAAATTTTAAAATGCAATGTTAAAAAACATCTGAAATTAACACACACAAAAAATAAAGACAAATACAATTTTTTCTACAAATTAAGGTTCTTCTCGATTGGCCGGTCACTTTGTTTGGAGTCGTCCTGTATATATCCCTGAACATGACAAAATGATTATCACAATGGGTAGAATGGGTCATTGGCATGGTTGTAATGCCTTCCCTTGTCACATGTTCAGGTGAGGTGAAATTGGGTTAACGTCGCGTCCAAGATTATTGCACTTATATAGCGACATGCACATTTTGTGTGTGTGTGTGTGTGTGTGTGTGTGTGTGTGTGTGTGTGTGTGTGTGTGAGTTTGTGTGTGTGTGTGTCTGCTTGTACTAGTCTGCACTAGTGTGTGTGTGTGTGTGTGTGTGTGGGCTTGTACTAGTCCGCACTGATACCGATTTATAGTGCTAGCCCACTGAGATACCATGCCGCAGTTTAACATGAATACCCCACTCAGACACAGTATACTGACTCCGAGCCGACTAGTCCTTGTTTTAGCCCCTTAATGCTGAGCGCCAGACAGAGTACAACAAGTACCATCTTCTACGTCTTTCAGTATGACCGCCGCGGACGGACGCTCTACCACAGAGATGGTCCTGTTGTAGTATATGCCACCGATACAAACTCATTACAATTCACAAACAGCAGTTGTCATGGTTACCATACCCCACTCTCCTTATCCTTAATATCTTCAAGCAGTTCCTGCTTCTCTCTTGTTGCCATGGTAACCATCTCAGCATCATCAGACCCTGAGGAAATGAAAAGATAGAGGAATGTGAAAGTGATCGTGTGTTCCTCCAAATGGTTATTAACGAAACATTTAGACTCCTCAATCAGTCATAACCTGAAAAATTGCAAAGATTAAGGATGGATGAATTTGAAATAACGTGAATAGACTTGTGATACCACCAGCACATTGTTTCAATTTATATTTAGCCATATCAAACTATTTTATTTACTGTTTTACCCAAGGGACTGGTAATGTATTTTGTAGGGGGAGAGATTGGTCTTAGGACTGTATTATATTTTGCTGACCCCATTGTATGTATCATTTTTTCATGTCCCAATATCCACCCTAATTACATGCAACATTCTTCATGACTCCTCCCCCGCACCCTCACCATAATAAATTATCAGTCCCTAAATTATCATAATGATTTTCAAATATATAGCTTGTATCTTTGAAAAAATAGTAGAGTCATTATTTCATGGGTGGTCAGGCTCGCTGACTTTGTTGAAGCATGTCATCGATCCGCATTGCGTAGATCGATGCTCATGACATCAATCACTGGATTGTCTGGTCCAGACCCCATTATTTACAGACCGCCGTCATATAGCTGGAATATTGCTGAGTGAACCGTAAAACAACAAACAAACCAACCAACCATGACCTGTCCCATGTCCAGTCTCACAAGGCATAAAATAATCCAAAACTAGAGACTCACCCTCCATGCCCACATTGAGCACCATCCCTTTCATTGGTGAGTGAGTGAGTGAGTTGGGTTTAAAGTCGCTTTTAAACAGTATTACAGTTATATCGCGGCATGTCAGCTTAATGTGGGAAGAAAGCCCAAAGTGATGCAGGTCTCAGACGTTTACCACTTCAGTGAAACCAACGAGCACGGGTATGGTGCTGACAAACCTAGAAACATAAGCCCCCCTCCTTTCATTAACCTCACTTCAGTTATACAAAGTATAGTGTTGGAGAAAAGTCCATGTGAAGCAGGTCATAGACATTTACCATTTGGGTGAAACCCATGAACATGGGCATAGTGGTTCTGACAAATGATCAAAATGAGAGCAAATCTGGGATTCAAACTCATGACTTGTCTGTCTCCCAGACCACAGAGAATAAATAGAAAAATGAATCCAACTCAAGTCTAGAATGATTTGGTAAGTGTAAATTGCCTCAGCTTTGAAATTAAGCTTTTGATTATTTTTTTTCATTTGTAGATATATATTTTTAAGTATGATAACTCATTCCTGGGACTGAGTGTCTCTCTAACTCACAAACAATAGATCCTGATATGACCATGGCATTCAACTGCACAACAAATTGTGGCACTATGGACCACTTGGTCATCGGTGCCGACCATAGACTTTAAGTTTCATATATTAATTTTAAATGCAATGTCGTCAGGTCCATTGCCCTACCTCTGTACCTGATAACAAGCTATCCAGTTCCGTCACCTCGGAATATTTCTGTTGAATGTCCCTGAAGACTGACACCACAGGAGACAACTTCTGCAGACGTAGATTCATGTCCTTGGCAGATTGGACATTTTGGCCGGCAAGATCAGACGCTAAATTGTCATACTCAGTATCTAAGCTTGCAAGATAGTCATGGTAAAGTTGATTACAGTTAATGTTGAATCGGTCACTTTTAGAAGCATATTTCCTCTTGTGGTTTACAGCTCTCCATGTGTTGTCATCACTTACATCTACAACACACTTGAGCCTACTCGACCATTGTACACCTCGAGTAACAGAGTGGTATTTCCTTGTAAGAATTTGATCTATGTAGTTTAGTTCAAACAACTGCAAATCTTTCTCCTTGTTATAATATGCAAGCCTGTAAGTCTCCATAGATAGTACATGTTTCACTTGACATATAGCCCGATATTGACAAAATGATATACTGCCATAAACAGAGTATTGTCTATTTTGAAAAAATTGCTTGGGAAAAAAAGATTTCTGATCTGAACAACTTTTCATTGGACTTTGACAGGACAGTTGTCTTTGATGTGACAATAATGTGAAATACAGACGCTTTATACAGGTTGCGTTACACTTGTTCAATGTGGCGGCCATTTTCAGATTTATAGATTCATCGGATGGATTTGGATGTGCTTCAGTTCTTGGTGGAGATCTGAAATATAACATTGAGCTCAGTGGAGAGTGTTCTGTTGAGTTATACATACTAGGACGAAACTATCTGGGTCAGAATTTGTCTTCATCAACCCATGCTTTTCGTAAGAGCAGACTAATTGGCTTGGGTGGTGGGGCTCGCTGATTTGGTTGATGGATGTCAACGTATCCCAACTGCATAGAAACAAGCAAGCCAACATTTTAGTCCTACGAAGTGTCATTTTCACAAACAATGTAAATATAACAATTTTGAAAAATACACATCTACTGAATGCAACTTTTTGAGAGAAAAAAAGTAATTGGACTTAAAATTATTTAATGAGGCATGCATGTGGCCACTGTATATAGCATTTAGGTCAAACTACTAAAAGACCCATTCACAAATTAATTGGCATTTTGGTGACTGTCAAAAATTTAGTCTTTGCTTTTAAACAGAAAAGAAGTCTGGATCAATGAAACCTTGCATATGTGAAAAACATGTTTGCATGATGATAACAACCGTCCATTTCCGTCTTGTATTGACAACCTATTAATTCATTACCCAAAATAAACATGTCAGCTTCTCGAATTTGCTGTCAAAAGATTCATTTCAGAAACATGACATAACACCATAACACATGCCTCCAATAACGGGGGCAGCCATTTTATGTGCTTAAAATCCGGGCATATTTATTTACGTCTCAATTTTCGAGCAACTACGCACCAAGTAATACAATATGGACACTTAAGTGAATGCCTTAGTCGACTGTTTGTTCAAACATTACATTTGACATTTTCCCTAGGTTTAAAATAATGAATTATTTAGAAAGTGACATAATATGTTCCTGGTTAACTAAGTATCCGAATGATTTCCGTATCCGGTTAGAAATGGCGTCAAAACGAAAATCCGAGAGTCAAGTACCGGCTGAAGAGAGCGAACAACTCATTATTAGACCTCTGTTAGTTCATAACTTTATGTCAATGTCTTATGATTCGTCTTATTTGAAGAGAGAACAAAATCATACACACGCTGGGTCTTGATTCATAGATCTCACGTCACCAGCTGATCATGCGTCTTTGTGAGCAAACACAAACAGCATGGGCATGGTTGAGTTCTTGCACCGCTCTGTTTAAAAGATGTTCACACACACACACACACACACACGACACACGACACACACACACGACACACACACACACACACACACACACACAAACCCCTAAAATGTGATAGCTATTGAAAGACCAAAATTGAACGAGATCAGAAAGATCAATTGCAACTTTTCAAATATGGGATAAATGAGGGTGCTGTCTTTTAAAAGTAGAAACTTAATAGGATGGGATGTGTAGCATGCTACATTCACAATGGAACTTAAATTGACATCTATTCATTGTCCAAATGAGACTTGGCAGTGTCTTTGGGACATTGTCACTGCTACTTTGCCATTAGGTTAGGTCTGTAACTGACAAACTTTTCAATCTAACAGAAAATGCACCGCTCTGTTTAAAAGATGTTCACACACAGACACACACACACACGACACACGACACACGACACACACACACACACACACACACACACACACACACACACACCCCTCAAAAGTGATAGCTATTGAAAGACCAAAATTGAACGAGATCAGAAAGATCAATTGCAACTTTTCAAATATGGGATAAATGAGGGTGCTGTCTTTCAAAAGTAGAAACTTAATAGGGTGGGATGTGTAGCATGCTACATTCACAATGGAACTTAAATTGACATCTATTCATTGTCCAAATGAGACTTGGCAGTGTCTTTGGGACATTGTCACTGCTACTTTGCCATTAGGTTAGGTCTGTAACTGACAAACTTTTCAATCTAACAGAAAATGTTATGGCCAGAAAAAAAGGTCATGATACAAGAGACTACACTGGCATGGGAATAAAGAGCAACAAAGGAACCAAACCCAAACATACCAAACGTGAGCCAGATTAACTAACAGTGGTTTGAGAACACCTGTGCATGTGTTCAGAAAGTATATATTTTTCATTCCATATTTTAACCCTAAGGAGAGCCTATACTTGTCTGTTCATGTATTTTTATATTGATAAAGTGCAATACCTGAAATTCTCAATTTCTTTTTCAGAGGAGCCGGTCAAGAGGTTGGGCGATCATGTCACATCATGGAGTTCAAAGGAAAAACTATAATGGTAAATAGAAAATCATCTTCTATATTCAGATACCTTTATACTAGTGATGTGATGATACTTTTACTTCTCGTCCAAGTGTCGATCACAGTGGCACACTAAGTAAAATATCTATACATACCTTAAATGTTTGCTGTTACACCAAACACTAATTTTAGAAGTGAATATTAGTAGTGAAATATTTTCATCCATTGTGCCTTACTTGACACTGCCAACTGCAGATCATCAGTGTGCCAGGTATTTGGCCATCCTGTCTATGAAAAAGTTGGCTTACACACCACAGATAAGCGCTCATGCAAGTATTGTGATGCATGTCGGATTGTGAGCAACGTATCATGATACGTCCAGAGCTCCAGATAAGCTGCGAATCTGCGTAAAATACGCATCAGAAATGCAGAAATATGCAGTAAAATAAAATCCAAGCATATCAAATACGCAACGAACATTACAGATACGCTACATAAATAAAACTTGTGCGTATCATCAACATATTGTGAAGTAACCCTGCGTATTCGATTAGCAAATCAGCAACTTATTTTGAAATTATAAACGGGCATTCCGTCAACCTTGCCAAACTCCACGATGACAGTTACATCATGATCATTTGCCATCACACTTTCTTGTGGAAGTATCGTGGTATTTTTGAGTCCTATAAAGCTCTCAAACCCACACGACACCAGTTTGCAGGGACTAGATGAGTAGTGTTTTTAAATATTCAACTTAAATACCCACATGTGTAAAAACTAGTGGGTAACAGAAATTTGAATACACAGATAGAATTACTGATACCCAATGATTTTAAAATGCATGGGTAAAATATCCACAACACCAAAAGCTTATCTGGAGCTCTGTAGGTATCGGATCCCACTGTTGGTGTATAGTCCCAGCCCTACTTTATACACAAGTGCCTCGTTCCAAGATGCTGTTTTAGCTGTACAACTGTTGTAACTATCATCTCCTAACATGGTTGTGACAGTTATTTCCAAAACACTGTATCAACAATACACACGCCAAAGTTGGTGATGAACATACTAACATGAATTAAGATCATACTATTACTATACAAAGATATAGTTTGATATCATCTTCCATGGGGGATTCAATGATAAAATTGTTTCCCAGTAACCTTTTCTTGTTGTAACATGTGACTGGAAGTAAAATGGATTGGGTGGTCAGACTTGGTGATTTGGTTGATTGTGTATCATATTACCTTAACAGCGTGTGGTATTGCTCATATATCAATCACAAATTGATTATTTACCAGGTTTACAGGCTGCTGTGATGTAGCACTACTGAGTGGGGAAAATCAGCAACTAAGCAAACAAACAAAAGAGCTGATCATTGTCTGGTGTGAATGCGAACTGATGATATACAAGATACAGGTTGTTTTTTTTGTAAACATGAACCAGAAAATCCAAGTTTAATTGTCCATATGTTTTTCATTTGTTTATGTATGAATTTTCTGCCATAGTGTCTTATGTCAATGATGTTTAACTTGTCATGGATGTTTGTTTATATCTGCTCTATCTCTTGGCTCGCGAAGACTGTTTGATCAGTTCACGATGTTAGCATGAGACAAGGAAGTACTGAAGTCGTGGTTTTGTTTCAGCTGGACTGTGGGATCCACCCAGGCATGAATGGCTATGCTTCACTGCCGTTTCTTGACATGGTGGATGTGGAAGAAATAGACCTGCTCCTTATCAGTCAGTAAGTGTTAAGGCAATCTCATTAAAATCAGATCTTAGTTCTTGCTATCGCTAAACAAAGATCTGAGGACATCCCATTACGGGTCACGTCAGAACGACCTTTCATCCAACCAATTAGAGCGTCGCTTACCAGATTATGAAAGTGACACTCGGAATGTGTTTTCTAATCATGCAACCACGAAATATTTAACACGGGGTATTCCGAATGACAGTTACGGGTTTTATGATTATATCCATTACAATCTAGGCCATCTATAAGCCATTCCAGAATGTTCTTCTTATCAGTTTTAATTTTTTTAATCGAGAATACGTCAAAATATGTTTCAACATGTTCAAAGCGTAGACGCCAATTTGAAAATAGTGTCGTAAAGCTCGAGAATGCTGCCTTCTTATTGGCTAATGTCGATTTCTTGTCAGTCATTTCATTGGTCGGTCAAAGTTCGCGAAAGGTCGTTCTGATGTGACCTGTCATGGGATGTCCTCAGATCTTTGTTTAGCGGTAGCGAGAACTAATATCTGATTTTAATGAGATTGGTGTTAAGGTTTCATCCAATTTGTCCAGGCTAATCTTTCCGCCCCTCACCGAGTAACAATCTTAACGTTAAGGTCAAATGTTTATTTAAACTTGGTTTATGAACGCGATTACTCCCGAAAATTGAAATATGAAAAAAGGAAAGGCAGAGTATTTAATATTATGATGACCAAAATAAGTAACATGATGTGAAAAGACAACTTCATTTACTGTTGCTATAAATGAATTAAATGGCATCCCGCCTGCTGACATCTGTGCGCTAAAAGCATTTGGAATTTGGAATTTGGAATTTGGGATCACGTAACAAACAAGAAACGAGATGTCATTGACGTCACATGATGTTGTTTTTTTAGTTTCCACTTGGACCACTGTGGAGCCTTGCCATACTTCCTGGAGAAAACAGGGTTCAAAGGTCGGTGCTTCATGACGCATGCCTCAAAAGCCATATACCGATGGCTGCTGTCAGATTACGTGAAAGTCAGGTATGTCGATTTGTAAGGTAAATGAATAATAAGAATTATCTGAGATTATTGGAATAAGACAAATGTCATGAGACATGAGTCCATCAATAACTTGTTTCTGATACAGTAGGGAACTCTTCCTTTGTCTTTGATATAAAATTGATTGGTATCTAGTCTTAAATTTGAAACAAGGTAGTTGTTTCACAGCTGTTGAATCAAGTGTGAAACAGAAAGTTTTATGGCATGGCGTTATGGTGTGAAAAATGCAAGTCTTTTATTTCCTTCTAATGGTGAATTTTGCAAACCATCAGCAACATTGCCACAGAGGCGCAGCTGTACTCCGAAAAAGACATTGAAAACTCCATGGACAAGATTGAAACTGTCAACTTCCATCAGGTACAGTATGTCTCTGTTGTGACATCAGAGTAGTGTAGTTGGACAGTCACAAATGAAATGTAAAGTCCTTGACATGTGACTGTTACTTTCAAGGTTCAGGGCACGTTATCTTAGGAGCTGCAAAGTGGTAAACTTCGGGCTTTTATCCCACATCAAGCTAATACGCAATGATAACTCACTCACTCCTTTTCAACAATTTATTGTATGGTCGGCTGTCATTAAATATTATAGTGAGCCAAATAGTGATCCTCTAAAAAAATCACTTCTATCTCACACTATGCATTTCTTCCTTCTTCTTTTGACCTTATGTAAAAACGTGCTTCAACAAAGTTTCCAGCTTCTATAAACAAATCACCCAAAGACATCCCAGCACCATCATAGTCACCAGCCAAATAAATGGGTCACACACTGTTATCCTGTGCATAGCGACCTACATGACCTGATCACATGATTACCCCTTCCCCATTATTCTTTCTCTCATGGCCACACTGTGGAGACGTGTACCGAGAGTTCAGAGTATTTTGTTTAGTATTTTTGCTTGACATCCCTCCAACATCGTAAGGAATTTACGTAAATATTTGAGGGAAGATGAGTACGGATAAGAAACATCGCAAACTACCTTTTCTACTGCATATCCCCACAGCTTATGCTGTGGCTGTTGTGGCCATTGAAATACTAACAAGCTTTGTTCGCTGTGTGCCGGGAAATTGACCGGCACTCGCAATCTTATGACTTGGAAAGTGGGCTGTCTCCCGCTAAGAAATCTAATTAGTCAACCAAGCCTGCTGTCCCCACCTCTTTTACGAAGATAAAAAAACACCTCCGAATCCACCTTGCCTCCTCTATTGGTGGCTGATGACAGAGTTTCTGATAGTTTTCTTATAGACCACGCCCCACCTATGCTGGTTCAACAGTCCATTCCTGATGTGTTAGGGTGCGCCCCTCAGTCGGAACATCCTGCTACATAGGAAGTTCACAAGGTTCTCTCTTCCATCGATTCATCAAAGCCAGTTTCGAATACACCTCCAGTCGACTCTCCTAGCACTCCTTGATCGTCTTCTGCTCCATCACATGATGTTTCGGCTGGTGATGATCACTCCTCTTTGTCTAATGATACTAGCGCTCCTTGATCGACAGTGACGAATAAGGCTTCACCTGGGACTGGCCAAACGTGTTCATCCACTTCTAAAGATAGACGGAGCAAAGATCAGTGTCGCCACCCCCTCCACTACCGCAACCAGGCGTTGCGCAGTGTGCCGCAAATTTCTATCGTCCCGGGATCCCCACGATCATTGCCCACGGTGCAGGGTTCCTTGCGGGGACACCCGGTGCGCCCTGTGCGATGGTCTGGGGCCTGAGGCGTTCCAGTGCTACAGGCTCTACATGCAGTCTGTCTCCACCCCTGTGGTGGCCGGCTCGTCTGGTCGGGGTCCTCTTGCGGGTACCACTTCCACGTCTGCAGCAGATCCCCTGGCGGCTCTTTGGCTGATCGGGGACTCCGTTACCGCGTAGCTTTCGCAACTCGTTGACTCCAATCTGGCGGCCTTATCCCAGGATAGGCCGCTGGCTGTTCCGTCCCCGGCCTCTTCGGACGGGGGTTCGAATGCGGGGTCTTTCAGTGCGACGGGGGCTCCCGTGGTCACCGGTCCTTCCCCTGAACGGTTGGCTCCGCTGTCGGTTAAGGACCGCGTGGCCATGGTTTATGACCTCTATGAGGACATGCCCAAGCCCCTGCCGGTACCGCGGGGAATCCACGGCTCCATGGGTTCTGCCTAGGGCTACGAGGTGTCGTCCGACAAGGCTTTCCCGCTTCAACCTTGTTGCGCGGTATTAAGCCTTCCCTGGAGAAAGCCTTTGCGGTGGCCTCCAGTCGGGGACTCCCGTTGCCTCCGCCGTCATGGAGAAAGGGTTCATTCCCGGTGCATGACCTTGCCTTCCCCGAGGCCGGTCCCACCGCGGAGGCCCACGTTGAGCGTTTTGGTGTTCGTGCCCCACCGGCTGCTACGGTGCCACAGGCTACCTTGCAGCAGTTGGACACCCTCGCTAGGCGCTCCATGCTCGCTATGTCGCACGCGGATACCTACTTGGCAGCAGTGGCCAGTCTTGACGAAGGTTCTCCCACGGACTGAGACCAGCGCATTTACAACTGTTTAATCGGTTTAAATGCTTCGCTTGAGTACGTCGCCGGGGCTTCGTCCTTTCTTTCCGGCACGTGCCACTTCCTCAGACGGCAAGCGTACCTTGCCGCCTCGGCTTCGGAAGCTGCTTACCAGGAGGTCCTCCTTTCGCAGCCTTGGTCTGCACGGATCCTGTTTAATAACAAGATCCCTGGCGTTCTGAAAGAACAACAGGCTGCTGTGTCCGCCGAGGCCTCTCGGCACATGCTGGATCTTGTTGGGTCCTTGCATCAACGCCTGGGTGCCTGGGTGCCGCCCAGAGGGCGCCGGTAAGGGCAATCTGCCGCCATTTCGTGGGAAGAAGGGACACTGGGGGAGGCCCAAACCGTCTAAGGACGGCAAGGGCTCCTCCAGGTGACTCTCACTGGAGGGGTTTGTATGGCGACAGCGTCAACTTCGGTTGGCCCGTAGGCGAACCCGAGTCACTCGGCCCTGGACAGTTGCGCCTGCTGCAGCCTGTCAGGCCTCCCTTTCCTTCCCCGGTAGGAGCCAGACTCCAGACTTACTGGGAGAATTGGGAACAAGTGTTCGACGACCCCTGGGTTGCGAGTTGCGAGTTATGTCTTCGTTCTGTCATCAATCTGGCATACCGGTCACGGGGGGTACCGGTTGCGGGGTCAAACCCGCACGAGATCTGTGCGCTAGCACCAACATTTGCCCTACACTCTAATATCTCTGTTCATCTCTGTTGTTACTGGCGTTCTGACTCGGTATTTGCCAATCATTACCACAGAAAGGTTTCTGATGAAGACGTGGAGGGTGTGCACTGTCTTGGGCCGCTGATCGCGGCGCAAGCGTTCATCTAAGGGGTGTGCCTAGCGCAGTTCCGAACTCCTCAGGCTTCAGACCTTTGCATGGTGGTCAATCTGGGTCGACTCCAATGTTCCAACCGCCGTGGGTAATAGGAGTGGGGGTCCCGCAAACCAGCGCTCTCACACCACAGGTGAGGCGGCTTTTTGTGTGTTTTGTCCTTATTTGTATTTTTGACAATTATTTATTTAATTGTCCGTCATGTGTTCCAACCTTGTAATGCATGCTTACAAATACTGGAATTAGGTCACGCGCCTATCGCATACGTTAATTAGGCTTGCTTTGGGATATACGGTCCGGATGAAATTAATTTCCCTCTTCCCGACTGTTTAACCTGATCTATGATTCAGCTCACACGGGTACTGTGTTCGCATCCGCTGCGGCGATGAAATACCTATCCAGTGAGGCCGTTTGGATTCACAAATCGTTTGGCAAAGACGATTGAGCCTTACGGTATGCGCTTGACAGTGCTTTGGTATTCCTATAGGGTAATGCCAAGCTGGGAGCATGTGCATCGAGTGCTTCTGCCTTGTTTACTTCCGCTGGTCGGAAAAGGAACAATGAGCAGTCAGGTTTGGGTTGTAGCGCTCCCCACCGCCTACTGTGGTAATCAGCCTCGGTATAACAGTGGTAACGTATTACTTAATGTAATTTGTAGAATTTTCCTATTCGGAATATTCTATAAGTAATACATTACCACTTGTCTGATGCCTGCCCAACCGTCCCCCGAGTACTTGCTCTCGCAAGAGACAAGAGTGAAGGGTGTCACATGGTCACATCCCGTTAGTCGCCTCTTACGACAAGCATAGTCACCTTATACGGCAAGCATGGGTTGCTGAAGACCTTTTCTACCCCGGATCTTCACGGGCCGGCAGCTCAGGTGGCTACGCACGTGCTGCATGAGGTAATTGAATCTCTGTGGTAGATTTTGCTATAAGAGCAGTTGTGGGAGACAACAGCCTCGGTATAACAGTGGTAACGTATTACTTATAGAATATTCCGAATAGGAAAATTCTACAAGTTTCCATATAAGATCGAAAGAAGAAGGAAGAAATGCATAGTGTGAGATAGGATAAGTATATTTATATACAACTTAATGTAAAATTCTTTAAGTGATGCTGTGATCAGTTGTAAGTGTTCATAAAAAAAACAGTGTAACCAGTTTGTAGCGAGAAAAAAAATTGATTGATAACCTATTCTCAAGACTAGAACCTGCCAAAATGCATGTTATGTGTACTATGGGGAGCATGCCTTCATTTCCCTTAGGAACACTAGTGGCCAAGCAATCTAAGGCGCCTAAATTCACTGTGCACAGTTGCATCCCTTGGGCACGCCAGAAATCAATGATCGTGTTCAAATCCGTGTTTGCCCTGATTGTGTTTCTAGGTTTGTCAGCACCATACCCGTGCTCCTGGTTTCACCGAAGTGGTAAACGTCTGAGACCTGCATCACCTCAGGCTTTCCTCCAACGTTAAGCTGGCAGCAGCGTTTAACCCAACACACCCACCCATCCACCCACTCAAATAATTATCATTATGTTGTTAAAAGTTTAGGGGCAGTCAGGTAGCCTAGTGGTTAAAGCATTCGCTCGTCACGCCGAAGACCCGGGTTTGATTCCTGACATGGGTACAATGTGTGAAGCCAATTTCTGGTGTCCCCCGCCGTGATATTGCTGGAATATTGCTAAAAGCGGCGTAAAACCATACTCACTCACTCACTCACTGTTAAAAGTTTAAGCTGTAAATTTTATCATCTGATTTAGTATTGAGTTCCAAGTTTTGTTTCTTTTCAGGAAACAGAAGTGAATGGAGTGAAGTTCTGGTGCTACACAGCTGGACATGTGTTGGGGGCGTCCATGTTTATGATTGAGATTGCTGGGGTCAAGGTCAGTCCAAGCTAAATCTGTCATTGGAAAAATGCTATGCCCATGGTTAGTACTTCATGGCTATGTATACATCATGTTCTTCTGTTGCCAGGAGGGGGCACGGGTGGCCCAGTCGTCTAAGGCGCCGTGATTCGCTGTGTAGAGTTGCGTCCCTTGGGCATGCCAGGAACCTATGATTGAGGGTTCGAATCCCGGTTCGCCCCGATTATGTTTCTAGGTTTGTCAGCACCATACCCGTGCTCGTGGAAATGTATACAGCTGATATATGGTGTAGATGGGACACATGTCTGTGTTTGGTGAAGTAATGAAATGAGGTCGTGTATAACTCATGAAAGTCAAATGACTCTGTACAAGACGTTTGTGCAAAACCTCTTTGGTGAGCATGTTGTCTCCCCCAGTGAAGATCCAGGTTAGAACTGGTCTTCAGCAATTTGGACTCTTTGACAAACAAACAAACAATCAGCATGGTCTGAGCACTTTCTTTTTTTCTTCATTTGTTGATAAAAAATAACTATACTGCAAACATACAAAGCATATTCGACATAATAAGCGCCCAGGGCGCTATCAAAGTAAGAAATAGGGGGCTCTTATTAGAATATTATTTTGGTGAAAAACAACAGAGTTGAAAGATCGTACATTTCGTGGTTGATTGAAATGTTTATATTCGACAGATATATTTTTTCCATAATTTAATTTCCCATAGGTAAGAATGCATATAACATACGTATTATACACGAATAAATAAGTCCTGTGTACATTGATCAATGGGAAGGGGTGCTAATTGGGATTGTTCACTAGCCAATATATTAGAAAATATCGCTGTGGGCGCTTATTAGAGCGGGGCGCTTATTACGTCGAATACGGTAAATGGATAGATGATCAGGCTTGGTGATTTGACATCGTCCTTCCTAGGCTGTTGCTAGTACTACTGGGAATTTCAATATTTGACCTTGGTACAACATATGCAGCCTGCGTCGAGACCACCCTTAGGGATTCCAGGCATGAGTATATGTCACAGCAACTCATGCTTGTCGAAATACACGACAAGATGAATCGGGTGGTCAGCTTGCTGACTTTGTTGATGCTTTTCATCGTGTCCCAATTGTGTAGATTGTAGATCATAATATCAATCGCTTGATTGGCCAGACTCAATTGTTAACAAGCTGCCGTCACATATGTAGCTGGAACATTACTGAGTGAGGTATTATTCAGCAAACAGATAAACACACTCTCCAGTATGGCTGCCCAAACTGACCCATACTGATAGACGTTCTGTTGACATGTTTGGTGTAATGTGTCATTAAAACTTGGTAACCGCCAAGTTGGTATTGCTGTTGCAGTGGTGTTGCTGACTGTCAAGTTGTTGTTGACAGGTGCTGTACACTGGAGACTATTCACGACAGGAAGACAGACATTTAATGGCAGCTGAGATCCCCAATGTGCGACCAGATATTGTCATCATCGTGAGTGAACTTCTGATACCCGCTCATCTCGATCTGTAGTCATCTCATATTTATCCTTCACATTTATCCTTCAAAGGTGTTTCTGTGAGTGTGTGTGTGGTTTTGTTGTTTTGTTTGGTTTTATTTGAGCTGTATTGGAATGAGAAATTCCACAACTCTGATATTGGCAAAGTTAAAGCAGTATCTCATATGACTTCTTAGTCACAACTCACTGATGCCAGTTTCTATGGCTGAAGTGTGAGTTATCTCCCCTTAGCTGTGCAACATGTTCCTTCCAAATTTGTGACTTCTTCGTTACACTCCCTGTGTGACTGGCAGTGGCTTTGGCTTTGGTTTCTAGGTTACCTCCCTTACCCTTTCCCTAATGTTGATGTTTGATTGGTTGTTAATGAAAATCAAGGGCGGATAATTTGCAGTCGTGAGAACCATGGGAATGGATCCAAGGATTAGTGTAGGAAATGCTAGCCCTTGAGGTAATGATGATACCAGCTTCACCCTCACATTTTTACTGTAATAATCACCTGAAATAGAAATCCATATTAAGAAATAAATAGAACAATTTATCTGGGGAAAGAGTATTCAGCATCGTGACAGTCATCACTGGTTTGTAAGCATAATCTAAATGGTCAGTTGGTTGCAAGTTCAACTCCATGTATAGTTGTAGGCTGCCTAGCACTGTAGCGAGCTGTGACTGTTGGCTGTGGTAGTATAGAGAGCTCTACGAATGAGCTGTCACTGTGAGGAGCTTTAGCTGTACAACTTTCCCCTATATTCTAGGAGTCGACCTACGGCACACACATCCATGAGAAGCGGGAGGATAGAGAGTTGAGATTTACCAGTCTTGTCCACGACATTGTCAATCGAGGAGGTCGCTGTCTTGTGCCTGTCTTTGCCCTTGGCCGAGCTCAGGAACTGCTGCTCATTTTAGGTGAGAGATTTGCAATTCTGGCAGTTTTGTTTCTTTGTTGTTTAACACTGCACTCCGAAATATTCCAGCTATATGACGGAGTCTATTTTGAATATTTATTCCCACTTTTTGTTTTGATGAGAATCAGCATAAATGAATCTTTTTCCAGTTTCTATGATTTGACAGTTCTGAAAGTGGAAAAGATGAATGGAACATGATGAAGAAATCATATTTATGAAGTTAGGGACTGGTTGGGTGGTGGGGGGGAGATGGGTCTTCGGACTATCGGACTATCATATTTTGTCCCCCCCCCCATTTAATGTACAAAAAATTCATGTGGCCCCTACTTATAACATATTACATTAAGTAATACGTTACCACTGTTATACCGAGGCTGTTGTCTCCGACAACTGCTCTTATAACGAAATTTAACACAGACATGTCAATTACCTCATGCAGCACGTGCGTAGCCACCTGAGCTGCCATGTGACACCCTTCACTCTTGTCTCTTCGCTTGCCTCAGCAAGACGTTCTAAGACTGCTCAGAAGCGTTCGTGTTTCTTCATCCTTTGGTAATATTTATTACTGTTTATTAGCATATAAACTGTATCTATCGAGGGTGTTTGCTTTAACTACGCTCGGAAATATTTTTCCCGCCAAAAGGAAATTTTTTCCCCGCCCTTTTCTCTATATACTTACGGGGTGTTTCGTCTGCACGTTGCGTCTTACGTTCCCCTGTTATAGTATGTTTTTGTTTTTTTACATCACCTATTTCTCTCACGCTAAAATATGTGTATGTTCTATATTCGCATTACTCGTTTATTTTCTTGTGAAAGTGTTCATTGTGAATATTTGTGGAGCTTGTGTTGTAACCATGTTTTGTTCTTTGTTTATAGCTTAAACAATGTCTGACATGGACACTTCGCCGTGCTCCACCCCCTCCACTCCCGCAACCAGGCGTTGCGCAGTGTGCCGCAAATTTCTATCGTCCCGGGATCCCCACAATCATTGCCTGCGGTGCAGGGTTCCTTGCGGGGACACCCGGTGCGCCCTGTGTGACGGTCTGCGGCCTGAGGCGTTCGAGCGCTACAGGCTCTACGTGCAGTCTGTCTCCACTCCTGTGGTGGTCGTCTCGTCCGGTCGGGGCTCCCTTGCGGGTACCCCTTCCACGTCTGCAGCGGATCCCCTGGTGGCCCTTGGGCTGACCGGGGACTCTGTTACCGCATTGCTTTCGTAACTCGTTGACTCCAAGCTGGCAACCTTATCCCAGGATAGGCCCCTGGCTGTTCCGTCCCCGTCCTCGGTTCATTCCCGGTGCATGACCTTGCCTTCCCTGAGGCCGGTCCCACTGCCGAGGCCCACGTCGAGCGTTTGGATGTTCGTGCCCAACTGGCTGCTACGGTGCCACAGGCTACCTTGCAGCAGTTGGACACCCTCGCTAGGCACTCCATGTCGCACGGGGATACCTACTTGGCAGCAGTGGCCAGTCTGGTCGAAGGTTCTCCAACGGACCGAGACCAGCGCATTTACAACCATGACAACTGTTTAATCGGTTTAAATGCTTCGTTTGAGTACGTGGCCGGGTCTTCGGCTTTTCTTTCCGGCACGTGCCACTTCCTCAGACGGCAAGCGTACCTTGCCAACTCGGGGTTGGACGCTGCTAACCAGGTCCTCCTTTTGCAGCCTTGGTCTGCACGGACCCTGTTTAACAAGATCCCTGGCGCTCTGAAAGAACAACAGGCTGCTGTGTCTGCCGAGGCCTCTCGGCACACGCTGGATCTTGTTGGGTCCTTGCATCGACGCCTGGGTGCCAGGATGCTGCGGCCGGTAAGTCCAAGGGGTCGGGTCCTTCTTCCCCCGGGAAGAAGCCCCGCCCCGAGGGTGCCGGTAAGGGCAATCTGCCGCCCTTTCGCGGGAAGAAGGGACACTGGGGGAAGCCCAAACCGTCTAAGGACGGCAAGGGCTCCTCCAGGTGACTCTCACTGAAGGGGTTCGTATGCCAACAGAGTCAACTTCGGTTGGCCCGTAGGTGAACCCAAGTCACTCGGCCCTGGACAGTTGCACCTGCTGCAGCCTGTCAGGCCTCCCTTTCCTTCCCCGGTAGGAGCCAGACTTCAGACTTACTGGGAGAATTGGGAACAAGTGTTCGACGACCCCTGGGTGGTCAACACGATCCGGCATGGCTATCAGCTAGATCTCAAGGCCGATCCGCCGCTCACTGTCGCCCCGTTTGAAGGTTTCTATTCGAAAGCCGATTTTCCCATCCTCGCCGATGCGGCAGGTTGGTGGAGAAAAGGGCGGTACTGGAGTTAGCCCTACCAGAAATAACACCGGAGTTTTACTCCAGGATATTTCTCGTTCCCAAGAAGGACAGAGCCAAACTCAGAATGATTCATAACCTGATATCGTTCAACGAGTTGTACCTACACAAACCGCCCAAGTTCAGAATGTTGACCTTGGCAGACCTGAAAGCACTGATCATGCCCGCCGACTGGCTCGCATTGATTGCCTGAAGGATGCTTATCTGCATGTTCCGATTCATTCGGACCATCACAAGTATCTCAGGTTCGTCCAGGGGTCCGGAAAATTTAAAATCCCAATCGGACATTTGCATTTAGGCCACGCCCCCTTCAAATAGCGTATTTTAGTACGACTTTTCACACACATTACAAGTTTACGTATTCATAATATGATGAATTATGAATTGTTTCAATTTAAATTGTTTAATTCACCGGACAATTAATAACAAATAATATCATTTTAGATTTACATGGAAAACATATGTTTGTTTCTGTTATAATAACGATCTGTTAACGTAGTGAACGGTCTAGTTAATATTCATGAGTTATATTCATGAGTCTGCTCAAGTGTACGCGTTGTAACATTTGGATCGAGACTATTATCCCATATTTGGTTATCACGTGACCTCACAAGAAATGGTTTTTTTAAACTAAAGATTTTTTTAAAAACAAGACAGATAATTTAATCACAAATACTAAAATATCGTTGATAGCAATAGTTATTTGAATACTTTTTTCATCTGTACTTATTTATTGACCATAAAAAAATTGGATATCGATCGTCCGAGAAAGCAAAATAGCGGTCAATCAAGATTCAATATACGACTAGCTACTGAAAACAATAAAATCTGCAAATGCTCATTGTATGTCAACCAAGTGAAAGTCTTTAGCCACGACTTACAAAATGATCGTCCAGACTTTGAGGGTTTGGCAGATCCGCTCGACTGATCTGCATCGGTCGACTGGCTGTCATCACGCTTTCGCTTCTTGTCTGAGGTTACGTATCGTAGCATTGTGAGGATAATGAGGTACATCGATGATGCAAGGTATTAATGTACAGTTGTAAACACCTTTCACTCAAATTAACAAGATGTTCTCAGTAATTAATCCTCGATTAATCAGTGTCAACTCAGTTTATTGCCTATTACAGTGATTGACCGATTGGACTATCATGTAGGTACGATGTATTTACAGCAATCAAAACAAACAAAGCTTGTCAGTGTAGTTAATCTTCTTTGTGTTGCAACTGCAGACAGAAACTGCTCAGTCCTAACTGTTGATCATGTCCGGTCAAAATTTAAGAATGTCCGGACAATACTTTTTAAAATGTCCGGTAAGCAATATTTTAAAACGGACATTTGAGATTCCCAATCGGACATGTCCGGCGCATATGACGGTTTCCGGACCCCTGGGTTCGTCTCTCAAGGCCGGCACTACGAATGGGTAGCACTCCCATTCGGCCTATCGTCCGCTCCCTGGCTGTTCACCCGGTTAACCACCCCCATTGTGGGGCTCCTGCACAAGAGGGGTATCAGGTACTTCACGTACCTGGATGACTCGCTAGTGGCCAATCGAGTGACGGACACCCTGTCACTCCAACTCGATTTCGGACTTCGGCTCTTGGAGCAATTGGGGTGGATTGTCAATCTCCCCAAGAGCGAGTTAACCCCCTCGCAGAACTTGAAGTTCATCGAAGGTCGGTTCGACATGGTGACCCATCATCGCCTCTTTGTCCCCCCCAGATCGGTGGCACAAGATTCAAGCGATGATTGCCAAAGTCTTAGCGGTGCAACAGACTGTTCTCTTTTGGGAACAGCTGTTAGGGCTACTTGTATCAGCCCAAGACTGCACCGAACGGGGTCGTCTCCAACTCCGCCCCCTGCAACGGTTTTTCATCCAGTTGTTAGCACAGGGGGAGAACAGTGCGTCCGTCGCCCTCCCAGATCGGCTCCGACGCATCTGGAGTGGTGGATGGTCCCATACAACGTCTTATCAGGAGTCTCTATGCGACCCTTCAAGGCCACATTGAACCTGTATACAGACGCCTCTCTAGTGGGCTGGGGCTCCCATCTAAAGGGGGAGGTGAGCTCGGGGCTGTGGTGCGTAGACGAACTAGGTCTTCACATCAGTTGCCAAGAGTTCAAGGCAGTGATCAACGCAGTCAATCACTGGAAGTCGGCGCCTGACTCATGCTGTCGACTGACAACACGACGGTAGCGTCTTAAGTGAACAAACTGGGGGTAACCCACAGTCACTCACTACTCGATCTCACGTTCGAGTTTTACGCTCTGGTGGACTGTATCCCATGCCAGGTCGCGCCCGTCACATCCCCGGTGTGCGGAACGTACTGGCAGACGCTCTGTCGAGGCCTCGGGATCCGAGCCCCACGGAGTGGATACTCGTAGTGTTTCAGTGGCTGTGCGAACGTCTGGGACGTCCGATGGTAGACCTGTTCGCAACACGGTTCAACAATCAACTCCCGTTGTTTGTATCACCAGTCCCGCACCCGAGGGCCATCGATCATGATGCACTCGCGTTAGACTGGACGGGCATGGACGCTTATGCTTACCCGCCGACGGCGTTAATAACACTCATTCTAAGCCGGCTCCGTGGAGTCCGCTGTCAAATGTTACTGATTGCGCCCATGTGGCCCAACAGATCATGGTCCCCCCGACTTGCTGGCCCAGGCCACACAGTCGCCACTTCATGCCTGTGAGACCGGATCTGCTGATCCACCCTCACACCCATAAACTTCATCCCCCACGCGTGCAGTTCAATCTGCACGCGTGGATGTTGTCACTGAGCGACTGAGGAGGAAAGGTTTCTCGTCGGGCGTCTCTGGCATACGTTAGTATGCATCGTGATTCTACCCAGAAGGTGTATAATGCACGCTGGGCTATTTTCACGAAGTGGTGTAGACAACCTCACATTCATTCGCCAGATAAGGTATCTGTGCAGGACGTTGCTCGGTTCATGTCTCACTTATGAGAGACCCGGAAACTCTCTGGGGGTTCCATTGCCAACTATGTCTCGTCCGTTGCTACGGTACGGGACGTTGCTATGGGTACCAGTCTCTCAAAAAAGCCGGTGATTGGGGTATTATCAAGGGTTTCAAGCAGCAAGATCTTAAAAAGGGCCGCCTTTGGGTATCGGCCTGGGATCTCTCCTTAGTGTTGCAATCACGAAGGGCGACGAAGGAGCGGTCCGCCTAGGCCTGCTCATGGGCTTCGTCGCTAAGAATCAGAAATTTGGCCAAACTGAGAGAATATTCACTGTAAGATCACTCAAGGAAATCTTACATCCTGCTGATACCGAGGACAGTTCACTGTGTCCGGTAAGGGCCCTTAAGTATTATTTTAAGGCCTCGAATGAATGTAGACAAGGGTGCGACCGTCTGTTCATATCGTGTAACCCTAATCGGACTGGTGACATAACTCGCAACTCAATTGCATTATGGCTTCGTTCTGTCATCAATCTGGCGTACCGGTCACAGGGGTTACTGGTTGCGGGGTCAAACCCGCTCGAGATCCGTGCACTAGCACCAACATTAGCCCTACACTCTAATATCTCTGTTCACAGAATATTGATGGGTTGTTACTGGTGTTCTGACTCGGTATTTGCCAATCATTACCTCAGAAAGGTTTCTGATGAAGACGTGGAGGGTGTGCACCGTCTTAGGCCGCTGATCGTGGCGCAAGCGGTCATCTAAGGGATGTGCCTAGCGCAGGCTTCAGACCTTTGCACGGTGGTCAATCTGGGTCGACTCTAATGTTCCCACCCTCTCAACAATAAATGGCACTGCCCTAAATAATGTTCAAATTTTAAATTTTTTGTTGAAAAACAAGAAATGTGTCATTTTTTCATGACTGGTTTGGAATTACTGTTCACAGCAGTGTTGAACCGAACTCACTTGCCTTTGAGCACATTGCATGACTGTGGGAATGTCTCTAGGACCTGCCACCCTGTTGGGATTCCGGGTTAGAATGGACCTGTGAAGAATAGGTCTTCAGAAACACATGCTTGCCGTAAAAGGCGACTATGCTTGTTATAAGAGGCGACTAACGGGATCGGGTGGTCAGGCTCGCTGACTTGGTTAAAGCAAGTCATTGATCCCAATTGCGTGGGTTCGCTTGTCACGCCGAAGACCCGGGTTCGATTCCCGACATGGGTACATTGTGTGAAGCCCATTTCTGGTGTCCCCCGCCGTGATATTGCTGGAATATTGGTAAAAGCGACATAAAACCATACTCACTCACTCACCAATTGCGTGGATCAGTGCTCATGATATCAATCACTGGATTGTCTGGCCTAGACTCAATTATTTACAGACCGCCGTCATATAGCTGGAATATTGCTGAGTGCGGCAACCAAACCAAACAACAGGGTTAGAATGGTCCCCAGCAACCAGTGCTGGTCGTACAAGGTGACTTATTTGTCATCATACCCTCAACGTACCCTCGATTGCTGCAATATCAATCACTGGTTTGACTGGTCCAGACTTGATTATTTACACTCCGCTGTCCTAGAGCTTGAATATTGCTGAGTGCAGCATTAAACAATAGACTAGGAGGTCCCTGGCTGTCTGTGTGTGTTGTTGTTCCCCAAAGGCATGGACTGTTGACCATGCTTTCAACCACTGGATTTATCTAGCTCTCCTCAGAGGCCACAAGTCTGCAGCAAATGTCTGTAAGAATTTTTAACTTGAAATTACAAATATCCCGATTCATGTTACACATTCATAACGAATGTTATGGCTTTGTAGAGGTGACTTAAGCAAAATACTGATTTAGTTTCCCAAATTGCCTGCCAAAAGACTGACCGTATTCGACGTAATAAGCGCCCACGGCGATATTTGCTAATATATTGGCTAGTGAACAGTCTCAATTAGCAACCCTTCCAATTGATTAATGTACACAAGACTTATTTATTTGTGTATAATACGCACTTGTATGTTATATGCACCCTAAATTATGGTCAAAATCCTGGAAAAATATGTCTGTCGTATATAAACATTTCAGGCTGTCAGCATAAACCACGAAATCTTTCCACTCAAAATAATATTCTAATATGAGCCTCCTATTTCTAATTTTGAGAAGCCCTGAGCGCTTATTACGTCGAAAACGGTAGTTTGAATTCCTACATAAATCCCTGTGTGTACTAAGCCCAAGTTCACTGTAGAAATGTTGACAAACATAAGACTCCTAGCTCATTCAGTGTTTTCAGGGGCCCTGTTGTCTGGGGGCTTGCTGCCATAGCATTTGAATCTAGAGACCCGCTAAATTTTGAACTATTAGCATACAGCAAATGACAAAAAAAACTTAATTTTCATGCTTATTTTCACAACTGGGTTTTAAAGAACTAAAATATTGTTCAGATGAATACTGGAGTCAACATCCTGAGCTTCACGACATCCCCATCTACTACGCATCATCGCTGGCCAAGAAGTGTATGAGTGTGTACCAGACGTACATCAACGCCATGAATGACAAGATCAGACGTCAGATCACCATCAGCAACCCCTTCATCTTCAAACACATCATCAACCTCAAGGTGCGACTATAACGGGTATTCAGTGTCCACAATGACTGCTAAAGATGGACAGTACTTGGAGGGTAACCAGCAGGAAGACCAACTCCCATATGTTACCAGGAATTGTGTTTGGCTTTCTTACCAGAATCAAGTTGTTTTGTCTTGCATGGATACAGGGTTTTTTAAGGAAGGGTGCAAGTTAGGATCCCATATAAACATACAGGTCATATATGAATGCAGATTGGGAAGCAATAGTGGTCAGAGCTACTGATAAGCTGTGTATTTGCTTAACCCCCCCCCCCCCCACCCCCCAAATATTTAATACTCAATTACTTTCTCAATTACTTTCAATGAACCTGCATACAGAAACGCATGCATTAAATGAAATTAAAAACAGCCTAGTAAAAATGCAGTGAAGCTTTTTCAGCATGCGTACAATGGCGCTTATGTCCGAAGCACAATTACAAGCTAATTTACTTTCCGAGTTAAGCCTACAGTTTGAACCGTTATGTACATCTTAAACATTTTTTTAAATTTTTTTTGAATCTCAAAATGTTTATTCATTTTGAAAAAAACCCAATAGCATGATGAATAGATGAGTGAAAAAATATTGGTTACTCAATAAATAATGTAATAACCAAATTAAAATAGAAACCTTTAAGTAAAAAGTCAATTGCTAAAAATGTTGTCTGGAGCTCCGCGTGGCTCGTAGTCACGTTTTTATGAAAAGTATTTCACAAAATGATTTAGGTATAGTGTTGGACCATGTTTAAACTATGTATCACCGGCCACCTACTTTCAAATGTATAGATGATTAGTGCACCCCTCTGTCTGGAGGTGTCTGACTGGGCTGTAATTGGTGGAAATTGGTATAGCTCAGGGCTTGAAATGGGCCTTGATTTTTAGAGTTTGTCTTGAAAAGACCTTAAATCGGCATTGTCTTGAAATGCCTTGAAAGTAAACATGACTTAAAAGTTCTTGAACCCCATCTCAATTTTTTTAGAATGTTTATATGTGAAATGCAAAAGTGTTTTTTAATGCCTGCAAAGGTATGCAATAATGCTGCATGATAAAGAGTAATATGAACTCCGTATATGATACCTCGTTTGCATGATGATTGCTTGAATTATAAAAACAGTTCATTATATACCTGGACTTACCTTTGTATTTTATTTTATTAATTTTATTCAAAATTTCATTCAATATTGTTTATTTTCATTTCGGCAAAATTGTATGTGAAGTGATCGGAAGATCGCACAACTCACCGTTATTTACAGGAACCACAGTCATATTACCGCTAATGATGCCTTGAAACGAACTTTAGTGGATAGAGAATGCATATATATATATCATAAATTCCATTCTTTTACTCGCTGAAAGTTGTAGTTTGACTATTATTTGTCAACATAAAGTTTTCACTATCGCGAGCGCGGAAGCATTGGAGGTGATTGGTCAAATTATTCCATACAATTAAAATATCCGGCAATAGCGATCAGCTGTACCAAAGTGCTATGCTAATGGTTATTAATTTATTTCAAATATATATAGTAAAATACTACTAAAATAACATGATACTGGAATAAATTATTCCGTATGACATAACAGTTTCAGATTCAATTCTTTCGATTATTGTATCAAAATTCTTTAAAGTTATATTATTGGGCAATTATTAAGCAAATCACCGGTAGTTTCCAAGAAACGTGTGTACAGCTGATTGCTACTTCCGGCTTAGTTTATGAGACAACACTCACGGCAATCTCAGATCTCTGCATATAAAACAATGCCTATCAGAACAGGAAATACAATTTAAACGGTAAATGATCATGTCTAGTGGTTTTTTTTATCTCAACTTTTAAATTTGTATTGACCAAGTTCAATTGTTATGATCTGTTCCTTTCCCTAATCGTTGAAGGGAATTGATGTAATTTTTTTCTGCAGAATACAAACAGGTTTTATTGCAGATGTAGGGATTGTGTATGCGCTGGTGATGTGCTTCATTCTGATTCGCTTTATAGACGGGGTATGTAAATTAGCATTGATTTTTAAGGCTTGTACAGGGGGGTCGTCTTATGTGTGGGGTCGCTTTATAGACGGCGATATACAGTACGAATGTTGCGAAAAGCCTTGAATTTGTTGGACAAATCTTTACCAAACCTTTAGCAGGATCAACCTACCATTTGTGGTAGTGGAGGAGATGTCATTTGACTAATCCTGTCTCCTCCCCTTGAGAGGAGCTAAGTTAGAAGGAGGCAGTAATGTTCAGATGACCTGATGTGATGGGTTCTTCAAGTCGTGAATAATGGATGACCTTATATTGTCAATAATGAGGTAGTATCTGAAATTCACTTTGAAATATCAGGAAATCTTACCCATGGTCATTTAATCCAAATGTGTAATACAAAGAATCTCAAGCATCATCAACTGTATTCTGTTTCAGAGCATGGAGCAGTTTGAGGACATTGGTCCATCAGTGGTGCTAGCCAGTCCTGGCATGATGCAGAGTGGGTTGTCAAGGGAACTGTTTGAGAGCTGGTGTACCGATAAGCGGAATGGCTGTATAATTGCTGGCTACTGTGTGGAGGGGACGCTAGCAAAGGTCAGTTATGTTTGTTTGTGGTTTAATGCCGCACTCAGCAAATATTCCCGCTATATGATGGCGGTCTGTAAATAATCAAGTCTGGACCAGACAATCCAGTGATTGATATCATGAGCATTGATCCAAGCAATTGGGATATGATGCCTTGTAATCAACCAGGTCTGACCACCCAATTCATTTAGCTGCCTCTTACAACAAGCATGGGTTGCTGTGCACCTATATTCTTACCCAGAATCTCCCAGGTAAGGTAAGTTATGAAACTATTAATCATGGACTACTGGTGTTCTCCATATTTCATGGACCTTTGTGACAGAAATGCTGTTATCTTATTTATTGGTTATTGGTCCAGCTCTCTGTAGGTCTCGTATTCTGAACAACAGTTACAGCCCGCCCGAACTTAGATCTGATTTTAATGAGATTGATAATTTTAGGGAGATAATGTTTACAAAATGGCATTCACATTATGATAAGGAAAAATAATATGTCCACCATGTGGACGCTCATAGCACTACACTATTATTACCTCGGTCAATATATCAGTGTACACTGGATTTTCATTCTCAGCTCCCTGGGGAGTATACAACCCAATACTATTTCAAGAAGCCATTTCTTGATGAATCCTACTGGAATTGGTTATAGTTAAACAATGGCTCAGATAAATTGGAAATCCAGTCAGGTCATTGTAACAACACTTATCTGTTCATTTTAGAGTTGTGTGAGCTAGTTCAAGAAATGATGTCTCAATTTTTCACAAGGCACAAATCACAAAGTGTAAGCCTTCAATGAAAAAGGGCAGCAAACTTGAGCTGAGTTCCCTCTAGGAAGACATTTTTAGATTTGATGGGGCAGTGGGGTAGTCTAGTGGTTAAAGCATTGGTTGAAGAGCCGGGTTCAATTCCCCACATGGATACGATGTGTGAAGCCCTTTTCTGGTGTCCCCTGCCATGATATTTGATGGATTATTGCTAAAAGCGACTTTAAAGCATACTCACTCATACACCCTACATTTGATCTTTATTAATATTGCTAAAGGAATAGTTTTAAGAGGATTAATCTCATTAAAATCAGATCTTAGTTCTTGCTAAGGCTAAACAAAGATCTGAGGACATCCCGTTACGGGTATGTCCGACCTTGCACGAACTTTGACCGACCAATGGAATGACCAGTCAGAAGGCAACTTTTTCGTGCTTTACTGCACTAATTTCAAATGGGCGACTACGCGTCGAAACATATTTTGACAAATTCTCGATTAAAAATTTGAAACCTGAACAAAAACAATATTCTGGAATGGCTAATAGATGGTCTAGATTGTAAGGATTCAGTCGTTAAACCCGTAACAATCGCTCGGAATACCCCATGTCAAAGTTTTCGAGGTTGCATGATTGGAAATCACATTCCGACTGTCACTTTAATAATCTGGTAAGCGACGCTCTGATTGGTCGGATGAAAGTTTGTTCTGACATGACCCCTAATGGATTTCTTCAGATCTTTGTTTAGCGGTAGCGAGAACTAAGGTCTGATTTTAATGAGATTTTATGGGGATTTTCATAGAGATAATTTCTGTATTTGAGACTCACCTTGACATTGTTTATGTTCAAAAAGTTAAATATCAGGTATGTCTATGTGCAAATATGCCTTGATAGTTCTAGCTTGTGTGTGTGTGGCTCAGTGGTTGAAAACTATGCCTTGCACTCAGATAAAATCATGGAGATTTTGGAAAAGAACTTTCTTATAAATATGGCCTGTTGATTCTATGAATATTATGATTGAAAGCCCACCTTATAGTTTGTTAACAATGTTTCAGCACATCCTGTCTGAGCCGGATGAGATTGTGACAATGACAGGGCAGAAGCTGCCGCTAAAGTGTTCTGTAGATTATATCTCCTTCTCCGCCCACGCAGACTACCAGCAGACCAGCGAGTTCCTCCGTGCTCTCAAACCTCCTCATGTTGTAAGTGTTGCTCAACCTGTCGCGAGTCCTGGTATGAATGAGCATTTGTGTATTCCCTAATGTATTAAAATCTGCAAGTTGCTATGTTGACTTTCCTTGCCTTGTATAGAGTGAGCTCATTATTAGTGTCATGGGTGCAAAGTGTGAAGCCAGTGTTTCAAATACCCACCTGCCGGACAGTCCAAGACAGTCTATTTTGCTGAAGGACAGTCAGTTTTTGAAAGGTTAAAGTTACTAAGTTGACAATCCACCAGTTAATGGTTATTTTCTGAGAACTAACATTTAACAGTACCATTCCTATGTTTATCCTTTAAAAAAAATGGATTGGCAACATTTCATCTCGTCTGGTAACTTTGCAAAGTTGCCCATCTGATTGTCTGACTGAAATTTTGGCTTATTTTATAGACTTGTGAATCCCATTCTTGGTATCACCCAGTGCCATAATCCTGGCATATTGCAAAAAGTGGTGTAAAGTCATGCACCCTTACTGATACTATGTTGATGAAATTTGAATGCTACTCTCCAGGTTCTGGTGCATGGTGAAGCTAATGAAATGAGTCGTCTGAAGGCTGCACTACAACGGGAGTACGAAGACAGCACAGACTACAAGATGGAGGTCCACAACCCTCGCAACACCGTTGCTGTGGAGCTACACTTCCGCGGAGAAAAGTTGGCAAAGGTAAGACCTCAAACTGCACAGTATGTCATAATTACTGCAGCCACATGGGGATTTTTGGTTAGAGTAGATTCCCACCAACCTATGCAGGTAGTAAGAGGTGACTTAATAGATCGGTGTTCTTGAAGTTCTGGGTGTTTTCACATAGGTATCCCAGCACTGATTATCAGGGCTGGAAATAGCACTAGCCCCCTCGCCCGGACCAGTTTTGTTCATGTTAAGATATCCTAAGAGCTAGAAGAATTTCGAACATTTTGGATTTTGGAATATGTTATCACTATTCGGGCTAGTAGACATGCTGGGTTAATTCCTATTCCTGATTATGTTGGTTTGTTTCTTAACACCATACACAGCAATATTCCAGCTATGTGACAGAGTCTTTTAATAACCAGATCATTTGTTTTCAATACAGTAATACACTGTTGAAAGCAGTGCTAAATTCAGTCACTCATTGCTTTACATGTAAACATGGTAATGGTTTCGATCAATGATCACACACTGACCTGCTTGTGCCCAGCTTATAATGAGTTGCTGACTGAATAAATTGAGAGGTTGCTCAAAACCTATGCACTTTCAGTGAAAGCAATGTAACATTAATCACGTTTTGTGCTGGTGCTATGTAGACTTACCATTTGGTAATGTGACTTGCAGCATTTTCCCCATTGTGTACATGGATTTTCAAGACTGAACACACTTTATGTAATGTACCTAACTTAATGTATATTAAGTTTATTTTACATATGATAGGATATAGTTTTAACGGTAAAATCATTCATTTGCTCGTCTTTCGCACACAAATATTGATTCAGTAAATCACGTATTGTCTGTAGGTAGTCTCAGTGAAGGCAGGTATAATGTTATTGTGTAGTGTACATTCCATAAGTGAAGGCAGGTGTATTGTTGTCATGTATTTTGCAGGTTGTTAGCAGTGAAGGCAGGTGTAGTGTTGTCATGTGTTATGCAGGTTGTTGGCAGTGAAGGCAGGTGTAGTGTTGTCATGTCTTTTGCAGGTTGTTGGCAGTGTTGGCAGGTGTAGTGTTGTCATGTATTTTGCAAGTTGTTGGCAGTGAAGACAGGTGTAGTGTTGTCATGTGTTATGCAGGTTGTTGGCAGTGTTGGCAGGTGTAGTGTTGTCATGTATTTTGCAAGTTGTTGGCAGAGAAGACCGGTGTAGTATTGTCATGTATTGTGAAAAGTTGCTGGCAGTGAAGGCAGGTGTAGTGTTGTCATGTCTTTTGCAGGTTGTTGGCAGTGAAGGCAGGTGTAATGTTGTCATGTGTTATGCAGGTTGTTGGCAGTGAAGGCAGGTGTAATGTTGTCATGTCTTTTGCAGGTTGTTGGCAGTGTTGGCAGGTGTAGTGTTGTCATGTATTTTGCAAGTTGTTGGCAGTGAAGACAGGTGTAGTGTTGTCATGTGTTATGCAGGTTGTTGGCAGTGTTGGCAGGTGTAGTATTGTCATGTCTTTTGCAGGTTGTTGGCAGAGAAGACCGGTGTAGTATTGTCATGTATTGTGAAAAGTTGCTGGCAGTGAAGGCAGGTGTAGTGTTGTCATGTATTTTGCAGGTTGATGGCAGTGAAGGCAGGTGTAATGTTGTCATGTCTTTTGCAGGTTGTTTGCAGTGAAGGCAGGTGTAATGTTGTCATGTATTTTGCAGGTTGTTAGCAGTGAAGGCAGGTGTAATGTTGTCATGTCTTTTGCAGGTTGTTGGCAGTGAAGGCAGGTGTAGTGTTGTCATGTCTTTTGCAGGTTGTTGGCAGTGAAGGCAGGTGAAGTGTTGTCATGTCTTTTGCAGGTTGCTGGCAGTGAAGGCAGGTGTAGTGTTGTCATGTATTTTGCAGGTTGATGGCAGTGAAGGCAGGTGTAATGTTGTCATGTATTTTGCAGGTTGTTGGCAGTGAAGGCAGGTGTAGTGTTGTCATGTATTTTGCAGGTTGTTGGCAGTGAAGGCGGGTGTAGTGTTGTCATGTATTTTGCAGGTTGTTGGCAGTGAAGGCAGGTGTAGTGTTGTCATGTCTTTTGCAGGTTGCTGGCAGTGAAGGCAGGTGTAGTGTTGTCATGTATTGTGCAGGTTGTTGGCAGTGAAGGCAGGTGTAGTGTTGTCATGTATTTTGCAGGTTGTTGGCAGTGAAGGCAGGTGTAGTGTTGTCATGTATTTTGCAGGTTGATGGCAGTGAAGGCAGGTGTAGTGTTGTCATGTCTTTTGCAGGTTGTTGGCAGAGAAGACCGGTGTAGTATTGTCATGTATTGTGAAAAGTTGCTGGCAGTGAAGGCAGGTGTAGTGTTGTCATGTCTTTTGCAGGTTGTTGGCAGTGAAGGCAGGTGTAATGTTGTCATGTGTTATGCAGGTTGTTGGCAGTGAAGGCAGGTGTAATGTTGTCATGTCTTTTGCAGGTTGTTGGCAGTGTTGGCAGGTGTAGTGTTGTCATGTATTTTGCAAGTTGTTGGCAGTGAAGACAGGTGTAGTGTTGTCATGTGTTATGCAGGTTGTTGGCAGTGTTGGCAGGTGTAGTATTGTCATGTCTTTTGCAGGTTGTTGGCAGAGAAGACCGGTGTAGTATTGTCATGTATTGTGAAAAGTTGCTGGCAGTGAAGGCAGGTGTAGTGTTGTCATGTATTTTGCAGGTTGATGGCAGTGAAGGCAGGTGTAATGTTGTCGTGTCTTTTGCAGGTTGTTTGCAGTGAAGGCAGGTGTAATGTTGTCATGTATTTTGCAGGTTGTTAGCAGTGAAGGCAGGTGTAATGTTGTCATGTCTTTTGCAGGTTGTTGGCAGTGAAGGCAGGTGTAGTGTTGTCATGTCTTTTGCAGGTTGTTGGCAGTGAAGGCAGGTGTAGTGTTGTCATGTCTTTTGCAGGTTGTTGGCAGTGAAGGCAGGTGAAGTGTTGTCATGTCTTTTGCAGGTTGCTGGCAGTGAAGGCAGGTGTAGTGTTGTCATGTATTTTGCAGGTTGATGGCAGTGAAGGCAGGTGTAATGTTGTCATGTCTTTTGCAGGTTGTTGGCAGTGAAGGCAGGTGTAGTGTTGTCATGTATTTTGCAGGTTGTTGGCAGTGAAGGCGGGTGTAGTGTTGTCATGTATTTTGCAGGTTGTTGGCAGTGAAGGCAGGTGTAGTGTTGTCATGTCTTTTGCAGGTTGCTGGCAGTGAAGGCAGGTGTAGTGTTGTCATGTATTGTGCAGGTTGTTGGCAGTGAAGGCAGGTGTAGTGTTGTCATGTATTTTGCAGGTTGTTGGCAGTGAAGGCAGGTGTAGTGTTGTCATGTATTTTGCAGGTTGATGGCAGTGAAGGCAGGTGTAGTGTTGTCATGTCTTTTGCAGGTTGTTGGCAGTGAAGGCAGGTGTAGTGTTGTCATGTATTTTGCAGGTTGTTGGCAGTCTGGCAGCAGAGAAAGCCAAACAAGGAACAAAGGTGTCCGGGATCCTGGTGAAGAGGAACTTCAACTACCACATCGTAGCACCAGGAGATCTGCCAAGTAAGTTAAACTGTCAGGCTTCGAGTGCTAGCCAAATACCTGGTTTGTCCAGTGGCAAGGTAATCGGCCTGGCCTGTGGACATGATGGACTGGTAATAAGAACAGTGCAGGTCACTTGAAAAACATGTATGTATACTTAAACATGTGCTGTATAGCCTGGTTAGATATACACATGATCAACACTTGATTCAAAATACAGTTGCATAAAATAATGACAAACCCTGATCTGAACCCACTTAAATGCCTTTGTGATTACCCTGGCTGTTAAGTGAGAGCTAGAGATCCTCCCATTCAAAACCTGAAAGAACGGACCCACGCACTGCATCAAGAATGGCAGAGGATCCCAATGTTGAAAATCCGATGTCTGATCAGCAGCATGAAACGCCTCATGAGTGTCATCCGCGAGAGGGGTGGATACTCCAGATAGTGATTCCAGAGTCCCTGCTGATTCCTGGTTTGACATTAATCCACTGCAAACTGTGACAGTCCGATACGTGGTATGCGCTGGGTACTGATACTTTACAGTGTTGTTGAAATGAACATTTAAAGAACTCTCAATATAACGCACAATTCTGATTTTGATTATCAATCAGATCGTCTTGACTGGGCGCCGCCATTTTGTTTGAAGCAAATGTGGAGAGGCATAGAAGGGACATAACTCGTAATAGCCACAGGTGGCGCTACGACCGAGCCCATGATTCCTGTCTATTTCGGCAAGGGTGGAAACTGGACTTTTAAAGTCAGTTAACTCTCTAGCCATAGGGAAGATGATCTGTTGGGACTTCGGTCAACGTCAATAGAAGCCACCATCCAATGCAGCCATTTGTTTAAATGGTGTCCCGATCCTTTACCTGCTCACCTGTCTTGCGCACATGATGTCTCAGTAGTTGATTGAAGACCTGTGTGAAAAACAGGTCTTCATAATAGAAGCCACCATCCGGTTCGGCCATTTGTATAAATGGTGTCCCGATCCTCTACGCCGATCGGTTCCTCTTCCCGTTCTTACCCTCTACAATCTCTACGTGAGCTTGAAAGGTTTGATGAAGCAATAAAAGAGATGCCAAACGTCCTTCGGATCGTATGTGTGAGGTCTGGCCGGGGATGGGGTGTTTGTAACGGAACACCTTCTCCTGTCCAGGGTGAGGTTGAAGTCGTGACCGAGTAGGTTTCACCTGGCTCAAGGTTATGCAGTCGTATCTTGGAACGGCATCCTGTATGAAACCATGGAACACATTATTCCCCGAGTCATGCCGTATCTCTCTTGGTAGCACAAAGAGGGTTTTTGAAGGAACCCTTACACGAGTTTATCACTAATCATTGTAAAATCCTTTGAATTTTCCTGATTAGTTCCAGCTTCCTCGTGTACGTCTCACGGTTGAGGTCCTTACAGGCTAGGGTATCTGCGCCCCACCATCCAACCGTGGGCTAAATGCATAGTGTGAGATAGAATAAGTTTAAAAATTCGTAAATTTTCTAATAAATTGTATATTTATATACTTACCCTATTTTTACACACTAACGCCCACCCAACCTTCCCTGCTTCACAGTTACACCAGCCTTTATGCTCTAGATTGAGAATGAGGGTGCTGGATATGTCAGGCTATCCGTTCGCAGGGGTCGTCTTGCACAGGATTGCAGTGGTGCATGACCCATGATCACAGTGGTGACTTGGTGATGTATGGGATGTGTTGGGCGATGATTGGTATTTTTTTAAGCTGGAAACTTTGTTCTAGGATGTTTCCACACCAGGATCGAAGAATAAGAAGAAATGCATAGTGTGAGATAGGGTAAGTATATAAATATACAATTTATTAGAAAATTTACATTTCTTAATGAGTGATGTTGTTTTGTAGATTACACCGATCTAGCCATGAGCACAGTGACCCAGAGATTGAGTATAGCCTACACAGGAACACTGCCTCTACTTCGGTACTACCTGTCTCAGCTCGCCGGGGACGTGGAAGCCATCAAAGTCAACGACAAACAGGCTCTCAAGGTGTTCAAGACAATCACGGTTGTGTTTGAACCAAGAATGGTTGTCATAGAGGTAGGTACTGGGATAGTCATAGTTGTGTTCGTACCTAGGACACAAGCTCTGTGGTCTTGTGGATTGAGCGTCTGCCCGGACAGCAGGTTGGTGGTTTGACATACCAAAAGTCCTTAAAAGATGGAATTAGAGGCTAAAACAAGGAAGTGTTGGCCGGAGTCAGTATACTGTGCCTGAGCTGGGTATCCAGGTTAGACAACAGCATTATTCCAGGCTAATAAGAGTAGCCATATGCACGTTTCTTTATAAGTCCTGTGATCTTGAATGCGACGTTAAGCCCCATTTCACCTCACATCAAACCCAGGATGTTTTTCATAACGGTAAGTGGTCAAGACTGTCATAGATGTGTTGTCATTGAGAATAGAGTGTTTGAGACAATCACGGTCATAATCGCGCACAGGGTGGTTGCCTTTGAGGTAGTAAGACAATCAGTCGTGTTTTTGTCATGAAGACAGGTTGTCAAGACAATCGAAACCATATTAGGCCATAAGAGTTGTCATGGAAGACAGTGTTCAAGATGACCAGACATGTTTGAAACCAGGATGATCTTCCCGGGGCAAGGGAGTTAACTGACTGTAAAAGTCCAGGTTCCACCCTTGCCGAACTAGGCTGGAACTCCTGGGCTCAATCGTAGCGCCACCAGTGGTTATAAGGAGTTATATCCCTTCTATGTCCCTCCTATTGACCAAACAGATACCACCTCTCATATCACTTGCATTTGTTTCATGCAAAATGGCGGCACCCTGTGAAGACAATCTGATTAACAGTAGTTTTGTGTTAAACTTTAAAGTTTGCATGTATAGAAAACATATTCCGCTAACAATGTAACATAACAATATGAATATTTCCTTTTTTTTATTACAACATGTTTGAATCGTTATGTATCGTATAGTTGTCCAATTTTCGATCACGAATGTTGATACTACCTAATTTTGTTAATCAGACATAATCATATGCAACCAACAATGTCGGACTAACGGGACTAAACTGTACTATGAATGATGTTTTCTTAATGACAATGTTTTGTTGCAGTGGATCGCTAACCCTGTGACAGATATGTATGCGGACTCCGTTGTCACAGTCATCCTCAGAGCAGAGAAAGATCCCATGCCTCAGAAAAGTATGTATACCAGTCTCTGACTTAAACTTGTAACCTGAAGCTCTGAGGGCCATGAATTGTACATAAGATTAGTTGTGACTGTCTACTTATAATGTATCTTATCTAGTAAGACCTGAACAATTTTCGGGGCAGACTGAAATTATGTCCCTCAGATGCACTGTTGAATGTGTAGATTGGAAGTATTAGGCTAGAAATATCATCATGGTTTAAAGTCATGGCAGCATCAGAAAATTTTCATGATTTTATCTACTGAACAGTCTTCTATATCATCACTTAATGTGCAATAAGCATAGGACATTTAGAAAACAATCAGTCACTATCCTAGAAAGTTAACCTTTCTGAAATGCTGGTACATGTGGCAGATTTTCTTCTTTAGAATGTAATAATACACTCTTACAATGGTCACCAGTAGTGCTATAAACTTGTCCTGAGTCAACCTGCACAAAGTGATCTAAGCGCTACAACGGTTGTAGCTCACATACTATATCATGGACTTAGTGCCAAGATTTGTTTGAGGACTCCGATGTTGTTTTTGTCCACCTGACACAGGCACTGTCCGGTCTCTAAACATAAAGGTATTGTATCACAGTAGATCTGATTTGAATGAAACTAAGGGATGAAGCTTGTGTTGTCCCAGATGTCCCAGCAGTGATGGTGGTGGACCGCAGCCACTTCCAGGAGTGTGTGATCGACATGATGAAGGAGATGTTTGGACAGGACAGCACAGGGAAGCTGATCAAAAACAACAATCTTACAGTCACAGTGGATGAAACGGTAGCAGTGATCAACCTAGAGACTCAGGTATGTATGTTTACCTCTGCCCACAGCCTTGTTAGTTACAATTGGTCCGACAAGGCGACAAAATGGACCAGGTGGTCAAGATCGATGACTTGGTTGATGTGTCAACATACTACGACAGCATGGATCATTGGTCATGATCTCAACCCCTGGATTGTTTGGCCCATGGTCGATTATGTACAAGCTGTTGCTATAAAGCTGGAATATTGCTCATTGCAGCATTAAACAAGACAAAAACACTCTCATGAGTGGCCTAGTTGTCGGGGGCATGGCTATTTGTTGTGCAGAGTTGAATCCCTTAAGGCATGACAGAATCCTATGATCCTCCCTTTAATATTATTATTCTTAGATCAGAGGCTGATATTTGGATATAAATAATCACCATTTGTCGGTACAAGAATCTCCAAATTGGAATCACAAAGGATTTGGGCCTTATATTGATCTCGCATCCTTTGAAACCGACTCTCATTGTCTGCTAACTGAAACCTTATGTTGTATAGCAATTGGCTGTAGATCAGTAAATGGTTGCCCTAATTACATAGGATACTGTGTGACAACATACAGATCATATCCCCTGCAAATTAGCACCAAACTGTCGTTCCCCATTCTCACAGACCCATAGGGGTTGTCCTTGTTAGAATAGGTCCCCAGCAACCTATGCTCTTCATAAGTGGCAACTGACAGGTGGTCAGGCCGTAACTTGTTTGATAGGATGTCATAGAAACTCAACCTTGTGGAGTATTGTTCTTAATATCAATCACTGTAGATTTGATTTAGTTATTGACAGACTCTTAAATAGTATCGTTATGTATGTTTGTGTGTGAGAACTGAGAAGGAGGTTCTTGGCTAGGACTGTCACAGGAGGTCAAGACATCCCAATTCCCTGTTGAAAATTGCTACCTTGAGCCACGTTACGAACTCATAGCTTTTCTTATGAACATTATGATTTGTTATTTTTGCAGGAGGTTCAGTGTGGAGACGAGGCACTCCAACATGTGATACAGAACTCAGTCACAAGACTGTACCAAGCAATTACACCTCTCAAGGTTGGATGAAAAACAGTTGGGACATGGACAGAATATCTGAACATGTTCAGTTTCTTACAAGGCAAAACCAAAAGACTCAGCATTCACTGCCCTCATTCTCATTTTGTGATTTGGGAGGTTTCATTCTGTGTTGATGTTGACAATAGTATGACAGGCAAGTTACATGGATTCTTGACACAAAAGTCAAAGGACCAAGTTGAAATGTGCAAATGGGCATGTATACCACTGCTGATGGACTTTCAGTGTGAGTTGCAATTTGGAAAAAATGTTAAAACATCTTAACACATCATGATCCCTCAGTACTGAGGAGTATGACCGGCAGTTCTTTAACTTCTACCTTTAAGGCTAAAAAATTAATAGTCTTGGTTCTCAGGCACCGGCCACATCATCATAAAGTCTACCATGGTCTACCACACGTTCTGTTTTTATTTCCATTTTCCAAAGAAATAAAAAAATCTTTAAGTATTCCGTGTCTCGAACACATTACCCTGGCTGTTTAATGCTACAATACTTAAGAACAACATGATTTCCCCAAATTTATTGTAAACAAAATTTGGTTACATACAGCTTGAACAGCTGAAGAAGTTGAAGAGGCTGCGAAACTTGTGGCTACAGGAGTTAGTCAAGAATAGCGATAAGAAAAATAGAATACGAATTAGACGAATCGTGCAGTCTCTGATTATTGTACTATATTTTGCGTGACAAATTCATCTCTATTGTCCAGTGTATTATGTCTCCATTCTGTTGTTATACTATCATCATGAGTAGATAGCAAATTGTTTGTAAATAAATTGAAGGAATTATAACATAATGGTTGTCATTAAATTGGCATGAATGGTTGATCGAGGAGGCAATCTGTATGTGTAGGAGAACCCATGTCTCCAAGGGATTACTAGAGATTGTAAACCCTTACATGAGGGACGTTCCCGAATGTGAGGGTTTTCAATCTCTAGTAATTTCGAGAAGACATGGTTTGTCCAACTTATAAACTGACTCATCGCATAGACAACGTTTTTAATGAAATAACTGTAGTAAAAACTCTCAAATGTATAACCTGTATCGGAGATGAAATATCGCAACGGTGCGAAATCTGCATGTGCGTCTCGTAGGCTGAGACTATTACACGTTTTGCTTTGACTGACGCTCATTCATTGTACAGCCTGTTGCTGGCATACGGATCTTGAAAAGGACATTCTAAAAAGCAGTGCTGCTTATCAACACCTCTGTAGCCTTTTGGTACACTCACTGGGCTACAGATATGAAGGTTGCGAGTTCGATCCTCGGGAATATAAAGAAAACATTTGTCATTGGATTTTACATTTCATTACATGTTACAATCTGAACGGAAGTTATAATGATTGTAAGCCCTCCTGCGACAGCCAGTGCTCTAACCCACCCAGCCACCAAGGCTTCCACAAAAATGAAAGTCCGTCAACTGGTAGTCTAGATCACATACTTTGTGTACCCCTCTGACAAGTGTAAATTGGCATGGTTCCCATGGCCGAAAACTATAAGTACACAATGCCATTTAGAAAGTGGTCAAATGTTACAAATGTTTTATTTGAGATTACACTTGCATATTTTTATCGACTGTGTCACGGCGCTAGAGATGCAGATTGTCGTTCTGTTTATGATCCTGATTTACAGAAAATATTCAAACTTAAGATATGGAAAGATAGCTATGATCGTTATTATTAAGGTTGATATTAAGGTAGTAAAGTGTATATTTTGGCAGGAAGTTTATGATCAAAACATAAACTTTGAATGGCAAAGCTGAAGTGATCGACACTCGACGGGGCACGTTCGCATCATACAGCTGTGCCGCGCATTCGTGACCAACTCGTGTTATTCCGGGACAAGCCGAATAGCAACTCGTGCCCCTCTCATGGCCATTTTTGCGACTGGGTTCCATCTTAGCGCAAACGGGCATACCTAAAACTATTGTCAACTCGTTCGTAATGGTTCACATATATATTTCCCCTATATGTTATATATATTTCAGATGCAATTTAAAGCACATCGGGACGTGCAGAATTATACAGTATGATTGAACACATTTAACTGTGTCTTGTGTATATTTTTAGGTGCAAGACATATGTAAAATCAAAAATTATTTCTGTGGGATTATTTGACAAAGAACTCGAACTCATACGCGCATTCTGATTGGTTTGTCGTATTTTCGCACATAACATTCATCGATGGGGGACGAGTCTTCTTGCAGGTTACGGAAAGGGGTGAGTGGTGACGAATGCTGTGCCGCGATATCTTGTCTACCAGTTGTCCATTCGTCACCACTCCCCCCTTTCCAAAACCTGCAAGAAGACTCGTCCCCCTATTGATAAGTTTATGTGCGAAAAAAAACGGAAGGGTAAGTAGGGCCATGGTGAACATTTTGTGTGTAATTATCTCCTTCGTAGGACTAAGTATCTCCGACGTAGGCCTTAGTATCTTCTATGTAGGACTTACCATCTCCTACGTCGGACTTACTATCTCCTACGTCGGACTTACTATCTCCTAAGTCGGACTTACTATCTTCTACGTCGGACTTACTATCTCCTACGTCGGACTTACTATCTCCTACGTCGGATTTACTATCTCCTACGTCTGACTTACTATCTCTTACGTAGGACTTACTATCTCCTACGTCGGACTTACTATCTCCTACGTCGGACTTAGTATGGCCTAGAATCACTATTTCCTACATAGGACTTAGTATCTTCTACGTAGGAGATTTTAAGTCGAGTGTAGGAGATAGTGATTCTAGGCCATACTAAGTCCTACGTAGAAGATACTACGTCCTACGTAGGAGATAATTAGACACCGTGGCCCTACTACGCTTCCGTAAAAATACGACAAACTAATCAGAATGCGCGTTTGATTTCAAGTTGTTCTGGGCGGTCGGGTAGCCTAGTGGTTAAAGCCTTCGCTCGTCACGCCAAAGACCCGGGTTCGATTCCTGACATGGGTAGAATGTGTGAAGCCCATTTCTGGTGTCCCCCGCCGTGCTGGTATATTGCTAAAAGCAGCGTAAAACCATACTCACTCACTCACTCACTCAAGTTGTTCATCAAAGAATCCCCCGGGAATATTTTTTGATTTTACATATGTCTTGTATCTAAAAATACACACAAGACACAGTTAAATGTGGTCAATCATACTGTATAATTCCGCATGTCCAGATGTGCTTTAAATTGCATCTGTAATATATACCCTCGCGTAACCTTGATTCGTGGATATAAGGAAAGTACACCCAAATTCGTGGTTTAAATGTCCGATTTTGTTTTGTATACTCACTGATCATTTAATTCATCTATTAAACTATATGAAAATGACGAAGATTCCACTCGTGACTGAAAAGTTTGTTTACCGAAGCCATTTGCATTCATCAGCCATTCGTGTGCACACAAAATGTGACGTCACCTTGATTCGTGGATTACGTAGTAGATTAGTGTATTGCCATGTACGAAAGCCCAGTACCGTTACTGTGTAATATTTTTTTTATGAATTCGAATCTATATCTACCAGCATTTCTGTGTCGGCTGATAACAGTTGAAGAGCATAGTTAGTTAACACACAACTCCAAAACGAATCTTGTCAATAAAGTTATGTACACTATTTACAGGTAAGTTTGTGTCCTCTTTCAGTCCTACTCTTCCGATGGTTTGCATGGCAGACCATGGCAAGGGCAATAAAACGTGTCATGCGTCCGAAGCACGCGCACTGGACAACAATACTGTAAGTGCACCCAGTGGTTACAGTCATGATACATGCACTGCCACCATTGTACGAAAAACAGTGATGTGCACTGGGCCAGTTCAGCGGGCTGAAAGTGATGACACAGGCAACATGTTTCGTCATCGGATATTGGCGAATCCTCACTGTCACTGCTGTATAGTAGATTAATCGCACCGGATGGTCCCGCTGCTGGCTCGGTGGTACTTTTATGTTTCTTTTGAGATTGTTTAGCTGATGTATGTGACTTTGCTGGTCGTTTCTCGGTTGCTACTGGCTGTTTAGAAGTTGAACTTTTAACATAGTTTTTAACTTGAATTTCTATCTCTGGTTCAGTTATGGCTTTGCCGCTAACGATCTTGTGGATAGATCTACGTGGTTTTCTTTGCTTCTTCTGAATGACGGGAAGCTGGTCAACAAAGAATTGGGTTTGGTCAAAGTTAGTGACGAGATTTTCCTTCTCAACGTTAGGGTTGGAACGTGGGCTGTGTACGTCGTCAGTAGCTGGTACTTGCTGCGACTTGTCTTCAACGTGTGATGCGTGGATAAAAGCAGCTGGTTGGAATGCAGATTTATCAATCATATCTGGCGAAAAGGGATAGATTCCAGACTTTCTGAATGCCGACTGCAAGTGACCAGGCGTTAAAGCAGCAGAATATGCCCTGCAGGCTACGGAGGCGATGTTATATCTGTTGACTGTGGTACCATCAGACTTCAACAGCTTGTGACATTCGGCATTGTAGATTTTTGTAAACGGACCGAAACATCCCATGTCCATTGGCTGCAAAATATGACTTGTGTGAGCCGGGAGGACAAACAACACAATATTGTGATCTTTTGCCCAGTCTATCAGAGACGGAGAAATGTGCGACTTGTGGCCATCGTACAGAAGAAGCAAAGGTCTATTCGGCGTTGCTGGAGATGCATATCGAAGGAAATGCCTGTCCAAGTAATCTTGGAATATAACACCATTTGACCATCCCGATTCAGAAACAGTTCCGTCACTTCCCGCTGTACAGCCTTCAAGCAATTCACTGCGCATTCTAGCACCCGGAAATACAAAGAAAGGTGGAATAAATGTGCCCAGAGCATTTCCACATTTCCAAAAATGTGACGACAGACGATCTCTCCGAAGAAATCTCGTAGGCCACGGAAATTTCTTGAGCCAACAATTTTCGGTGCGACATGGGACTGGTTGATTCCTTTCTCGTCTACGTTATAAATTGCTTCTGGTCTTGATTGGAAACCGTATTTGTCCATAATCATGGCAAGTTCATCAAAATATTTGTTGATGCATTCCTCTGAACTTGCTTTGGCACGAAGTTCCGTGAGAGACTTGGCCCTTCTAACTTTCAACTCCGGCCATCGCTCCAACAGACCATATAACCACTTGGCAGATAATGGATGGGACAGGTCACGTTTTCCTAACTGACAAGCAAAGTTAGACCCTAATTGGACAACCTCTTTCCTGGTATATCCGTATCCGATGGATGCCATGTATGTTACATGGTCAACAAGTCTAGTTTCCTGATCCGCATCAAAAATTGGAGTTGCACCTGACTTGACAGTGTCAACATTGATCTTGCCTTTTATCCTGTCTCTCAGTGTTTGCTCGGGTACAGAGAGGTTTAATGCCGCTCTATGAACTACAACTTTATTGTTTTTTACTTCCAAGTAAGCATTAGTCAAAGCTGTAGGCGAATAACTTTTGTATCCCTGTCGCGAAGGCGTCGATAAACCCTATGAAAATGGAAAAAAAAAACTATACGAGATGGCCCGAAAATGTTTCCATATATTTATAATTTTAACAGACGGCATCACCTCAAGTCACGTGACCTATGTTTATTGACATATATACAAGCATACGACGACAGATGAGAAGGGTGGTGCTTACGGTATATATTTTATTTGATGTTTTGTAAATATGAAATTTGGTATTAGTGATCTAGGCCTATTTATCTCAGTGTTGGACATTTGGTTTTTCTGTACTTACGTGCAATGCAGTGATTCGGAAGATTTTTGTCAGCAAGGCGTGGCAGTGTGTGTACATCAAAAGTACCGCTGTGTGACGTCATACGAGACTTAATTAACGAGATATCACGATAATTACCGCGATCCACGAATCAAGGTTATCCACGAATTTAGGTAACGGTTCTGTATAATATATGGGGAAATATATGTGAACCATTACGCAGCGAGTTGACAATTGTTTTAGGTATGCCTGTTTGCGCTAAGACGGAACCCGGTCGCAAAAATGGCCATGAGAGGGGCACGAGTCGCTATTCGGCTTGTCCCGGAATGTCACGAATGCGACGACTAACGTGAGTCGATGCCATATTGTAAACAAGTTGTGTCAAGGTCTGTTTGACATGTGGTAGCTCGGCCCCCGTTTCTGTCGATGGTACACGCGATACAAACAAATAATACAACTATTGAAAACATCAACATAACTTCTAAAATTATGACAGCAATACCTTTTTTGCTTTTGGATACGATTTGCTGTAAGATTTCGGTTTGTTTTCCTTTCTATAGAAACTATGATAATGGCGCTATGATTGGTTTGCTGAAATAGTATTTTCCGTGAACCTAATGTACATGCTGTGACAGTACAAGATTATTGATAACCAATGCATTGTGTAGGTATATATATAATCAATTACACATTATAAATGTCCTCAGAAAATGGAAGATATTATTATGACACGACAGCTAGTATTTCCAACATTCTGCCATGGTTAATATTAGATTTTCAAATTATTGATGTAGACTGTACTCTCGATTAACGTATGATAATTTATTACAAATCTTTAACTCTTGTTTCATATGTCATCTGAAATGTCAGCAACGAGTAAACGCATTATTCTTTTCGTTCAATGACGTAAATAACTACAATTTTAAATTGTGTAGCTTAAAAGACGATCGGTGAATTTCCCGTCTCGGTGAATTTGTCGTCTGGACAGGTGTGCGTGATTTGAACCCGTGCGTTATGACGTCACTCCAAACAGCTGATCTAATGTTGTGGTAGTATAAAGGATACACATCGTTTCAGTTTCCAAATAATATTATTCTCTATGACTGAACTAGAAGGTAGATCTAGTACATAGATAGGGACGATTTCCACGGCGACCGACAAGTGAATGAGTCCGTTCATCACTTGACTAACACTGTTAGAATATTTGGAGTAGTTTTCTAATTTTGGTATGTTGACGTATGTGCTTTTCATATCTGTTTTAGGCTTGATATTCCAAGAAAACAATGTGTATATAGTTGATTAAGGGAATGGAATATTTTACAGTGAGAAAACTGTTTAAATGGATCTAATATTAAACAACCTTTTTAATACTTTAGCCTCATATATTAGAAGCTCGCATGATTCATTTTGTAACATACACAGTAAAAATAATTAGATCTACAAACATATTGAAAATCGATTTCTGTATGACAAAATGTTATCAGTGTAAATATGGTTCCGTTTTAATATTTTGACTCTGCAATATTTAAATTTTCAAATACTTCAATCAGTGACATACCTATGAATACACAATGCCATTGTGCCAGTGACATACCTATTTAGTATAATAATTACTTTGTTTTGTATCCTAAGTGAGAAATAGAATTTGTATAAACAAAAGAGCAAAGTGAATGCTTTTTGTTGTTCTTTTTTCACAATTTTAAATTGTGTATGTTCGTTCCCTCCAAGCTGTAGTTTAGCTTGGACAAAAGAAAAGAGGAAAGCCATAATAACTGAAAACCATTTAAAGTAAAGATTCTGCTAGGTAATTTTCGAAGTTCAATATCAAGAATATATTTTTCTTCTATGACAAATAATTCCATTACTCTCATTGACCTACGATCATTATCTATTTCAAACCTTTCCTTTTGTAGAATGGGATGAAACTGTACTGGAAATACGTATGTCCTTGAACCGGGATGAACCCACACTCCCAGAGTAAGGGACGTTATTCTAAATGATAATGACGATACCTTTGATCGAACGGCAGACCTTCAGCATATAAAGTGCGTGTTCAAGCCTGATGTATACAATTTTGACAATACTTCTTGTTTTATTTTTGTGTTTATGACAAAAGTCAAGTTAATAGTGAAAACACCAACTTTATACCTGGAAACACACAAAACAGGAAATGTTCAGGAAGCAGCGCAACACCGAGTGTCATGTTAAGTTTCTTTTGTTGTTCATATGTCCAATATATTTCACGAATATCAAGATTTTTTTATTAGGTGATTAGAAACGCTTATGGTTTTGCACTTCATCATATCTGTAGATAGATGTTATAAGATAAAATGCGAAAATAATTACTAAAGCATTGACACAAGTGCGATCCAGAATATATATGACGGTGGGACTCTGCCCTTTTAAATGAAAACTGTAACCTTGAGCAAGATCTTGCCGTGCGAATGAGCTACCAATAAGGTCACGGTCATTACTGTAGCCTGCCGACACCTTCCGTTTTTTATCCTTCCCAAATTATCCAAAAGGTATGTTGTTTCACACTTCTTTCAGTATAGACTCGGATAGAAATATAGTGTAAGCTATCAATTCATAGTTATTTGGATCGCTATCGCGATTAACAACATTTCTGACGTGAAATCTTTGATGCGTTCTTCGTGTTTTCGAAGTGTCAATTAAATTCACGGCTTAACACAAATTTCAATGTTTGAACGAAAAGCAGATTATATGTTTGAAAAATACCTTTGTCAAGGTCTGCCGCCATCTTGGATACAGATAAACCTATGTTAGATTTACGACATTCTTACGATATCTTACGTCTACGACAATCTACGATTTCCTTACCATTACTTTACGATACTTTTAGGGCTGATATCGTTTCGAAAATCTAGGCCCAGGATATTACTGAACGCAAAAATATTGCATCCTTTATGCATACAGATTGAAATAGATGCAAAAATAATTAATGTTGGACGTGAGGGCGGTAGGGTAGCCTAGTGGTTACTTGTTCGCTCGTCACGCCGAAGATCCGGGTTCGATTCCTCAGATAAGTACAATGTGTGAAGCCCATTTCTGGTAGACTATTGTTAAAAGCGACGTAAAAAACAGTACTCACTTATATTGCTCGTCGTCCTGTGGAATGATTAAAATAATTAATTATGTTATAATATATATGTGGATTGCCTTGTAACATCTGACCAACGTTTCTTTTCTGGTAGGAAATACGTTCAAAGTTCAGCATGTCATTGGTTTAACATGAGAACATCCTTATATAAAAGGTTAAATCTGACCATTTGCTATAATAAGATCACCTGTGACTATCCGGGATAGAATAGATCTTCGGCAACCTATGTTTGCCGTAAAAGGCGACTATGCTTGTAAGAGGCGACTGACAGGATCGGGTGGTCAGGCTCGCTGCCTGATTGATACATGTCATCGTATCCCAATTGCGTGGATCGATGCTCTTGATATCAATCACTGGATTGTCTGGTCCAGACTCGATTATTTACAAACCGCCGTCATAAAGCTGGAATATTGCTGAGTACGGCGTAAAACACCAAACAAAACCAAATAAAAAAAAAGAAGTTTATTACCATGAGTCCCCTGGACTAATTTCTTTTTAATAGACCCAGGTAAACATCCTTGGTTGTCTCAAAGTGGAAAGTACATACAGAAATGGTTATTTTCAGGGTTCATACACTATTAGCCTGACACACTTCCAGGGTTTCCCAATGGCCTGTCACTGTTACACGTCACCAGAAAGAAATACTGATATAATAATACTAATTCTCCATGACTTCATAACAAATTTCTGTTTTCAAAAGAGAATTCCAGGCCTGGAAATCTCAAACAAAAATTCCGTGACATTTCCAAAGATTCCATGACTGTATGAACCTGTATTACAAAAAAAAACATGATCAGAATGTAGATGTAACGCAACCTTTATTTGCAAAGATTAACACGTGGACGTTTGTTCAACACTGTCCTCGGTTCCACATAGTTAGTGACACCTGTCAAGGTAATAATGGACAAACGATTCTTTTAAGTTTCAAGTGTACACCCAAGAGCAGCGCCAAATGTGTCAAAGGCGTATTGTTGTCCTGAAGACCACACGTATTTCATATAGCCATGGCAAAATAACAATCTCATTAAAACAGATCTGAGAGCTCGCTGTGGCAGTCAGGTCTTATTTTAATGAGATTGGGTAAAACAACTTTGTGCATTATTTCTGTCCCGAAAATAAATTACCCTTTTCAAACCTTTCAAGTTTGATGCACAGTGGAGCAACATATGATAGTTTGGTATCAATGCTACTGAATGTTTTGATAGTTACGGGGGGAAACTAATGTGAATCAGTGCCACCCCACCCTGTGATAATTAGGTAATTATATTTGTTCGATCCTATTTTCATCAGTTTGTTTGTTTCTTGTTTAACGCTCACTCAGCAATATTCCAGCCAAATGACGGCGGTCTGAACATAATCGAGTCTGGACCAGACAATCCAGTGATTGACATCATGAGCATCGATCTACGCAATTGGGATAAGATGACATGCATCAACCAAGTCAGCGAGCCTAACCACCCGATTCCGTTGGTGGCTTCTTACGGCATGCAAGGGTTGCTGAAGATCTATTCTACCACGGATCTTCACAGAAATGGCTCAAAATGAATTATCTTCTTATGTATGTTTGGCATAGTCAAAACTTCACTGGCACATTCACATTACGTTCTTGCATCACCTGCGACTGTATATGGTCGCTAAGCGGTGGTGTTAAATACTCGCATAGCTGTAATATGAAGCTGTTTCCAATTCAAGTCAAGTGAGTCCTACTCGGTGCACGAGGTTTGCTGATCCCAACATTTGCTGGACATTCACCCGACAAACGTGTTGTCCAGCCGAAACATTACCGACGTAAACTGTGCTCTTGGTTCCCCTTTGTTGGTTCCCAATCTCATTAATATCAGATCTTTAGTACCGCTTCACACAGGGGTAGCAAAGAACTCAGATCTGATTATAATGAGATTGGCTGAAACAGCCGGGCGGTGAAACCAGCCCTATGCTCCATTCGTTGGTTTAAAAATGTCTGTTTAGCTGCTTCAGGAAAAAATAAACTGGCTGTGTGAAGTACTTATGGTCCAGGGCTAAAGCTGATGTTTATTCGAATGTAATTTGAGCACGATAATTGCCTGTTAGATATTTTGGTGGAAGTCTGATAAATTCTGGCAGTTCTGAAATAAACAAAATCAAAGTATAAGAGATTCAAGGACTGTAATAAAATTGAAGTGTAATGACTATTTACCATTGTCGCAAAATCTAAATCAGCAAAAGCAGGTGTACAGTATTACAGGCAAGATACAATCAAGAGGTACTAGTTTTCACCCGAAATCTAGTTATTTACCCAACCAAAAGTCTGAAATGAGTTGGTTGGTTGGTTGTTTAACGCCGCACTCAGCAATATTCCAGCTATATGACGGCGGTCTGTAAATAATCGAGTCTGGACCAGACAATCCAGTGATTAATATCACGAGCATCAATCCACGCAATTGGGATGGATGACATGCATCAACCAAGTCAGCGAGCCTGACCACCCGATCCCGTTAGTCGCCTTTTACGACAAGCATAGTCACCTTTTACGGCAAGCATGGGTTGCTGAAGACCAATTCTATCCCGGAATCTTCACGGGTCTCTGAAATGAGCTGCGGAGGAGTTGGACATGACCAATGATGTCTACCCCTGCGTGAAATACAGGTCAACACAGATTAGGAATCACAGGGATGTCTTGACCTGCTAAAATGCCGATATTCAGCCCCAAATCTGCTGCATATGTCAGTAAAAGTTCCGAAATTGGAAAATATATTTCCCCGATTCATGTTAATATGTCACGACTTTGTTTCGAGGTAACTAATGCTTAGTTTTACATTATCGCACTGTATGCAATGTTAAAATACCTATAAAATTAGGAACCGTTTATCTAAATACCAAAATTGAACAAAATAATGATTTTATTACTAATTAACTTGCCATGAGCACTAAGTTTAGAATCCTAGATAAACCCCTGAATCAGTTAAGTGCAATGTATTCAGTCCAACTGAAATAGTTGGTAAATTAATTATCTGACCTGTAAAATGAACTTCGTTCATTCTGCAGCTATACAAAATTGGCACTGGTGACTGGGCCTATAGTTTTTGCCAAATTGCCCAATAGTATATGTAAGGACGAGTAGACATTTGCCATTTTGTAAGGGTTTTGCTATATGTTATCATTATAAGGACTAGTGGACTAAAAATGTTAGTTTCTAACGCTGTTACTGTGACTGGCAAAGTAAATTAGAATAGGCCATTCTTACCTTTAGTTTTACTCCAGCAAGCATGTCCACATTGGGGCATGGTGTGTGAAAGTGCATATTTGTAAGCTGCTGCTAAATTCATAGCTTTGGCAGATCTTTTGGTCATGTCGTCAACGTAAGTTTGAAGTCCTCCAGCGGTGCCAGGTTGATTGGGCTGAAAATAAACACATTCTCACATCAGTAATTATTCGATGGAACGAATTCTACCAAAACGGAAACAACTTAAAATCCTTCAATGGACTTTTTTCCAAGGATATGAATTTGAATATTTTAAGAGATGTTGTGCTTGGTTTTAGCTTGTTTAACATTGCTGTCAGTAATGTTGCACTTGTGTGATGGCAGACTGGAAGTTCACAAGTCTATATAAGGTGAGGTGAAATGGGGTTTAACGTCGCGTCCAAGATTATTGCACTTATATAGCGACGTGCATGAACGTGTGTGTGTGTGTGTCTGCTTGTACTAGTACAGACTGATGCCGATTTATAGTGCTAACTCACTGAGATACCATGCAGCAGTTAAACATGAATACCCAGACACAGTATACTGACTCCGAGCCGACCAGTCCTTGCTTTAGTCTTTAGCCCCTTAATGCCGAGCGCCAGACAGGGTAACAACAGGTACCATCTTTTAACGTCTTTTGGTATGACGCAGCCGGGATCGAACCCCGGCCCTTCCGCTCTCCGGGCGGACGCTCTACCACTAGACCACGTAGGAGGTCAGTCTATATCAGGCACGTCATTGGTTGATATGAGCAACATCTAACCCTGTGGGTGTACCATGAGAAATTAGTCTACATTATTTTCCCCTTATAACAAATAGAACGCCTCCATGGCCTAATGGATAGAGCGTCACCTGGAGAGAAGAAGGTCGGAGATGTGGGTGTCACACCAAAAGATCTTGAGATGGTACCCTTCATTGCTCTCGGCATTAAGGGGATAAAACAAGGACTGGTATGCTGGGAGTCCTCACACTGTGTCTCAGTGTGGTATCCATGTTTAACTACCCGATAGTACCGTATTCGACGTAATACGCTCCCAGGGCGCTCTCAAAATTAGAAATAGGGGGGCTCTTATTAGAATGGTATTTTGGTGAGAGAAAAAAACAGAGTTGAAAGATAAATTTCGTGGTTTATGCTGACAGCCTGAAAATGTTTGTATAGGACCGATATATTTTTCCAGAATTTAATTGCCCATAATTAAAAGGTGCATATAACACACGAGTGCGTATTATATACAAATAAATAAGTCTTGTGTACATTGATCAATCGGAAGGGGTGCTGATTGGGATTGTTCACTGGCCAATATATTAGCAAATATCGCCGTGGGCGCTTATTCGAGCGGGGCGCTTATTACGTCGAATACGGTATCTCAGTGGCAGTGGGCTAGCACTATAAAACCAGTATTAGTCCCGACTATCTCTCTCAAACACACTCTCTCTCTCACACACACACACACACACACAAACATTGCTATGTAAGGGAAATACTCTTGAACGCGACTTGAAGCCCCATTTCACCTTAAGAAACCTTGCCACAAGCAATAGACTTTTCCATGTGCAAAGTTTGTCAGTGTCACTGAGGTAAGCCTAATGCTTCTTTCAACAGTATAGAGTGTAATTTCAGTTATACTACTGTGTCTCAGTGGAAGAAGGAAAAAGCTGCAGGCCTAAGGCGTTTAGCATTTGGGGAAACTCATGAGGTCGGGCATTACTGACAAAGTTTACTGTACTACTAACTTTGATTTTTGTGAAACTAAGAGTAAATGTGCTCCTTTTGGTGACATTTTGATTTACCATGCAGCAACAGCAATTGTCAATAGTCCTATGGTCCTTGCCAAACAGCCCTATAGTTAAGGTTTCATAAGGACTAGTAGAAAATTTGCCTATTCTATCTTAGTTTATGGATCCCCGATCCCCTTAGTTTATAGATCCCTGTCCCAAAATTTCACAAATTAAGTAATTTCTTCAAATTTGGTCAATACAGGATTAAATACTGAACAAGAAAGGTTGGGGGTCATTCATATTTCAGGGAGTATTATTTTTGTGTTGATGACTGAACACAGAGTTTCATAAAAAGATCCCCCAAAATCTTCACGATCCCTACTTTTGATTCGGTAATGGAAGTGAAGTATCCATTTGATATTTCTCCAAATCACTTTCTTCCCCATGAAAAGAGAGGGTCTTACTTCTTTCAATCATTTAGTCAGCTGATGTGCCAACATGCCCCCAAATTTGATCATGTAGGTCTAGGATGTATACTAACAATTCCGCTAAAGAAGTACTTGATGTCATGTTCTACTGTGCGAATATGATATCGGAAGAACTCCTTGTTCAATCTCAGGAGCCCTTTCTGAACCGACAACCTGGAAGAAAGTGTTCATTCAATTTAGTCGATATTTTAGGGATTGGGGCTCATTTCATTCAGTGCGTGGAAAATGATTTGATTTTGGAGTTTGTTGGTTTATTGTTTAAACCCACACTCAGCAATATCCCAGCTATATGACGGTTGAGGTATGGGAGTTACGATCACCTTATCACTGAGATCGCTTTGTACAACGGCACACTGTTCTGTTGTGGGTTCTATGGGCGTGCCCCGGTGCTCGGTACATCCGGATGTGACTGGCGTAGAAGCTGTATTTGCTAGATACGAAAGATGATTGGCCCGTCCTACTCTCGATATTTCATTTTTCACAAATGGAACTCTTCTCCAGTCGATGAAAACTGATTTTAAGTAATTTGCCTTGAAGGAAAGTTTGAAATTTAAAATGTATTAGTAACTGAAAAAAGTGGTGAAGTTTATCGATATCAACACGTCTTTCGTATATTATTCATTTATTTTCTATTTTTAAACTTATAATTGGCTAAAAGTTCTAGATAACTTACCTTGCTAATAACGGGACGAGAATATAACGTCTTTACCACATAAAGGTAATTTAGCTGATGATTGTAACTAGGGACATCTCAAATCTCTAGATTTTGTGATTTTAAGTTTATTTGCCTGAAGCTGATTTTACATCTTCTTTTCTTCAGTATTCAAATTAGGGATTGAGAACTCCGTCAAACTATTTTTAAAGGCTTAGTTTTGAATGGAAGTCGCCAGGGATAGAACATTCTTTGGTTAGTCAAAATTCGCGAAATGTCGTTCTGACGTGACCTGTAATGGAATGTCCTGAGGTCTTTGTTTAGTGGTCATGATAATTAAGATGTGACAGGTTTTACGCGACGCAGAAGTGTACCTCTGGTACGCACAAATGTATAGAACAGACGCAAAAGAATTATATATTGCGTCTATTATATTAGATAAAAAAGAACAGTCACTACAGCATTTCATTACTTTATAGGATCCTCATATTTCCTGTTAAGACCTTTGAAACTTGTAATTATGGATCCTCTGGAGGATAAACTGAACAAAAGCTCGAGTAGTGAGTGGGAGGATACTATTAGTTATGGTGTCTTTAGTTGCGGTATACAGTGTCATACTAAGTTAGACAAATATTGGGCGACTCTATAACGAATTGACAGGGTTAGAAATTGGCATTAGTCCTATAGTCCTTGCAAATCTGCCAAATAGTTAAGTTATCATGAGGACTAGTAGATATTTTTCATTTTTAGAGGTTTTGCTATATATTATCATTATAAGGACTAGTGGACCAAAAATGTTGGTTTATTATGCCGAAAAGTTTACACTCTCTGGTATCCATATCGTACATACCTGTCAAAATGAAAACTTGACACTTACAACCGTACGTTGAGCTTAAGGGTCAAACGAAGACTACTCTTCAAACCTAAGAGACCAAACCATATTGAAAATTTTAACAAAAATCTTTATCAATAAAGTCACGAACGTGATCTAAAAAACAGATTGATGTCCTTGCACTCACAATTAATGATAGTTTAACGCAAAACGTGTCAAAAAACGAATTTCGGTACCAGAATTTCCATGTTAAATTTGTGAGGTGGGTGTTGGAAAATCCAAGATGGCTGTTACAGACGGTATACGGTCTCATATTACGTCAGTATCAAGTTACTATCAACCATCTTGGATTTTTACTGATGGTATATACGGGCTCAAGTGGGGTCAGTAGTTCTGCTCTCTGATTGGTCAATCTCCTTTTGGGGCATAATATACTGGAATAGAGGGTGAGAGCACCACCTGGAATAATGTGTGAGAAGATAAACGGGAATAGTCATTATTAGTGTGCGGGAGGATACTTTGGAATAGAGGGGATAAACTGGAATAGTGAGTGGGAGAATAAACTGGAATAGTGTGTGAGAAGATAAACGGGAATAGTCATTATTAGTGTGCGGGAGGATACTTTGTAATAGAGGGGATAAACTGGAATAGTGAGTGGGCACCCGATCCAGGAAATATTACCTACTACTAGCACAGAGTTGTTAGCAACTATGACCTGCTACTAGTAGGTACAAAGACGGTCTCTACGTCTCTGGAGACTAACATTTACTGCTACTAATAGCTAACGGCAAAGGAGCATGTCTAAAATGATTTTCATTGGTCAACGAGTCTACGTCGACGGTATGCAAGCCAGGCTCTGTCTCAACAGAAAAATTAATAAATTACCGCAGAGCAACTTCAGCCTGTAACCAGCTAGCTTTCTAGATGTAGAAGTAGCTTCGTGATGGTGAAATGCGCCATGCAAACCTTTCAACAACCATTCCAGTATGTTCCCAGTCACCTGGAATTACAAATAGAATCTACATTATCATGAAGAAAATTATACGGTAACCATTGATAATTACATCACCAGCTGGTCACATGACCTCGTCATGCATCATCATCCGCCGCCATTTTGTGTAAGGTGACGTCATTTGTTCCACTCAACCTAGGCCAAGTTTAGGCTAGTTAATTGTGTCTTTTCTCTAAATAGAGCACAAGAAACGTGGGTGTTTTCATAACAATAATTACTCTTCAATATCCCTACCATTGCCACAAATGGGAACGTAATGTCGTGCGTGTTTTCTACAGGAAGCCTTGCATTCTTTGCGTCCCTAGAAACAACGTCGACGTGCACAAGCAAGGTCACGCATCATAAATGCCGTTTATTCTAAAAGAAAGAGTGCTTTACCGAAACAGTATGTCCTACAGTCCTACCTATCGTATATTGTATTGGAGTTGTTGCCTGGTATCAAGCGCCCATGTTTTGACGCGAATCACTTGCATCCAAAGACGATTGGGTCACGTTCCTTTTCAGAATCGCTCGTTTCTTTTAGTCCAACTGGTAGTAATTACTAGTAATTAGTACTTACATATATATACTATTATATGTCGTATTTTGTTTACATTTCAGCAGTATGCATCGGAGGCAGAAAATTTATTCAAGCTCTGAAGTCCCAAACAACTGAAAATGCTCCAAAACACCATCACGTGACCCTGGTATTCTCAAAGTGCTGGTGAAAGTGATTGTTTTTTAGGCCTAAATATTTGTTGATAGTAGAGAGGCGGATTGATAGACTTTATAACAAGTCATGATCAACATTCCCCAACTGTTAGTTAATTACACTGGTCAGTCTACATCTGTATTGTTTCTTCGCAACCTCTGTCAACAAACTCAAATTTATCCATTTATACCTGAATAATTGTGTTGTCATATTTTAAGATTATGACTAGGCCTACAGCATCTAACTAACTGTAATCCTCTGATAACTAAATGTCTGAAGGAAAAATACCATTTTATTGATGAATATATCTCCATTTAACTCGTACAATTTAGTACTAGGGTGTAATGTTGGAATGTTTTTGTTGACAGTAGCAGACACTACATCTGTCTATGAGCAATGGACAGAACTGAGAATACCATATCATGAACCGTAGTGAACACTGCTCGCAACATCCTGTTTTAGTAAGTATAATTGAATCCCCAATTATAATGTCATTGTACATACAAAAAATGACATAGTGTTGTTTTTAAATAGTGATCTGTTTGGCAGTGTTTTATATATTGTAAATTTTTCTTTTCACTTTGTCTACTGGCCTGCATTTGTCCTTGTCATTTTCCTGTTATTTCTGATACATTCCAAAATAAGATTTGTCTGTACAGTACCAGCACACTTTAATAAGGACTAAGAGCAAATGTGCCTATTTCTCAGTGTTTTAGACAATTTGTGTTGTACCCAAATAGAGGGAATATTGTTACTGTAGTTCTTGTCATTGTCTTGGTGGCAAGTGCCACATGATCATGGGCACTACTTCAGCATGTTTAGTTATACACATTTACCAGTGAAGATCAGGGTCAGAATAGGTCTTCAGCAAACCATGCTTGCTTTAAGAGGCGACTATCCTTGTCATAAGAGGCGACTAACGTGATTGAGGGGTCAGGCTCAGAGACCATGTTGATGAATGTCATCGTATCCCATTTGCATGGATTGATGCTCACGATGTCAATTACTGGATTGTCAGGTCCAGATTTGATTATTTACAGGCAGCTGTCAAAGCACGAATATTGCTTAGTACAGCATTAAACAAACAAACAAAGTTATACAGTTCATTTTTTTAAATAATCTTATACTCTAGTATTATAATGTGCTATTTTTATTGATTATTATGAAGCCGAATACGGACTGTTTGTATCAGTTTGTAAGAGAGACAAACCAAGGTTCCCACAACTATCTGCACATGCTTTGTCGTAACATAATTAATATGGTATCTCCAGGTTATGTATGTTTGTAAAATGTGCTAGAAAGTGTCCACTTTAGTTGTAAAATCATCTTCCTCACAACAGAGCTAATGTGCACTACCTTGTTGTGGTATTTTTTGTTGAACTCGTCTCTGTCTTTCTCAAGTTATGTTTGTGCAAGGTGCCTACCTGGTGTATTGATAATATTACCTGACAAGAGTCAAGTTTGCTCATCATATTCTGAAAGAAGTGTCTCCAATCTAATAGAAATGGGAAAAGTAATACAAGCGAGTCACCATCATTCTAACCGGTGCTAGGGATGTCAGCATAAAGTATATGTTTTTTTATTAATATTATAAATATTAAAACTCTTTGCACCTGGATTGGAAGAATTGAACATTATAAGAAAACTGCTATGTTCCTTTTCAGCTGACAGACTGTTTGTGGAAGATGTAAGGTCAAGTGCTAGGGCCCCCTGTTTAGTTTAGACCTACATTGTAAATGTTGTGCACTGGACCATGGAGCCTGGTCACTACAGAGTTTACCCAAGCCTCTTAAAACTGGGGACAAATTCAGTTTCTAATCTTAAAAATATCATCTTGATTCTCTAATCATACTGTTAAAATTATGTTTTACGTACTTATCTAATCTCTGTGGAATTCCTAATCCAATTAAATAGTAATGTCCAATATTTTTAAATATATTTGCAGATAACAAATTGCTATAGACTAATAAGGCAACTGCTAAATTATATTCTGACTCTTTACTGGACTCACCAGACTCTGCACTGTATACTACTGAACACAATGAAGTATCAACGGAATTCAAGTAACAAGCGGTAGCCTGTTGTCTGGTACTTTAAAGTATACTATAATGCATGTACTAATTCTTTATACTGTAAACACATAACATGTTTTGCTTGAGCAATTCTTCCTGAAAAGACCCCAAATTTGAAACGCAAGTCTAGTAACATTGTGCTTGATGTAGTAAGTCCAATTAATAATAGTCAATATGACAACACTAAAATCCTGTTCGGGCTAGTTGACCCATCATTTAGGTCACAGACTGCTCATGTAATTCAATATATGGTGACAATGTTGCACGAGGTTTTGTTGTGTGTATTTCAATAACTTGCACATTTATGAACTTTAACCTTAATGTAATCCTTGAATCCAGTGATGCTTTATTTTTACATTTCTTTAATAACCTACAATTGTTATGAAGCTGTCATTTTTTGTGTGGTTCCAGGAATAAAGTCACCAGAAATGTATTCAAAATTTTTATCTGAGTTTGAGCATGACCAACATGGCAGATATGTTTAAAATGTTGTTTTCTTCCACTACTCAGACATGTAAGTTATTGTACGGTAAGTCATCTACAGTGTAAAAACATGTTGATTCTTTTGTTTGCATATTTAGCTATTCCAGAACTGTTAGATGATATTAAATTGCTGTAGAAGGTATTTATTTCCATCTATAATATCATTATGGTATACCAGTGTGTATGACAATTGTTTTGAAATTCATCAATATCTTCAAATATGATCTATTGTATCCAGTGAATGACATGTAAGAAAGAAGGAAGTTAGGCAGCACCCAATCAGAGAGCGTACCATTAGACACATGTGATCAAAAGGGTTCCAATTCAACACACTGCCCTTACGTATGATGGTCACTGTAAAGTTATTACACTGCATATTTGAGCCCATATGGGTAATAATGTCTTTTATTACCTATATGGGCTCAAATATGCAGTGTAATAACTTTTTGATATTTGCACAGTGTGCAATTAGTGATTCTCGAAGCTGATTGGTCAGTGGAACAAAGATCAATTTTCATTGGACAACGGAACTATTTTTTTCTCATCCCATTCATTCACAAATCCTCTCCTTTCCCTTCAGATGTTTTACGTGCTACAATCTCACTGATTCGAGATTTTTAAGACAAGACACATAGTTTCATATTAACATGATTTCACATGATTTTCATTTTACAGTAAAAACCAAAACTACGTCCCCGTTTGTAAACAAACATGGCTGGCCATTTGAGACCTGTCAAAGTAAATGACCTCGTTAAAGCGGACGGAGAATTGACTGACATGAAAAGTTATTCCTTTAATACAACCTCTGAACACATTCAACACCAGTCAACAAGAAGTGTTTACTGCTGGGACACCGAGTTCCCAGAGACTTTTGTGTGATAGATGAAGCCAACATTTATCAAAGAAAATATCTGCTTGTAAAATATATTTGCTACTACATGTTATACACCATTTGAAAGGTCTGATCCTATGGTTAATAAATATGAAAGTTATGTTTTTCACATTATTTAAAATAATGCATTTACAACTTAATTAAGTTCGTTGTAAATAAAAAATTGTAAGCTAACACGTTGTTAACATCCAGATTAAGGACCAAGGTAGCGAAAACTTGACGATTTTCGGCAAATATAAGATTTCATAAAATCCACTTACCTATTTCTGTTTTATTTTCATTGTTTACGTAATTGGAAAATCATTTTAAAAAGAATTTATAAATAGTTTCTGTCATCACCCATTTCCCGATAACAGCGGCTGTCCGCTCAGTAACATGAAGAAATACCGCCGTTTTCGAGGCTTCGTATGAATAACACATTCGTCGAAGAATGGCATATGACACATCGCTAGAAAGCTTATTCCTTCATCTACACGCTCGTAAAATCGCCTGTAGTTATAACAAGCGATTTCATTGGATTAAAATTGGTTTCTAATGACGCTTTCTTGCCGAAATCTGCTACAAGTTTCGTGATTGGTCAATTTTGAGCATATGACCTAATGCAGCCAATCAAATTACAGCTGTAGTACCAAGCTCCACACTCCGTCGCACTCTCCTACCCAGAGTTCCATGCGGTCGGCAGCCAGCTAGCAACGTACTATGCTAGCTAGACTGGTTCCCGTTCGTTCCTGCGACAGACTGAAAAGCGTAACAAGTGCAGCGACACCAAGCGGCTGCCGGCCGCATGGAACTCTGGGTAGGAGAGTGACCAAGGTCGTGTTTGATAAATTTCAGAAGTTGGCGAAAGATTTTTGTTAAATCGTGTTATTCTGAACGTTTTAAGCAGGAAATCACGATCTATATTAAAAATATAAAACTTCGTGAATGTATCGTGCTAGGTTACGAGCTGTGACAAAGATTTTTCACGCAAATATTTTTGCATTTAACATCGTGTCCGAGCCGAGAATTCAAGGCGACGAAAGCCGAGATGTCATTTGACTTACATTACACGCGATCGCACGAAAAGATGGAAATAATAACTTAGATGTAAGTTTGATTACTTTTAGATATATTTTTGTTGATTTTATTTATTACATTGTATAATATATTGAAAGATTTGTTTAGAACGTCTTTATTTTGCTCTTTGACATGTGCGATGTGGACCCGTTGTCGAAATTTGTGTCCGAGAATTTTATTTTCAATAACATCGCGGGAAATAGTGAATAATTTTTTAATTTATCGATAAAAAATTATAAATTGAAATGGAATATGTATTTCAGACATTGTGAAATGTGATAGATTTAATAAATGAATGATATCAGTATCATATCACAGGTAGGTCCATAACAATATATATTATTTTGACGTGACTACGGCTTGGCCGGTTAACCGGCCAACGGTGTCTGGGGACTCGATGCTTCTTGGCCGGATAACCGGCCTACGGTGTTGAAAGAGTTAATGTCTTTGTTGTCAAAACTGCATATTGAAGTTCAAACATTCAGATTGTGATGTTGCCAGAAACTGTTTCTAGGGCGCCAAGATCACCATCACCAAGTCCTGGTTTGCGTCTTTGTTAGAGGGCTTGCTATTTGATGAATTTTTCGACCACCCGAATCCAAAAACCTTTGTATAGACAGGTTTGCCTTTGTGAACGATGGTGACATCGATAACTGCCAATGAAAATGAAAAAGACTAAACTTGACAAGTTGACATGAACTTAGTTCAAATTTATACAGGTAAGAAAAACACGAAAAATATGACTACTCACACTTTCAACGATGGCATGAGAATATAAACAAATTCATTTTGCAACAACATTTAGACTTTCCGAAAGACATCATAAAGATACACTATTTCGTACAATTTTGTAACGTTGTGTGAAGAAATAGGATGCCCTTATGCATGGCATATTTTTACTTATCTTGCACCGAAAGGTATTCCTCACGGCTCATGTCAATCAGTTCACTGTAAATACTCCTACCAGGCGATGGCGGACATGTCCATTTGCACGTCGACGAAATTTGCATACAGACGATTGAACGAGTTAGTCTCGTATCTTTATGAATCCTTAATAACGTTGTTTTATTTTCATTTTTAACTAATAACGATTATACAAACACAAAACAATTAGCAAAATTCACATGAAGCAGAAACAATACGAAAATGCCTTTTGTGTTGTCGACAGCTTTAGTTTTGAATATTTCAAAATGTCGTCGACCGTGTTCAACGGTGTTTGGGATTTTGGATTAACTATAACATCTTTGACAGCAACCGAGATAGTAAGTACATTTGAACATCATTCTGTAAGCATAGCTTAGTGTTCTAGTGCTGGTCTGAAATCTGTCGTAATTTGGAGATGATAAACGCATTGATTCATCAAAGATTCAAACGTTGCGATCTGGTCATATTTTCCCGATTTCCATCTCCGTCCCTGCTTACATCAGCAGACACTGAGTGACCATCAAACAGTATTAAAGACATGGCTCCACTGATCACAAACCCAAAGGAACTGTATTAGCTAACATTTATTACAGTCAGATGGATGTATATGTGATTTTTGTCAGGAAATGTTCAAAGTATAATCAAAATTGATCTCGATAATCAATCTTTCTTTCGGGAACTTTTTGACGAATGATTTCCATGGCGATGTGGTAGACTAGCTGTAATGAATACCATTATCCGAAGTATATTTCAACGGACATTTAATACAAATCAAACCATGTATTCCTGGTAATGTTTGACGAATTTGAAAAAAGGTAATCTATGAAGAATTTGTAAACACAAAAAGGCACAGGTTACCCGCACGAAAAAAACGGACATCATTTCAGATTAGCGCAAACCGTAACAGAGAGAGAGAGGATGTTTATTTAAGTGTCACGTGCATATTATATGATAAAATACAAAATGTACATTCATAGAAAGATAAAAAGCACCCGGCCATATGGCCTATGAGACACTATAATCTAAAATATCACAGAACAAAAATAAGTTAAGAAAGTACAAATGACAAACAGTCCCTACATTCAATATATAATTAAAACATGAATTATACCCAAACCTGTATGAGAACAATCATACAGGTCTATCAACAACATAGACTCTCGTACAAACATGCATTCAGCCGAACGCATAAACACACATACATAGACACATACACACACGTACATACACGCACACACACACACACACACACACACACACACACATACTTACAAACATTACAGAAATTACGTTAACTACATAAATCATAAAAGAGCATTCCTTCTTCTGACCATGAGATGAATCTTAGAAGCAAGTAAGAGTCGTCAATTAGGATTTTGCATTAAAAACATATTTTTCTGTTGGGTTTTTATGCGTAAATTCATCGTCTTCATTCAGGGCATACTTGAAGACGTCGTACATTATATCTGAGTACAGTGGCCAGGTGATGGTGAAATGGGCTTCATCCTCGATCTCTAGGGGGCAGAGAGGACAGATTCTGTCATGAAGTGGAATAGGCGGCTTAGAATATCTGCCTGTCTCTACACACAGAGGCAGACTGCAGGCTCTCAGTCGTATGAAGGACTTGCGGTGGTGTCTAGACATTGTATTGGTTACATAAGCTTCTGGGTACAGGTCTTTCTTAAACATGCGATAAGTCCTAAGTTTATTTCCGTTTGTTAAATTTCCTTTATCGTCCCATAGGTCAGTAAACCACTTCTGTTCATCCTGAATGTTCAGCTGCTTGCAAATAAGTTGTACAGTGGATTTAGAATTAACTGCGGTTAAGTATTGCTCAAATCCCAAGGCTTTACTCAGCTTCTGCACTCGGTGTTCCCAGGATCTCCTCCGGTTGAGTGACCACTTATGTATCTTGTTTGGTAGTCTGGATTCGTGCATAAGTCCTACTTTCGTCCACAATCTGAAGACCTCAAGACGTTGTTTGGTTACACAAGAGGTCCAACCCATATCTCCTCTCGTAGCGATGTTCGAAGTTTTACAACTGGCTCCAAGGAAAAAGCGACACGCTCTGTTTTGGATTGTGTTAAGGCATTTGTGTTCATAGAGTCCCCAAATACCTGCCCCATACGTCAGAATAGGCTGGATCAAAGAATTATAGAGGGCAGTAAATACCTCATAGGCCATTCCACCTTCATCACAAAACTTGGTGAAAAGTGCACTCAGAGCTCTGCCTGCTGATTTTGCCAACTGGTTGACTGCTGTCTTGAAGTCCAAATGTTCATTGAACCAGAGGCCGAGGTATTTGTAGGACTGCGTGTATTTCAATGTAATATCACCACATTTAAACGTTACTTTGGAGCATTCTCGCTTGCCTGGTCTGAAGTGAACGATTTGAGACTTCTCACCATTAAGCTCCAATCTCCACTTAAAACACCATTCATGAACTTTGTCGAGCATCATTTGTAAATATTCTTCTGTCGGTGCAAGTAACAAGAATACTTATATTTGCATCCTTGACATCAACACCACAGTTCAAGTTCTTAATACTGCGAGCAAGGTCATCGATATAAATGGCAAAAAGGGTTGGTGAGAGAAGGCATCCTTGCTTAACACCATTAGGTACTTTAAACCATGCAGTTAAAGAGTCATTTACCCGAACAGCACAATTGACCCCTTCGTATAGAGATTGAATTGCTTTCAACATTGGTCCTCCGATACCTGACATTTTCAATTTATACCATAAGCAGTCTCTGTTTACTTTGTCAAACGCTTTTTTCATGTCGATAACAAATATGTTCATGGCATGCTGTCTTCTCTCACGTCCGCGCTTGCTCGTGACATTTACCGCTAAAATTTATGGATTACATTATGTCCGTTGAGCGAACTTTATCAGAATACGTTACGGCAAAGACGTGGCAGTTGTCCAATAGTCCTTGCCAAACTGACCAATAGTTAAGGTATAATACGGACAAGAAGAAATTTTCAATTTTTAAGGGTTTATCATAATAAGGACTAGAAGTAAAAAGTTTCTTTAGTTGTGTAGATGTATGTAAGTCATTGGTTATGATAACATTGGAGAATCGATTTCCATATATAAATTAATAATTAAAAAGTATGCTTACAAATGCATACATGAATAATCTGTGAACATTTTTGAATATTTTGTTAATATTCCAGAGGAACAACCACACTTTCATACGCCACTTTCTTATGGCTGTAATTGGAAAGACTTAGAAAATGATTCTTATTCCAAGGTCCTTACTGTTATACTTACTGTCCTTAATGTCCTTTATTTAATATTTTGAAAAGTATCATCAGTAACAAATCTTGTAACTGTTTAAATGAGATATATAAGACAAATGATTCGATAAACAAAGCACGAAGATAAAGATTAAAGCATATAATGTATAAATATTTACATTGGATGTCATATTTAACACTGTTGGTGATTTCAACATCGAATTTTGTTTTGTTTTACTCGGGCACCTGTAACCTCTGTGACGTGGCATGTCAAAGGTCGCGGGTCACGGTATTTCGTTCCAGACGAACAATCGGAAATTTGCCGCCCTTGCCAAACCCGTTATGGTGGATGATTGAAACCAAACTGTCGATAACTGTAACAGCTTCATTTGTATTCGTGAAATAAAAAAAACTTAGTCTTGCAATAATAATAAGGTATTTAACAATAACAAACCGCATGAATACAAAATTTACATACTGAAATTAAACGAAAGATTATTAATAATTTAGTAATGAATTCTACTGTCAAAGAGCTAGCTATTTATATTTTGACATACGAACTAATAATAAATATATAGATTCATCGGGGACCGGTATTCAAGTAATTTTAACTGACATTTACACGTTCATAATTCAACATCATATAGTTCTTGTTTATATACTTATATAACCAATAAATTATAAATATATTCGACACTGCATAAGATCCTATATGCCGTTGCTACCAACCTACTTTTCAACGTCTTGTAATAAATTGGCTCGCCTCATTAAACATACGAAAACGTGACTTACATATAATCAGTCACAAAACATGAACAACACAGACCCAAGAGGGTGTGTCAAAGTTTACCATGTGCGTTTTCGTTTCTTCTGGGGGACATGCTTTCGACTTTTTTTCTCTCATGAATAGTACCGCTAAGCGACCTTCAACTTCGGTCGCCATTTTGTTTTAAATTTTGGCTAAAAAGTTGCGGTACCTTTTCTGTGTTTTTGCAGAATTTGAGGTTTAGGAAGCATGAATGGAATTTCTAAGTATACGTATGAATATGAGAAGTGGCACATTTTCACACAGACTGTTTTTTTACAGATGTCAGTAGGTATGTATAACTGTATGAATGTTTTTGAATACGCTTTGATATGAATGTGATGAACGAGGCCTTGAACAAATACTGTAAAAAATATATATACACTCCATTCACGATCGATAAACTGGGCATTTATTTGGTTTCATTAGCTAATTAATACATAGATACGTAGATATTTGACCATTTTCAATCTTTTAACCAAAATATTTATGAAGGTTTCAAACATTCCTTCGCATGTGGATTTTCAATCAGTCGGTGCAATTTGTTCGAAATGAAAAAATATTTCAATGGCGGCACATTTGAACGAAAGTGTAAACAAGGGGATTTGACAAACTCCATATGCGTTATTTATTGACAGTAGAGTTGTGAAAATGACACAGATGTGTTGGAAATTTACTGCTTTTTGCGATGTTGCAATTGCTATGGGCTTGGGGTAATCCAAAAATATTTTATTTCAATTCTTTTAACATGATGTTTCAGAAGGACATACATATGTCCCTCTGGCACAGCAACTGCGTTTTGTGTAGGGACAAAAATGTCCAAATGGCAGCCAGAGGGTTAAACAACAAACCAACAAACCAACCAACCATATTGTACACAAATTGTGTCAAGGTCGGTTCCACATGTGGTAGCTCGCCCCCCGTTTCTGTCGATGGTACACGCGATACAAACATAATGCAACTACTGAAAACATCAACATAACTTCTACAATGATGACAGCAATACCTTTTTGTATTTGGGTCAACCGCTTATTGATACGATGTGCTGTAAAGTTCGTTTTCGATTTGTTTTTCCTTTCATGAAAACCGTGATAATGGCGCTGTGATTGGTTTGCTGAAATAATACTTTCCGTGAGTCTAATGTACACGGTACACGCTGTGATTGTACAAGATAATTGATAACCAATTGTGTATGCATATATATAATCAAATACACATTACTCATTTCTTCAGAAATGGAATAGATCTATTATTATCATCTCGTATTTCCAACATTCTGCCATGGATATTAGATCTAATATTGATATTAGATTTACAAATTATTGATGTACACTGTACTCTCAATTAACGTGTGATAATCTATTACAAGTCTTCAGCTCTTATTTGATATGTCATCTGAAATGTCAGCAATGAGTAAACCTTATTTTATTTCGTTACAATCTGCAATTTTATTCGAATAGGCTTATAGACAGTCGGTGACTTCCCGCCGCTGTGAATTTGTCGTCTGAACAGGTAATTTGACCTCGCGTGTTGTGACGTGGATGACGTCACATAAAACAGCTGATCTAATGTTGTGGTAGTCCTATAATGGATACACGTGGTTTCATTTTCCAAATAACAATATTCTCTTTGACTGAACACGAAAGCATATCTAGTACATCACGATTGGAAAATATCTACGGCGACCGACGAGTGAATGAGACAGTGTAATTCAGTGAATTTCAGTGTAAACGTGATTTCGTTTTGATGTTTTATAGTTTTATTTATGTCTTTTTTTACTCTGCATTATCTTAATTACCAAATACTTCGACCAGTGACATAGTAGTAATTACTTTGTTGTGTATCCTTAGTATGAAATAGATTTTTTTTAAATAAATATGTCCCAGAGCAAAATCAAAGCATTCTTGTGGTTCTTTTTTTCACCATTTTAATTAGTATATACCTTCCCTCCAAGCTGTAGTTTAGCTTGGCCAAAATTATGAAAAAAGGAAAGACACAATAACTGAAAACCATTTATATTAAAGATTTTGCTGGTTACATTTTCGAAGTTCAGTACCAAGAATAGATTTTTCCTTTTATGACAAATAAACACATTACTTTCATTGACCTTCGATCATTAATTATTTCAAACTTTTCCTTTAGTAGAATGGGGAACTACTGGAAATCAACCATCAGGTATGTCCTTAAATGTATTTATAAATCAATGAAAGAAAAAGTGGTATTTCATGGACTGGCCATACAAGTATACTTTGAGAAAAGGTCTGAGTAAGGCAGCCAAGTGCGAAATTTATACTAGTTGAGACGAGGATGTATGTTTTCTGGTGGTCAAGTGAAACAAATTTGTTCAGAGTTTTGAGCACATGAACTGTATATACATTGAACACTACTTTAATCGAAGTAATTCATATTTTCGTAAGTTTCTCTTTCACTTAATCTAGATATTATTTATAATTGTACCGTAAAACAATAATATTGCCTTCTTTCAACTGTACTGTGCAAGTTATCGTTTCCTTGTATTAACATAGCCTACTCTATTCTTGAGTAAATATTAAAATTGTCCAATTACATCTCGTTTCAATCTTTGTACAAGTTAGATTTAAACCATTAACAACACGTCATGACATCCTAAGTATATATAAGCGGTCTGTGTGATTGCACAACGTAGCAATGACATATGGCGCCCTAGTCTCCGTGTTTGACCAGCCAGAGTCGCTTACAGTGGCTGCTGCTCCAGGGGTACTTCCTGAAAGGAGTTCTTCCCGCATCCTCTTGCCCTTGAATACAAAATACGGTGGTATAGAACTACCAGACGCATTGCCGCAACCTATAACAGTTGTAGTACTTGATCTTGATGTTGTGACTGCAGCTGGAGTACTCTGACTCGATGTAACAACTGATGGTGGGGTATGATGCTCCACAAGTCCCTTTTCATCAACATTATAAATGCGATGAGGGCATGTCTTCAGGTTGTACTTATCCATGATGTGCCCAAACTCATTAAAATAATGAGTGATCGTCTCCTCTGAGGTAGCTTTTGCTCTCTGTATGTCAAGGGATCGTGGCTTCTTCACTGATAGATCAGGCCATCGCTTCATAAACCCATAGAACCACTGAAGTGATAGGGGTTGTTCATCCTTTGACTTCTTTCCAACATATATTGCTAGGTCTGTGGCAATAGTAGTAACTTCAGCCCTTGTATAGCCATATCCAAATTTTGCCATGGCTTCAATATGTGAAACAAGTCCCTGTTCTTCCATGGACAATAGTGGTTCTCTACCAGTGGAACACCATTCAATAGAAACTTTCCCACTAATCATGTCATGCAGTGTAGCAAATGGAACAGCAAAGGTAGTGGCAGCTTTCCTAATTGCCATTCCATCTAAAAAAGCATTATATGGCTTGTCTGGGGCTGCAGACAAATATTGCCTATATTGGCCTCTTCTGGTTGGTTCACCATTGGTCAAAACCTGTAAAAATAAAGCTTTATTTTATATATCACCAAAACTCCAGAGACAGTTCTCAAAAAGCATAAAGTTTTCAATAAGAAATGACCCTGCACATCACGTGTCTGAGCACGTGACATTTACACCATTAAAGTAAACAAGCAGACGACAGGTGTGCCGTCGATTTACAACGTGTGCATTTATTACAGACAGACAGACAGCATGTTTATTTATGTCTCGCCTCATTTTACATATAAAATGCTATTAAAATAAAATAAAATAAAATGAGCCACTCCTATTGGAGTTATGAGAGACAAACTACTAGAAGTAGTATAACCATAGTTTAAAAACATTATCGAAGATAAAATTCTGTACAACATATATGCAAATTAAAAAATATATTAGGTTTTATATAAAATATTACTACGCATCTGTCAAATTACCTTGCAGGTTTTGGCACTAAGCGTTACAACACTGGGACTGGCCAGGATAAAACAAACTTTCACAATATCACATTCATCTTTAAAACCACACCGCACTTCATTACATTTATCTACTAAAAACTGTCGAACGTCATTATAAGTTGGGCAGTGCAATAGAACATGGACTTCGTCTTCCACACACGTATCACAATAAAAGCCCACTCTCTCGTTGATAAGTAGGTTTGTATATCGCCCAGTCTCGACTCATATTGGGGCTACACCACATCTGAATACAGCTAGAGAGCGTCTGTTAGACTTTGACATAGGAATCTGATTAAAATAAGCAACATTATATTCGTTCTTCAGCTGATTATATAGTCGTAGCTTGTTGCCTCCGTTACCGCTTCGACTGTTCACTTGACTCACTGAAATTTTCCATTCCTCCTTGAAGCGTTGAAATACAGTATCTCTCACTTTACCTCCAATTTGACGATAGTGATACGTGTTATTTGTGGAGGTAAAAACAGATAGACCTTATTGTTTATACTTCGTGTGTACTCTGAAGTTCCAGTTCCTCTTGTTGTTTAGTGCGTGTTTACTGGCCCACACAAATACTTTTCTTGTTAATCTATGTTGTAGAAGGGAGCTGCAACGTTTGTAGAACTTTGAGATAGTTTCCCATTGTCTTACTATTGGGGGAATCCACCCCATGTCTCCAGATACAGCATTATTCGGAGCAAACTTTCTCAATCCCATGAAAAATCGCATGGACTGCGTTGATACAGCTGACATTGTATGTTCCCCAGATAGCTGATCCGTACTGCATTGTCGCCCACACCATGGAGTCATAAAGTTTAGTGTATGTATTGTACTGCATCCCTCCGAGAACCTTGAATTTTGATATCAGCAGCCCTAACGCTCTGTTAGCCGAACTTGCTATAGCTTGTCCCATTCTCCTATAGTCCAAGTGTTCAGAGAGGAGTAAACCCAGATAATTATAACTGTCGACAATTTCAATAACATTCGTCCCACACTCGAAACGCTGTGTAGTTTGACATACCGATGGATTCCTGAAGTGGATTAACTTGAACTTTCCTGCATTTATGTTCTATTTATTTTCAACGCACCACTTATGGAGAACGTCCAACAACAGATTCATATTCTCCTCATTTTTTGTAATGAGTATGATGTCATCTGCATAGGCGAGGATACTGATGTTTTCGCCGTCGACTTCAACGCCTAGAGACATAGCATTTACCTTGTCAATCAGATCGTTCACATAGAGGTTAAATAAAAGCGGTGATAAAAGACAACCTTGTTTGAGGCGACATTTCACTTCGAACCATGGAGTGTATTGTCCATTTATTACAATTGACATTTTATTTGAGCTGATCAAGTTACATTAGTGATCTCGGGTTAAAAAGTGAGTGTTTGCTGAATATGAGCTATTACTTACGTTTAGTAACTTGACACGAAGCATTTTCCGGTCCAAGCGAACGAAAGCGGTGTTGTCAGCAGATCAAAGCTGCAGGTACCGTAATTTCTCGTTACATATCGCGGGAAATATAATTCTTCCCCGCCCTGAAGGCGGGGAAGTATACGGAAAACGTTAATTTTGTAGCATGTATGTCGACATGTTGGTTTATTTGAAATTTCAAGCCACGCATTCACGGAAACAAAACATACAAAGCATGTGCGTGGAATGTTGATGCTATTCTTTTCCAGCAATAAGAGATACTTCAAACTTGTCTTTATGTAATTAATTGATACATCTGACCGTTTCTGGTCATTAGCTGACATTATTAAACAATTCATGTGTAATCCGATGTCCTTTTTTCCTCAAGGACTAATTTTCTGATTTTCACGATGCATACAAAAGAAGAACTGTACTCCGGAGATCGTAAATAACAGCATAATATAAAATATGTTCCGAATAAAGTTATTCATGAACAACGACGACATCTCAATTTAAATGTAATATGGCTGAATTCCACATTCTACATACCACACTTTTGATTGTTTGGATGCTAATGTTCACTGGAAATATTTAGAATAGTTATATTCCGTATTTTGAATTAACCCAATCCCCCGTGGTTTTTTTAATCAGTGCACCGCACATAGCCACATGTGAAACGTTTGGTAGCAAAGTCAAAGCAAAATCGGAGTAGTGTGTCGGCGAATTTGCATCAAGACTGTAGTATTTTTCAACCGTTTAATGGAATTCAATGTACAGCCGTAGCTTACTTACTTACTTACTTACTTTGGAGATTTAACGTGCGCTTTCCGACTGATGCGTATTTCGCACACGGGCCCGGCCAGGCCATTTAATGTGTTTCCGAAAGGGGCGAAAGTGGTGTGTGCAACCCAAGAGGGGGCTTTTGGGGTTGCTTATATAGAATTTGGGAATTTTGAGAATTGGAATAGATGCCGATGGGGTAGGGGAGGAGAACTAAGGGAGCTGGGTATGGTGGATGTTTGTGTGTTTATGTAATTTTGATTTGGTGGATTATAGTGTTTTTAGATGCGTTTTATTAGTTCCGTTTTGATTAAGAATACGCCTAAGGCCTTGAAGTTTTCTAGTTTTGTTTTGTGGGTTTAGTATTGCTTCTAGAGTGAGAGCCTTGTTTAGATTGAGGGTGGTTTGTAATGCGGTTCGATGTGTTAGGTAGTGTGTGCAGTAGATGAGTGCGTGTTCTGGGGTTTCTAGTTGTTTGCAGTGTGGGCAGTTACCTGTAGTATGTTTTTTTATTTTTTTTTAGGTGGTTATTTAGGTTGGTGTGTCCTGTTTGGAGTTTAGTGATTACTCTGTCGATTTGTTTTGATGGATGGTGAATTTTTGGTTTGGTTAGTGGTTTGCTGAGTACTTTTTTGATTTGGCTATTTGAGTTTAGATATAGGTTATGCCATTTTTTGGTGATTTTTTGCTTATTTACACTTTTAATTTCTGATTTTGAGATGGGTAAGTTTAAGCTTATTTCTGGTCGCTATTCATATATTTTGTGTCCATGGCTCAAATCTATTTGCGCCTGTACCGTGTTCCACTGACCTCGATAATCTGTTGCATGAAGGCACATCTCTCTACAGTCACATAGTTAACACTGAAGGCTAGGAGGGGTAATTAGGCCTCAAGCGATATTGTCTACATAACAGATCAGTTTTATGGCCCCGTCACAGGTGCTCCAAATATTGAAGCAGGGAAAACAAATTTCATAGAATCATTTCAACAAGCAATATTGATATCCCAGATACTTTTGGTAACTTTTAATGATGTCTCTATTGCAATTTTTACGGACTTTGATTCGTATGCATTATTTGACTCCCATCAGCGGAATAGTTTGGGTCAGACTAATCCGAATGGACAGGCAGTTTTACTTCTGTTAAGTAGTATGGATGACTTGTTATGTTACATCTTAACGTATATCAAGCGACTATGCTTGTCGTAAGAGGCGACTAATGGAATCGGGTGGTCAGGCTTTGGTTGATGCATGGCATCGATCCAAATTGCGTGGATCGATGCTCATGATATTAATCACTGGAGTGTCTGGTCCAGACTCGAATATTTACAGAACGCCGTCATATAGCTGGAATAATGCTGAGTGCGGCGTTTAACGACAAACCAATCAATCATCAATATATGAACTCAAACCAGTAATTGTAACAAGTAAATCACAATCCACAACAGTTACTGACACTGGATAAAAACAGTACATAGAAAAAGACCAAGTAACTCAACTCATCATGATCACAATTACTATTCTTTGAAAGAAATACAAAAAAGAAACTGACCAAAAAACGTAAAACAAGAGACGAGGAATCTCCGTATTGATTGGTCCCGGTATTGAAATGTTCTCCAACTACGTGATAATATTTTGAGTATGTGCATCTGTGGTTGTGACAAAAAGACCTTATCTAGTATGACTTTTTTGCCATGTGGAGCCCTTAGTATTTTCATTTACATTATTATAACCAAATGCCAAGTGTATAAAGAATGTGATCTATTATTTGAGTATGTGCATCTTCCAATGTTGTTGGCAGTTTTGATACTATTTCCACATGTTTACATTTGTGCCAGAAATTGCTTCCAATTCCTTCGATCTACTTTTTAAATAAAGACCCCGGTTTGAAATAGGTCTTCAGCAACCCATGCTTGCCGTAAGAGGGGACGAACAGGATTGGGTAGTCAGGCTCGCCGATTTGGTCGATGCATAACATCATATTCCATCATATTCCAATTGCGTAGTTCGATGCTCTTGGTGTCAATCACTGGATTATCTGGTCCAGACTCACGCCGTCATATGGCTTGAATACTGCTGAGTGCGGCGTAAACAAGGAACTTTTTTTCAATAGACCTACCCTATGCAAATGTATCAAATGTATTGCCCAATACTTAAAATAGATAATATTTTTGTCCACAACAGCGTTGTGTTATTTGTGGTTAATATAATTATGCTCCTTCATGCCTTTCAGTAACATCATAATTATGCGTTTGTGAGGCATCACATATGGCGGGGAACTTTGATGCTCTGCATCAATGTTTTCTTGTTCAAAACGGCCTATCGAAGTAAGATGTCGATCGAACTTGTGTGACTTGACGATAACACTTGTGATACAATGTATACGTTTTTAAAATAGCGACGTCATCATAGTGCGGCACTGAGCGGTATGCAGGCTGACTGACGTAAAGGCACCATGAGGGTAATGTTGTATTTGCTTGAAAATGTAAATAGGCAACTTCTTCCATACCACCAGTGTACATAACTGTCGCGGTCGCTATTCTGATTGATTGATCTTTGAAAGTTTTATAGATTTTCGGGCAACGAGGTCAATTTACACCTTGTCCATAATGAAGCTTTACAAAATCCCTAAAAATGTTATAAAGTAGAGATGACATATATTATCCCTCCTTTCAACCCTCACTTTGAAGTCGAATAAAATTCAAACTGCACCACGCACACTAAGATTCTATACACTTCACAGTTTTGAATACTGTGGAAAATTCCCTGTTCGGTCATATCACCCACTGGCATTTTAGGCCAAGCAAAAATACTGAAAATTACCTATAAAAATCAGGTACATAGTAAACGTCGCCATTTTTTTACACAGTACTAAATCACCACTCACGGCGTTATTTACAGCATGTCTTGAAATTTAAATTTCGGATATTTACTCGGAAAAATGAATTTCGAAAATAGCATATTAGTGATCACGGGTATCTGTCTTATATTAAATCCCCAATGATAATTCTATATTGTAATATTAGAGACGGAGCCCAGATGTACGTTTTCGCGACTTGACCAAAGGCGGCTGGTCATAAACGCCGGTCTCGGGACCGAGAGTTGGTCGCTGCGACCTTGACCGTGGCGCGAAAACGACTTTCACCTTGACCGGAGCGCGAAATTCAAAACAACATGGCGGAAGGAGGAATCGGCAGCACTGGGTTGGCTGCGTTGATAGACGCTATCGATGAGCCAAACCAGTTTTTGTTTGATTATTTATTAAGGCCTCAATCTCGAAGAAGATCGTCTTTATTATCAAGTGGCTGTCTTCTTGAAATGCAGCCAGACGACCATCCTCATCATGAGGAGTATGCTGAAGTGATTGTCCCTCGATACTCGACTGATGATTTCCAATCTCACTTCAGGTTGCACAGGACAAGCTTCGAACAGCTGTCAGGAATAACACCAAACAGATCCGAGTATTGTCACTACCTTCTCTGGAGGTAATACGCCTGTGTCCCTGGAAAAGTCCACTATGATCACGCTGTGGTACCTGGCAAATCAAGATTCAATGAGGACCATCAGTGTTAAATTTGGAGTAGCCAAGAGCAGTGTCCACTCGGTCGTACACACGGTGAATACCGTTATTGAAAAGATGGCAAAGAAATACATAAAATGGCCTGATACACATAGGATGGCTACAATTGCATCAGAATTTCAAGACCGTGCAGGATTTCCAGGTAAGTAGACAAGTGGATATCCGGATATTTTTCATAGATAATTGTATTCATTTGTATGATTATTTAAATTGCTAAACTATCATCTGTTGATCATGTTGAAACATGTCACGTATATTTTTGTCGGGTCTTAGACTAGTATATAATATATCATTGTATAAGTTGTAACAATAAACATGATGAATACACTTTGAATTTGTGTCCTTATATAGGCCTACTTGAAAACCTTTATGTCCCCTTTGACTGTTAGTCTCCCTCCGCTGCATGCTAACCTGCACTGTAACATAGCAGCATGGCGAATGGCATCTGTACAAGTCCATATAAGTCATTAGCCAGGCAACCTCAGTACAGGAGGACCTGGGGGGTCAGGTTAGAAGGAAGTGAGGCAAAGTAGTCTGTTGTAGCCTATAAGTGCACATTGTAGAGCAGACATATTTTTCATGCTATCAGGGGTCATTGGAGCCATCGATGGTTGCCACATTCCCATTAAAGCTCCATCAAGTCACCAGGAGGATTACAACAACAGGAAAATGACCCATACAGTCATCTTACAGGCTGTCTGTGACAGCCATGGAGTGTTTACAGACTGTTTTGCAGGTGAGCAAAATTGTTCATGCACATGGATACATTTTGTTTAGGACTAGGTACTGATGGGCCCACTATATATTCTATTTTATTTACTATGTGTTTCACAGTTTGGCAAATATACCATCATACCTTCTACAATTATCCCAGAATGCTTCAAGATTCAGCATGACCCAGTGTTTTGTATCTGTAGCAATAATTATGCTCATATCTATCTATCTATCTATCATCTATCTATCTATCTATCTATCTCCAAAGTAATGTCTTAGAAATAAAGACAAATAAACTGTTTTGTATTCAATCACAATTGTATTTCAACCTAAGTTACAATGAACAAATAACAAAATTATGTTAACAATCTATGACCATGTGTCTGTTTGTTTCAGGAGTACCTGGATCAGCCCATGATGCGCGTGTTTTCAGCCATTCTAACCTGTCTCAATCTATTCAAAGTAATGTGGCTCAGCACTTTCCTGGTGAAAAGTATCATTTGGTAGGGGATTCTGCATATGCCCTAAAGAAATGGCTGATGGTTCCATACAAGGACCATGGTAATTTGAAGATGGTTCATTTGAAATATAACAGGAAACAGTCTCAAACAAGAATTGTAATTTGAAATTGCTTTTGGTCATTTGAAAAACAGGTTTTGTAGGTTAAAGTATATTGATTCCAAAATTGAAAACATTCCCTGCACAATCATGTCTGCATGTGTCCTACACAACTTCTGCAAGTACCATGATGATGATGTTCCAGACAGTGTAGAGTCTGATGACAGCTACCATGTAGCTACTCCTCAACCCACTGGCAATACCAGCAGTACTGCTGGCTCACTGAAGCGTGATGCAATTGCCAATTCCTTATAATCATAACCACTCTCATCAGGTGTAACAGTCAACAAAGTGGTTAATTGGCATTTCATATGCCATTTCAGCTGTAGTCCATATCAGAATACAGATCTGGTTACTAACACATACATGGCTTAAAACAGCCTGATAGAAATGGGAGTCATGATGACTCACCACATATTTCAGGGGGAACATTTTCTAAACTCGGGAGTATATTTCAAAAAAAATTACTCTCAACAGTGAATAACTTCCAAACTTTATCAAAACTATGAACTTATGAAACCTATGACACATTACTGATAACCATGGAAATAACAATTTAAACATACATGTAGTCTGTTCTTATATTATATTCAAACTATAGTGTATGATACAAAAGTATTTTGTACAAATGGTCAATAGTCAGTTTAACAACATGAATTGAATTGACAGGTTGGATTGAGCATGATACTTCATGCTTAATTGACAGGTTAAGTACAGCATGACACAGCATGCTAACTTGACAGGTTAAGTACAGCATGACACAGCATGCTAACTTGACAGGTTAAGTACAGCATGACACAGCATGCTAAATTGACAGATTGAGTATAGCATGATACTTCATGCTAAATTGACAGGTTGAGTACAGCATGACACAGCATGCTAAATTGAGAACAGCCTTAAATTAAGCTATAAACTGACCAGTTGCTTACCATAATTACATGCACAATGTAAACCATGTTCAATAAAGACCAAAAATTATATAACTGGCATGTTATTTTGAATATGTTTGTATCGGATATCCCTGTCAAAATATTGGGTTCATTGGTTAAAGTTACAATCAAAACATTTCTGAAAGATAATGAACAGGCATATTATTAGCAGCAAAATGTCTGACATATTTAATACCAGCCTTACATGTCATTCACAACAGTCACGAATAGTTCAGCTGTGTAAAGCATTGTGAACAAAGTGTTCTGTGAAAACTTCCCATGTTTTCTGTAATAAACATGTGAATATTTTCTTTGTTGTTATAAGTAATTCACATATTGGGGTATCCTGAAGAAAACGACATGTGATGCAATCAGCATGATCAGGTAACCATGGTCATTAACATCAAGGTTATTTAACAGTGCAAATAATTGGAGGATGAGAGCACATTTAACATCCAAGAATGTTGACATATCATGTTTTATGTTTTATTTTTCAAGGCATCAATAAGTGCATACATGGCTTTCATGCGATCCTGATGCTGACCTACCAAAAGTGTTTTCAGCTCATCAAATCGAACCTGTTCTTTCTGTTCCCTTTCCATTTCTAGTTGGAGATCCTCCTTTCTATACTGATGAAGCAGCTCTGTAACAACTGTCAGCTTCCTCTTCTTTGCTTTAGCTTTTCCTGTTGATGGTGCTTCTTGGCAGTCAGCATCCTTGACCTGATTATCATTTGTGACAGCTTTTCTCAAAGGTGATGAGCTGTTTGATGTGATGTCAAAGTTCATCTGTTCAGATGTGTCAGCAGGTACAGATGTGTCACTAAGTGCCACAGGACTTACAGTGTGTTTCTGTCCAATGATGGAATACAATTCATCGAAAAAATCTGGCTTCTTCTTCTTTCCTGCTCCTGTCTTGTTTTGATGGAAAATATACTATAGTCTTTAAACGATCTCTCCAAGTTTCTCCATTTTTGGGCACATCGTTCCCAAGCCTTTTCAGCCCTGTCTGAAATCAAGAATCCTTTCTCCTCCATCTGTTGCGCTATTAATTCAAAAACATATTTTGACTTGGTTTTCTTATCTCCAATCAACTTTCTAATTTCAGAACTACCATATATGTCAATCAAAGTATAAGTAGCTTCTTTGTCCTTCTGTGTTACGAATCTAGGGTTCGACCAAACTGGTTGCACTTGTGCTTCACCCGCTTGATAATCTGTAACATAAAAGATAATAATTAGTCAATAAACCAACGCAATATATCTTCAAGGCCAAAGCTACTATAAATCATACTGATAACTGAAATTTGATGGTTTAAAACGCTATGGTACATATGGCTTTATCGATTAAACAATCTTCTTACTATGCACACAGATTTATGTTGACTTCCTGCTGTTCTAAAAGGAGACACTAAACTCCTTGGTCAATAAATGAGTTCTAGACATTATAATTTTCGAATGAAGGGCCTTAATTTATTACAGGGGAAGTGGGACCGTTCAAATTGGTCTTAGGGCTATCATATTTTATCCCTAATAAATGAGCAGCCCCTTAATATTGTAGAAATTTCAAATTTCAAAAAATAGAACTATCATTTTCTTATGCCCCCACTCCCTCATTGTTGTGATAAATTCTGGCAATCTCCCCTGTTTCAATGTCATTTTTTCATGAACCTGCCCCTGTATCTCAATTTTATAATGTACAGGTATTTGCTTATTTTACCTGTGGGGGTTGTCTGTTTGTTGACAGCATCAAAGCAGCTTTGTGTCCGAGCTGGAATAATTGAACCCAATTTAGCACTAACTGAATAAAATTTATGAAATTATTATTAAACATTATATATTAAAGCAAAATACATCACATGGCATATACAAGTGTGTGAGTATGAAAAGACACCAGGCATTGCAAATGCTGATGAGTGAAAACTGCAAATATGAGAGTGTGAGTGTGTGCCTGTTGTTAGGCCACAATGACACACAATCTGACAAGTCAGTGAGTCAGATCTCAACTGTAGTCGGTTCTCATGACAAATATGAACCACTGGAGACGTATTCTGACCTTGAAACCCCTAACCGTCAAAGGTATCAAATAGTGAAAATATTCAATTTATTTTACAGCAGAATTGATGAAGCATGGAAAGTAAATTTCTCAGGATTCTAATTTTAAAAGAATACAATACCAACAGGTTTTGTAATACATACACTGTGTAGGTAGTGAGGCCACTGCGAGCTCCATGAACCGAACCTTTTCTTGGGTACACAGATGTTTTGGGGCAGCAGAAGCGAGTGAAGTTAGATCGGCATCAGGAATATCTCTGCTGTACGCGCTCTGTGACACAGAATCAAATTCTGCCCTTGGACCAAGTGCAACGCCTTGATTTCTTGCCAGGTCACCAAACACTGAGATCATGTTCATGTCAGTCATGAGTTGCAGAGATTCTGTCACATCTGTAATCAGACAAAAGAGTCAAAGAATGAATTATTATATATTTCACATTTTGAATATTCTTTGTTAGGCTGAACAAAATATGTCTTGCTTCTCAGGCACTGCCCACATCATCATAAAGTTCATTGCATGTTTCGTCTTCGTTTCCATTTTCAATTTTTGTTGTGCACTGTGTTAAGTATCAGGATGTTTATAAAAAAAAAATTAATATGGAAATAAAAACAAAACGTGCTGCAGACTTTATGATGATGCGGGTGTTGCATGAGAACCAAGACTATTATTTAGTTTAACTTTATGATGTTTCAGATATATTGTCAGAGTCAAAGTACTAATAATTTTCCTTATCATTATGATTTGGTTTTAAATATGTTTCATTTTTTAACATTATTGTTTCTAAACACCATGAAAAGGTCTGAGTTACATTAATGACATGCAAATACTGATGATGCTATTGGTTCTGTCTGTTCATGAGGCTTTCCTTTTTATTAATTGTGCAGTTTGTGCTGTATAAAGATCATAATTGATGATGAAAAGTGTGATTAGTTTGAATTTATTTCCCCAGAATGGCTGTCTAGATGAGAAGTTTTGCAGAATTTGTAGATGTTACAAATTACAGAAATGGTTTTTAAAATTTTTTTATGGGTGCAGAATAATTTGACATTTGTGAATGTGTTTTTGTAGATATTCCTCCAGTTGGACCATTTTAGCTTTAAGGTCAATTATTTGTGGGTGATGAAAGCTGTAAGCTGCATGATGTTGGTTTTGTTTACTTAATCTATTGTGTAGGTTGGAGAGAGCGGACTAACTAACTTAAATGTTATTTTGGAAGTGTTCTCGTCTTATCATATTATAATAGTTTCTTGGCTATCTTTCAAAAGAATCTGTATGTAAGTGATAAGCGTACTTCCAAAAGGTACTGTTTTGATGATATTTTAAACAATACAGTTTCATAAATTAAAACATACTTAAGATTCTTTCTCCTGTTGAACTTGTCGCAAAACTGCTCTTCACTCTCTCCATAATAAAGGATGAAGAACTGCATCTGGAAAAGAAGATATAAGGTATTGTAACAATTATGATAATTTTACCGTTTTATGCTTTATTTTTCAGTTTGATTTAATTGGGGGGGAGGGGGGGTGGGTGGGTGGGGGGGGGGGGGGGTATTCAAATAAACCAGGACCTATAAGCCTGGTAGATAATTTTATATTTTGGAGTACCTGGAGCATCAGTACATCATAGGCTAAATTGACATGTTTGCAAACTGTTTGGAATACAGTTAGATTCAAGGCAGATATTTCACATTTGTGTTTTCTATAGTTTTTACGTGTGCAGTGTTGATCTGGTAAAAAATACCATTGTCATTTTAGATCTATATTGTTTCACATTTTATATATTAGGTTCCATTTTCCAATTATAGATCGACAGGACGTGTCTCTCGCTTTGTTTACAGAGAACACATCCAACATTTGCTTTGTGTGTGGTGAACCTCATGTAACAAGTAGTGAATTAATAACATTAGATTTAGGCCTAATGATAATGATATTCAGCCTGTGCGAGCCCGGCTATTTCCATTTATTGTTTTTGCGAGCGGTCCGTACTGGCATTAGTGACAGCATTCAACGTGCCGTTTGTGGACACCCACCTCATGATTTATACATAGATCTACATACAAAGTGTCTATATGTAACCTCACTTTGTTTTCTTAAATAAAATTAACCCATATAATTCACACACTCATGCGTGCGAGATATAAATAGAGGGCCTACAGATGGCAGACGACTGTCCCGCCCCCAGCCCCGCCCCCAGACGACAACAAATATGATGCATTTCAACTTGTCCACCTTCCTAATTCTAGATAAAGTTAATATCCTGCTACACTCACCTTATCTGCACCTCTGTACGACATCAGGAGGTACCAATAACTTGTATTTTTGCGTAGTTATCCTATGTTTACATTGGTTGTACAGTCCATTCAAGATATTGCATATGCTTTTCATCCGTTTCATGTTTGACAAGTCTACACATTTTCATAAACAAATGTCAAAGAATGGTTAACTTTCATTGAGAAAGTATGCAAATACGTAAAAATCTACTTGATATGTGCTAGACACGTCAGTATTTCATTGTATCCTAAACCCAGCGAAAAATACAAAGAAATTGCTTTCTCCATTCCGCAGCTCATGAATGAGGTTTGAATAGAACACACTATATATCAGTACTAAGTCCTACGTAGGAGATAGTAAGTCCTACGTAGGAGATAGTAAGTCCTACGCAGGAGATACTAAGTCCTACGCAGGAGATACTAAGTCCTACGTAGGAGATACTAAGTCCTACGTAGGAGATACTAAGTCCTACGTAGGAGATACTAAGTCCTACGCAGGAGATACTAAGTCCTACGTAGGAGATACTAAGTCCTACGCAGGAGATACTAAGTCCTACGTAGGAGATACTAAGTCCTACGTAGGAGATACTTAGACAAAAAATAAATTCACCGTGACCCTACTACGCTTCCGTACTATCCTGCTGTATCTAAGTATCCTGATTTTCATTCAATAGTACTTCAAGACACCTGTAGAATAAAGTATATTTTGTAGATATTAATATCATATAGCAAATATGAATTTTATATGAAAATATGAATATGAAAGTTTTTCATCAAATCTTCTGATGGTTAAATAAATGCAAATTGAACCCCACAGTCATTCCATGCAGATAAATGGATTTATTTATGTTATTTGTTTTTGCATATAACAGATTATACTTAGATATGTTACAGTCAGTGTCTATAATCAGTCCCAATATGTATTTGGACTGAAAATTTCAGTCAATATGCAAATTGACTGATTCACACAGGTAAGGTATATTTTTTCTTATATTTTCATTCATTTATTATTGCATGAAAAATAGGACCGGATTTAAGACAGACTGGCTGAAATGAATAAGACTGCATAATTTAATCTCTTCAATTTAATTTGGATCTATTTTGATCTTATCAAGATCAAAGTAACTTATGTAAGAAATTAAAAATGCTTTCACAATAAATTGATTGATTCTCCAAACCTGAAAGAATACCAGAGTCCCTTTTTATGTTACTTATCTTTATTAGCATAATATTCAGTTCAGAAACAGATGACAGCTAAAAAGTCATGCAGTGTAATCAAATACTAGTACACATGCACAAATGTGCCAAGATATTAAATAAAATAATAAGAGTCATTGTGCAATGCAGATATCTTTTGGTGTGAAGAGAAAAAAGAAAAACATTAAAAATTTGTTTATGTTGGAATTTGAAACATCAGTTTAGAACAACGAAACATAAAAAGCAAGGCCTAATGAAGTTAAGAATCAGATTTATCTGTGTGACAATCATATGATTATTGTCAATGCAAACTGGATGTAGACACTGCATTGTTAATACAATCAACATTATAGAGATTGGCAATTAGTATGAATATATTGTTTTATTTTATAAAAATTGTAGTTGGTACAAATACTCTTGAATATGTATTTTAACTAATATATAGGGTCCTCTGTGTCTGAATTTTTTTTCTACTTTGTAAAATTAAAAAAAGGACAAAATAATATATATCTTTCATTGATCATATTGAAATATAATCATGGTAGTATTTGGCAAAAAACAGCTACCATTCATATACATAAAATCCTTGTATACAACATGCACCCGTAAATATCAAAACAGATTTTAGTGATTTCCATTTCTTTAATTTTGAACATTGTATCATGATATCGAGTTGATGACGTAATTTTACAGTGCCTGTTACTCTTACAATTTCTTGAGAACATTTCTCATTGCTCTCTGTCTCTGACAAATACTTACATGTGTTGCTGTCAATATTCAATGTCAATGTCAACATTGAGGCTACGGGCAACGTTGCATGAGACCTTCACATTTCGCGTACCGTATCGCCTCACCGTTGTACATACTGAAATGCATGCATATGATGTGGCCTGCTCGGCGATGCTACAACATAGATATAGGAACGTATATACAAAATCTACTTAATTTTCATATTCAAATATCAAGGGCAACACTTTCATTACCGATTGCAAAACGTCAACAAAGCGACCTGGAGTGAACGATCAGCTGATCTCACCGCATCGCTTCGAACGCCTATCTAGGCCTAGTGGATAACTATACATTGTAGCACGGGTTGCAAGCGGTACCTTTGATCCTACCCGTGCTGTATATTATGGTAGTAAGAGCACGGTTTGTTAAAGATTATTACCATTGGCTGATGCCAAGATCAGCAAGCCCCGCCTACTGGCTTGAGAAATTTCAAACTTACGACAATGTTTCTTCAGTGTTGTACAGTGTTCAAGAGTAATAACGTAAATAAACCAAAAAACAATAGAAATGTTTATAACTTTATTAAAAGATTACAATGTAACTGTCAAACATAAAAGCAACTGGACACAGAACGCATTTTGCTAAATTCGGAAAATTAATAGTTGAAATTTCTAATGTGCCTTTGAAAATTCCAAAGGTTACTTATAGAATAACCCACGAGGTACGAGTGATTACGGAAAATATGTCACGAGTGAAATTAATGTTTTAAGTTCCGAGCTTTAGCGAGGAACTTAAAAGATTAATTTCACGAGTGACATATTTTCCGTAATCACTCGTACCTCGTGGGTTATTCTATTTATTACCCATAGTCATATTAAAGACATGTTTCAAGAAAAAAACAATGAACTGTCGCCGATCAAGAAACAGCTGTTTTGTATCAATCCGCGTGTGAAAAAACACTGTCCACTCACTCCAGCCGCATTACTCAATCAACAACGTCTTGCTACGCGTAAAAATATAGTTCTGTTAACAAAACTTGAAAGATCACATTATTGCAGTTATATTTCTGTCTGAGTTATACAGCGTACACTATCTACCATTGATAAAAGAAGACAATTTCCAAAAAAGGTTCAACAGGCTTTTTAATCAAGGCTTGTTTTGACAAGACCTCTCATTGACAAGACAATAGCCGTCGTGCATCACCATGGACATGAATTTTTACATTGAGAAGAGGAAACACGGAAAACCTGTCAATTTTTTCATGTGTCATTCGGTAAAAATGCAAAAACCTGTATCAACAACATAGAAGGAATGTACGGAAGTCATGTTTGATTGAGAAAAGTTACGACAAGTAGGTAAACTTTGAAAAATACGATTGCTGTCAGTGTCGGAAAGAATGACCCGACTTGACCCAGATATGAGACAGCCGAAACCAGGAATGACAAGAGAACCGGCGTTACAGTTTAATCCGGACAACAAGTTTAATGAACATCGTTTGTGATTTGAGACAAGTGTGACTGATGGGAAACATGTGCATGTGGGATTTTAGGAGGACTTGTCTGAGTCAAACGCGCTTGTGGAGTGGACACAGTCAGATAACGGGAGTTTGTTGATATTTTGATGTGATTCATAATATGGTCGAATACCTGTTGATAGACTAACACGGTATCTGGAGACTTGGTGACAAGCTGTCCGCATTCACGGAGTTCATTTAGTTCAATGTCGGACACAGGATCACCTCGCTGGGGTAAGTTTTCTTTTCCTTGTATTTTTAATTATTTTTGTTTTGATTTCAAAACCTATTTGAGTTCAGCAAAGTGCATCGATTTCGCAACCAGATGTTGGTAATCTTGTCGCTAAGGTAGCACTCGGTGCTACCCTTGATCTCCTTCAAAGTACGCATTTCGAATTCTGAACCGTCTGATGTGCATGCCGAAATGATAAATTTGCAAAGAATAATGTTTAGTTGCACCTTTCCTGTGTCATTAACCTCATAGTCTTATGGTGCCCGGACGTCAGTCAGCCTACATACCGCTCAGCGCCGTACTGTGCTGACGTCGCGGTTACAAAAACGTATAGTATACATTGTATAAAAAAGTGTCGCGTTCTTATTTCTTCACACAATGTTACAAACTTAAATTCTACGAAATGGCGTATGTTTATAATGTCTTTCGGAAAGTCTAACTGTTGTTGCAAAAGGAATTTGTTTTTATTCTTATGCCATCATTGAAAGTATGAGTAGTCTTATTTTTCGTGTTTTTCTTACCAGTAGCCTATAAATTTGAACTAAGTTCATGTCAACTTGTCAAATTTAGTCTTTTTCATTGTGTTTTCCTTTTCATTGGCAGTTATCGATGTCATCATCGTTCACAAAGGCAAACCTGTCTATACAAAGTCCGGTTTTGGGGATTCGTGTGGTCGAAAGATTCGCCAAACAGCAAGTCCTCTAACACAGACGCAAATCCGGACTTGGTGGTGTTGAGTTTTAGCGCACTAGAAACAGTTTCTGGCAACATCACAATCTGAAACTTGGAACTTCAATCTGGCCATATGCAGTTTTGACAACAAAGACATGAAATGTGTTCAGAGGTTGAATTATGCGAATAACTCTTCCTGTCAGATCTCCGTCTACTTTAACGAGGTCATTTAGTTTGACAGGTGTCAAATGGTCAGCCATGTTTGTTTACAAACAATGCAGACGTAGTTTTGTTTTTTGTAATTACGCTTATTGTAAACTAAAACTCGTGCGAAATAAATGCTTTATTCATTATACTGTGAAATCATGTGGTTGATATGAAACTATGTTCTAGTCTTATAAATCTCGATTAAGTGAGATTGTAGCACGGAAAACATGTGAATGAATGCTCTGGATTTGTGAATGAACTCAATGAGAGAAAAATAGTCCCGTCGACCAATGAAAATTGACATTTGTTTAACTGACCAATCAGCTTCGAGAATCACTAATTGCACACTGTGCAAATATCAAAAAGTTATTACACTGCATATTTGAGCCCATATGGGTAATAAACTTGATTTAACAATTAGATTAAACTTTAAAAACGTTTCGAAGGCAGAAAGCATGTGACGTCATATTTAACGTCATATTATACGTCACTAAATTTTACACAAACTCGCGCAATTTTGGAATGACCGTCGCAACCCGTGCTACAAGTCACTTACAACACACCAAGACGAGTTGTTTGGGCAGTAAGAGCACGGTTTGGCATGGCATTTGATTGACAGACAAAAGGACCGAGGGGCGGAGCATCAAAGTTCCACGCCATATGTGATGCCTCACAAACGCATAATTATGATGTTACTGAAAGGCATGATGGAGCATAATTATATTAACCACAAATAACACAACGCTGTTGTGGAAAAAAATATTATTTATTTTGAGTATTGGGCAATACAGTTGATACATTTGCATAGGATAGGTCTATTTAAAAATAGTTTCTTGTTTAACGCCGCACTCAGCATTATTCCAGCCATATGACGGAGGTCTGTAAATAATCCAGTCTGGACCAGATCATCCAGTGATTGACACCAAGAACATCGAACTACGCAATTGGAATATGATGTTTTGCATCGACCAAATCGGCGAGCCTGACTACCCAATCCTGTTCGTCGCCTCTTACGGCAAGCATAGGTTGCTGAAGACCTATTCTTACCTGGGTCTTTATTTAAAAAGTAGATCGAAGGAAATGGAAGCAATTTCTGGCACAAATGTAAACATGTGGAAATAGTATCAAAACTGCCAACAACATTGGCAGATGCACATACTCAAAAAATAGATCACATTCTTTTTACACTTACCATTTGGTTATAATAATGTAAATGAAAATACTAAGGGCTCCATATGGCAAAAAAAGTCATACTAGATAAAGTCTTTTTGTCACAACCACAGATGCACATACTCAAAATATTATCACGTAGTTGGAGAACATTTCAATACCGGGACTAATCAATAACGGAGATTCCTCGTCTCTTGTTTTACGTTTTTTGGTCAGTTTTGTTGTTGTATTTCTTTCTTTCAAAGAATAGTAATTGTGATCATGATGAGTTGAGTTACTTGGTTTTTTTCTATATACTGTTGTGGAATGTGGTTTACTTGTAACAATGACTGGTTTGAGTTTATATGATGATGATTGATTGGTTTGTCGTTTAACGCCGCACTCAGCAATATCCCAGCTATATGACGTCGGTCTGTAAATAATCGAGTCTGGACCAGACAATCCAGTGCCTAATATCATGAGCATCGATCCACGCAATGGGCGATCTTTTTGTTCCTCATAGCCTTCGGTGTTAACTTTGTGGCTGTAGAGAGCTGTGCCTTCATCAAACAGATTATCGAGGTCAGTGGAACACGGTACAGACGCAAATAGATTTGAGCTATGGGACACAAAATATATGAATGACCAGAGCTACGGCTGTACATTGAATTCCATTAAACGGTTGAAAATACTACAGCCTTGATGCAAATTCGCTGACACACTACTCCGATTTTGCTTTGATCATGACTTTGCTACCAAACGTTTCACATGTGGTTATGTGCGGTGCACTGATTAAAAAACACACACGGGGGATTGGGTTAATTCAAAATACGGAATATAACTATTCCAAATATTTCCAGTGAACATGAGCATCCAAACAATCAAAAGTGTGGTGTGTAGAATATGGAATTCAGCCATATTACATTTAAATTGAGATGTCGTCGTTGTTCATGAATAAGCATATTCAGAACATAATTTTTATTATGCTGTTATTTACGATCTCCGGAGCACAGTTCTTCTTTTGTATACACCGTGAAAATCAGAAAATTAGTCCTTGAGGAAAAAAGGACATCGGATTACACATGAATGGTTTAATAATGTCACCTAATGACCAGAAACGGTCAGATACATCAATTAACTACATAAAGACGATTTTGAAGTATCTCTTACTGCTGGAAAAGAATAGCATCAACATTCGACGCACATGATTTGTATGTTTTGTTTCCGTAAATGCGTGGCTTGAAATTTCAAATAAACCAACATGTCGACATACATGCCACAAATTTAACGTTTTCCGTATACTTCCCCGCCTTAACCCCCTGGATGCCATTTGGACATATATGTCCCTACACAAAACGCAGTTGCTGTGCCAGAGGGACATATATGTCCTTCTGAAACATCATGTTAAAAGAATTGAAATAAAATATTTTTGGATTACCCCAAGCCCATAGCAATTGCAACAACGCAAAAAGCAGTAAATTTCCATCACATCTGTGTCATTTTCACAACTCTACTGTCAATAAATAACGCATATGGAGTTAGTCAAATTCCCCTTGTTTACACTTTCGTTCAAATGTGCCGCCATTGAAATATTTTTTCATTTCGAACAAATTGCACCGACTGATTGAAAATCCATATGCGAAGGAATGTTTGAAACCTTCATAAATATTTTGGTTAAAAGATTGAAAATGGTCAAATATCTACGTATCTATGTATTAATTAGCTAATGAAACCAACTAAATGCCCAGTTTATCGATGGTGAATGGAGTGTATATATTTTTTTTACAGTATTTGTTCAAGGCCTCGTTCATCACATTCATATCAAAGCGTATTCAAAAACATTCATACAGTTATACATACCTACTGACATCTTTTAAAAACAGTCTGTGTGAAAATGTGCCACTCCTCATATTCATACGTATACTTAGAAATTCCATTCATGCTTCCTAAACCTCAAATTCTGCAAAAACACAGAAAAGGTACCGCAACTTTTTAGCCGAAACTTAAAACAAAATGGCGACCGAAGTTGAAGGTCGCTTAGCGGTACTTTTCATGAGAGAAAACAAGTCGAAAGCATGTCTCCCAGAAGAAACGAAAACGCACATGGTAAACTTTGACACACCCTCTTGGGTCTGTGTTGTTCATGTTTTGTGACTGATTATATGTAAGTCACGTTTTCGTATGTTTAATGAGGCGACCCAATTTATTACAAGACGTTGAAAAGTAGGTTGGTAGCAACGGCATATAGGATCTTATGCAGTGTCGAATATATTTATAATTTATTGGTTATATAAGTATATAAACAAGAACTATATGATGTTGAATTATGAACGTGTAAATGTCAGTTAAAATTACTTGAATACCGGTCCCCGATGAATCTATATATTTATTATTAGTTCGTATGTCTAAATATAAATAGCTAGCTCTTTGACAGTAGAATTCATTACTAAATTATTAATAATCTTTCGTTTAATTTCAGTATGTAAATTTGTATTCATGCGGTTTGTTATTGTTAAATACCTTATTATTATTGCAAGACTAAGTTTTTTTATTTCACGAATACAAATGAAGCTGTTACGGTTATCGACAGTTGGTTTCAATCATCCACCATAACGGGGTTGGCAAGAGCGGCAAATTTCCGATTGTTCGTCTGGAACGAAATACCGTGACCCGCGACCTTTGACATGCAACGTCACAGAGGTTACAGGTGCCCGAGTAAAACAAAATAAAGTTTGATGTTGAAATCACCAACAGTGTTAAATATGACATCCAATGTAAATATTTATACATTATATGCTTTAATCTTTATCTTCGTGCTTTGTTTATCGAATCAGCGCGATGAACACAAATCAAATATAAAAAAAACGTTCGCCTCCCGCCGAGAGCATGAATATTCATAGGGATAAAAATAGCCCCATGTGACAGACGACAACATTGCGATCGAAGCTGTCCACCAAGAAGGAATAATGTCTGCGGTGGGAATTGGCGACGACGATGATTTGGGGGAGTCGGACTTCGAGTCGGACATATCAGTCGATTCTCTCGATTCCTACTCCGAGTCCGACTCCCAGGAAGAGATAAGCGGTAAGTAACATTAATTCATTTTCATTAATAATTGAGTAGGTGTACTGTCAGTGTAAAAGCAATGGCGGGAATAAGAATTTGTTATTTTTTTAGCAATTTTCGAAATTGTAGGCTAGATCTACTCGTGATAGTTGTGATGTTTAAAATGTTAAAAATATCTACCATACCATGATAGTCATAGTAGAAACAGCAAACTACCTTGTTTAGTATTTCATGAAATTGATTTGAAAGAAAGTCTCTCATGGTAGTGAAGTTTTAACATGTCTACATGTGCCCTACACATACTTTTGGTAAAGCTCAGTAATATTAATGGAAAAATGTCTTTGTTAAAAATTAAATTTATCTTGAAGGACACACTAGTTCACACTTTGGACATGAAGCCATATTTTTAAATGAGTATAGTGAGTCATTCCTAAAAAATCTAAAATGTCTAACTTATTTTGAAATTTAAAAAATAAATGAATATGTTTCATAATTTTAAATGTTAAATGTTATAAATATATCTAAATGATGTAGATTAACATTTACTATAACTTACTAAGGGGAAAGGGGAGTGGCATTGCACCAAGTGACTGTTGTCCTTGTGCCAATGGGTTGGGGGGTCAGCGCACTGAACAAATGTTCCCTCACCGGGCAGGTAGCCCGGAGACGTGGAAGCTATGGCCAATTTTTTTTTTAAAATTTAGCATCATTGTAAAGCTTTTGATTTTAGTTCTCACCCTTGAAATGTTTGCATCATGATTACACAATTGTTTCCCTGTGACTACTCAAGGAAGCCCTTCAGTTTTCATTAATACATTCATGTGGAGCACATATATCCTAATCTTATCTTTATGTTGTAGTAATGAAGAATAAGTCTTTCAACATGTTTAATCTGTACCCAACTAAAAAGGTCACAGGTTATACATATTAA